TTGCGTCTCCTTTGGCTTTAGGACCCCAGCATGTTCATGCTTTGAGCTTTTCGGCTTTGGTGGGCCTCAATTGTGCGGTAGTCAACCTGTGTGGTAGTCAACCTGTACTGCCGCTGATGATTGCCTCTGCCATGCATTCTGTCATGTATCCTGCTTTAAATAAAGAGCCCGTTCGGGAGCCTACCAGCTCCTGCACGGCTTCGCAGAGTTACACCAAGGCTGGACGAAGCACCCAACATCGCCAAGGAGGGTGCTGGCCTCAAGCGGCGGGGCGCCATGGCCGGCACTAAGGCCGGCACAGGGGACATGATCAGCGCTTTGGCACATCTCATGCTCGAGAACTTGCTGTGGCGTCTGCTAGTCTGCTTGGACAAGTCGTGCAATTCGCAAAACCGGAATACATGAAAAGGAGGGCCGGCCGATGGACCCAGAGCTGCTGAAGCGCGCTCAGAGGAAAGCTGCCGGCCTCAAGGCCCGAGGGTTCGTGTTGTTCCTATTGAGTTGGGATGTTTTTTTTGGAGCTGTAAAACGATGGGCAGCGGACAACCCACCAGACCTGGGAGGTCGGCGCCGAAGTGCATGAAGAGGACGAGGCCAAGTCGGCATGCCAAGCTACCAAGCCTTTTTCCAGCCTCGCGCCGGCGCGCACGTCTTCGGCAAGAAGCCGTGGGAACACCCAAGGAAATGTCAATCAAAAGAAGCCCTGGTAGCATTGCAGCTCTCTTTGCCAATTTAAGCACTGCGTTTCGCAAAGTGCCCGTGTGTACGAGGTGGACAAATGGATCACTTCCGGCAAATCGGAACCTAGCTCCTCAAGGCAGGTCAAGACTATGATACTGTGTCTGCATGGCTTTTGCGGGGGCGGGGGGGTGTCTTAGCTGAGTCTTGTTGGGCTACCGGATTCCGAAGCTATCAGTCCCATCCAGCCTTGGAGTTTTGCCGGTCGTGTGGAGTTTGCCCCATTTTGCTTTGCAGGCAGGAGACGGCCCGCAGCCAAGCAAGCGCGAGCAACGCTCTGCTGGACTGGGATGCGCTTGAAGTGGACAAGGAGGCATTGAAAAAGGAGAGGCTTCCAGTCCGCACTGGCATTTTGGATCGTTTAGGATCATTTTGGCATCGGTATCGGAAGGAATAGGGATGGTTTGGGCTTGTGTCGCACGAGAACATCACCCCTTTTTGTGCGACTCCAGCAAAGAGTCTTCGAAGTCCAAGGACACGGGAGGCGGCCCAGGCCAGCTTGGCAAAGCAGCGGCTCCGAGCAGTGACGGAAGGCCTGGTTACAGTCATGATGGCACATGACCCGAAGCACCAACACACGAGTCTTGCGGCTTCCTCACCGCAACAGGTGACAAAAAGGATGCAGGAGCCGCAGCGGTCGAGTCCGATGACTCGCAGGAGGAGGTGGGAGCCGCGGATCGTTGCTGGCTTAGGGGCTTGGGCTCCTAGGCATATGGCCTCGGATGGGCAGCATTTCGTATTGCAGGCTCGTTTGTATTGTGGTCGTCCATGTTGCAGGACATCGAGGTAAAGCTGAGTAGCGCTGCTGCGCCCATGGCGGTGGCTTGATGATGATTTCGTGATTTCACGAGAAGCGGCTGCGCTCCACCACCAGACATGCATTAAGACCAGAATCTGCCTTGTTCTGCTGTCTTCCAAGTTTGCGGGAGCATGCTGGGCTTGTAGCAACAGCTGACTTTATTGCAGCCACGATCTTCCAAAGCCGAGGAGGGCGCTCTGATGAGCGTCTTCCCCAAGAAGGAAGCAGCCAAGGCCTCTTCCAGCTCTTCCATTCCGTCAATCCACGACTCGTGTTGCGAAAGATGCCCAGCCTCCCTCCGGGAGTTGTCTAAAAATTGGACGATCACACTCATCTGGACTCCCGGCTCAAAAAGCTCTACATCACCCTTCATCTCTGGCAGGAGCGAGCGGCAGTGGCAGAGCAGCCAAACCAGGAGCCAGCGCTGCCAGTGCCAGAGGCTCCACCGTACAGCAGCAGAGCTAATTGTAGATGATAGAGGATGTCACAGCCAAGAGGTTGGTATCCACCCCTACACCCCCCGAACTCCACAGTGGCCCGACTCTTGCAGTGACACAGTGCGACACCTAATCATGTGTGTAGAGGTCCAAGCAGCTGCTGGCGACGTTGCCGAATCGAGCGCCGTCTCTTGACGGGAAAGGAAGGGACAGGAGGGGAAGGCAGGTTGTGGATGTTTGAAGATGTTTCGTTCGATTGCGTTGGCTCTGCCTTGTTTAGATGGACCTTATGCGACTGTTGTGTGCAAAGCCGCGCTAGAGGCCAGCAGCACGGCGGCGTCACAACAGGCATACCAGGGCAAGGCAAGTCATGGGAGGGAAACACAAACAGTTCAGATGAGTTCAATAGTCTTCCAGTAGACACTCCGACAATAGCTGTTTTGACCAGCCTGGGTGGAGTATCCAGGAGCACGAGCAAAGTCAGCAAAGTCCAGCTTGGCCTTGACTCCAGCACACAGGTGTATTCTGGAATGGCAGTTCGCCCGCGTGGCCTTGGCACGCCGCGGCGTGACATGCTTGCTGGAGAAATTTACCGGAGCTCTCTGGACGCTCCGTTCCCTGGTGGCGGAAGTATACTGAGGAATCTTGTAGGAACGCTGCAGGGGAACGCAGTGCAGGGGTGTGACGTGAACTGCTTGCCTTTCTCAAGTTCCTCTGGTCGTCTCGACACCAGAACAGTTCCTGAGGATGACGCTGACAAAAGACGGCTTGTCCTGGGGGCGCTTCCTCTCCACAAAGCCGCACTACCGGACACCGGAGGAGATAAGGCATTCATGAGGCTTCAAGGAGGGTTTCTGCGTAGAGCTGTCATTGCAGGAGAAGGCCGAGGCTGTCAAGTCGCAGAAGCAGAGCCTTGGAAGTGCGAACGTGGAAAATGCTCTTTTGATCCCTTTGGCAGGTCATTGAGGTTAGCTGTCAGCTTCGTCTTCTCTTGTGGACTCGCTGCAACATCGTAGCAGGCTCCCAACAGGCTCACAAGCTGGAGGGTCATTCATGGACAAAATAAGCACGTCAAACCTGAAGGAAGGGCTTCTTCCAGCGGATATTCGGCGGGGGCGGGGACGAAGGGGACGACCTCGAGGACAGGTTTTGAACTAGCACTTCATGCATGACCTTTGTTGCATGTTGTCGCTTCTGGTCATGTCTTCGGTGTCTGGCTTGAGGTGGTGGGAGAGCCTGGGGCGCCCTCGAATGTGCCTGCGAGCCCCTGACCGTGCGCCGCCTGGCCTAAGGCCTAAGGCCTAAGGAGGTCCGAAATAGACATGGTAGCTTCATGGCTTCTAGTTCAAGATTTCTAGTTGCACCTGGAGGAGGTTTCGGTGCGATAATTCGGTTTCGGTTTTGCAGGTCTGCCGAGCGCAAGCGCTGGTTTACTCGGACCACCGCTCTTGATGCAGCGACAATGTCCTACCCTTAATGACCCTACCTCGACATAAACAAAACCCAATCCAGTTCTGCTGAGGTATCCATACCAGGCTTACACCAGCACTGCTGCTGCGCAACATCTGTGATATGCTGCGGCGAGCCCAACGCAACCCAAATTGGGAAAAATACCGGTTGAAGCTGGAGATGCATGGAGATGCAACATAGCTCAGTGTTCCATTAGCATCTGTGTTCCAGAGATGCCTTGAAGAATCGATTCTTCAGTCAAGCTCCCTGTGAAATGAATGAATGCTTTGTTTTTCGCTCCATCGCTTCAGCTGTCGACACGTAAGCAAGACAGTCAGCAGGAAAAAACAGTGCGGTGTAAATGCCAAGGAGAACTCAGGGGAACCAAGGCAACAGTCACCAAAGAAGCTTTTCACGAGGGCACAGCGTCTGGTATCCAGCCAGCAGTTCGACCGCAGAATTGTTCCTCGCTCCGCCTGTACATACGAACATCTGACACTTTGGATCTGGCAGAACTGGATCAGCCGCAGATGAGTAAGCTTCGCGACTACATGGTCCGACATCTTGCATCAAGCTTTCCGGTTCTGCGCAGAACCTTCGGAGTTCGCTGGAGTGACTACAATGGCTGTGTCCGGCAAAGCAGAAAAGAGCCAGTAGAGCCATGCCTCTGGCTCGCAGGGTACCCTTAAGCCCAGCCACGCTTGCAGAGTTTTCGGCCTACGATGTTACTGACGCAAGGGCCTTGCATTCACAGGCGTTTCGTTGTGGCCGAGGCCATGCTTGCTTGCCGCGCAGAGCGCTTGGGCCTTGGTGTGCGTAGCACACTGACGCATGGGCAGAGGATGGTGCAGATTGCAGAAGGGTCTGTGCTGAGCCAGTTGTCGTTTTCAATCAGTCAGTGATCAGGTCTGGGATCGAGAGAGAATGTAGGTAGGCTTGGTCGATTCAGCACTGTGCAACTGATGCAGTTGATTGGGATGGGCGATTGCTGCTTTCTGATTCCATGAGCATTGATTGGGGTTTGGGGGCAGGCCCTGAAGCCCTGTCGCTACGGGAATGTGGCGCCATGGGCAGTCGTCTCGGCATGATGCCTTCATGAGACTACTGTAGAAGCACTAGAGTCACTAGAGCCATGTGCAGACTGGGCTGCTTTAGGGCTCATGCATACCTGTCGAGTGTGATGGTGCCGGCTGATGCATGCGTTAAGCTATGTTAAGCTGCTTCCCTGAGCTGCCCCCGTCGGCCCAGCCACCGCTCCAACCTCGGCTCTAGCGGTGTAGCTTTGTTGGGCTGCCGCGATTGGAGTGACAAGGCCTTGTCGGGGGCATGGCTGTGCCACGGCGACCCCTGCACAGAGCAACACAAGGTTTTGTTTTCATCTTATTAGTGCTAGTACATGTGAGTACCACTTGCAGACTAGGTTTTTGCGAGCTTGCATTGACACTGTTTCCAATGTCAGTCAGTGTGTTCAACGCATGATATCATGTTCCGCGTCGGCATGGAACTTTGCCGGAAAGTTGGTGGCTCAAGCCGGACTTTAGGCCTGAAACAGGCTCCTCCAGGCAGGGCCCTCTCCCATGTACAGCATGAGTGGGCCTTGCAGCTACACGAGCATCACGAGGGGTTGCCTGTCCAATATGCGCCTGGGTGATGCAGGCCCGGACTTGGATCTTGCTTCGAAGTAGGTAAGCAGCAGGACGCTATTGCCACTGACCCCCTCCGGCAACCCGGTAAATGAAATTGCCGCAAGGCATGCAGCCTGTCGTGCTGGAGGTTCGCGGTTCGAACAAGGCCCGTTCTTTTCTCTAGAAACAGCAAGATAGATCTGGCAAGCCTGCCGCATACCTAAGTCCGAAAGCAAAAAACGAACCTGCCTTCGCTATGTGAGCTTCCCCGTCAGATTGGCAACGATGACAAGCGCTGGAGTCTAGACTTGGCAGACGGTGTGCATCTCGCTCTTCTGTGAGTTCGAGACGACCGTCTCTTGTGACGTTTCTTTCAAACATAGAACTAGCAACAAAACGGCTTCAAAACAATGGACGGCCGTTCAGTCACTTTCGGTCAGTTGTTGATGCTAGGCATTTCGTTGTTTCTTTTTTTTCTTTTTTATTGGGGGGGGGAGGGGTGGTTCGAGCGATTTCGAGCGAGGTCCCCTTTAGAAAGAAGTCCTCCGCGCGCCGTCAGCGCCGTAAGATTTTGCAGGGGCTTCTTAATCCCAGAGGGCGGGGAGGACCGTTTAAAGAGCGCACCGATTGAGGCCCGGTAGGTTGCAGGATGGTTCGTGTCTTTGCGTCTAGACTGCACCCAGCCGCAAGACAACTGCAAAGAAAGTCACAAAACTCCAAAAAGGATACGCATCATCAGCGGTTCAGGTCCTGCTCAGGTGCAAGGGTTGGCGGTGCGAGTCATCTGTGGGGTTTGGAGTCGGTCTCATGCTGTCGTGGGCTTGTGCGTGGGGTGATACGCGATGCTGTTTTGGGTTTCGCTTTGGAGCGGATGTGCTCACTAACATCGAATGCTGAGCGCGCTAAAATGCGCTAACGCCCGATTCGCCCCCGAGACCCGTTCCCAAGGCACGTGGTGAAGGCAGTCGTCGTCGCCGAGATGGCGAGGCGTCTCGAACAGATCCAGGGCGGCGCCTTGCGCCTGCTGTGGCTTTGGCTGGACTTAGGGTTTTTCAGGGTGTGTACAGTAATAAGCGCAAGGTTTAAGTAGTCAGGGTTTTTTAGGTGGGTAAATGCTGTTATCCTTCTTGTGTACCGTTGCGTGTGCCCTTCTGAGGCTGCGTTTGGACAAGTACAACATCAGGGAGACGGCGAATGCCAAAATCATGCTGGTGGTGCTGGAGGCTGTGCTAGCAAGGCACTTTTCATTTTTCAGAAAAGTTAGTTAGAATCCCCCATGCATGCTCGGATTATCGTATAGAAGATGCGTGTTCGAAGTGACAGCTCGAGCAAGCTGCTTGACTTTCGAGTTCTTTGGTTCCCAAGCTATCAGTATTATTCTTGTTGGAACTATGAAATTGTTGCGTGGCCAAATTGTCGAAGGCACCGAAAATTCTTCACCCGCACACCCTTCCCCTTGCATTGGTTCCAATCTGCTTCGGACGACCGGGAACCGGTCAGTCCTTCCGAACGTGTGCGCATATCGTTTGCATCGACAGCACCCGATCGGATGTCACAAGCGAGACGAACGCAGACTCGCTACGAACCTTCACGTTTGTTGTCGTCGAATAGCCGGCACCGAAGAAGAAGCAGGAGGTAGAACAAAAAGTTTCGAGTACGGGCATTGCAAGCTTACCTAGGGGAAGTGAAATACACCTTGTGTGTAGTGACATTTCGGTGACATTAAGTATTTTCTTCCGTGCGTTTTGCATGCATGTCGGAACATGTTATTCGTATGCCATTTTGGCACAGACTCGGTCTGAGGAAATCGGAGAAAGAGTCTTTTCCCACCACAACATGCAATGCACGCTGCTCGCAAGCGCCCGTGTGCCTACAACGTGTGACAGTCTGAATTTCTGCTTCTTCGCCCACCTGCTTCGTTGTCTTTTTCTAGCTTCAAGTTTGTGAGAGAGCAGCATGATGGCTTCCACTTTGGCGGCCCCTTTTTCTAGCTTGGCCACATCATTGGCCTTGCAATCGTTGCTCAGGTCTTTGTCACTTCGGCTTCCTCCTTTGTTTCGTTGAGTCGCTGACACATTCTCCCGCTTTTTGCCTGAAGCCTTCTCTTCTCGCCCTGAAAACAACTCTGGCAGCGACATCGCTCCGATGTCAGCCGCATAAAGCTTTCTAGACCTTCCTTCGCCCTCCACACACCAGTTCACCGTGGTGGGGCGAACACGGGACGAAGACATGGTGCCGAACGAGTTCCTTAACAAGCTGAGCTTGGAGCAGGACGGTCTCTCAGGTCTTGAGCTTGAGTAAGTTGCCGTTCTGAAAGCCAAGTGGCGGCGAGATTGCTTGACACCAGCAAGGGGGCATTAGATTCTAGGTGTTTTCGCCTTTTAGTCACTGTCTGTTGTATTTGTCATAGTCTCCATTAGAAGCTGTCAGAAGCACATTTTGTCAAACCATGTCCGTTCAAAGCCTCTGAGGATGGCGGGGCTGCTGATGCCCTGCCGCCCACACAGGCCATCGATGCGTGGAGTGGTTTTCTTCTTCGTGTTCTTTGTTGTGTTGTTTGATGTTGTTTGTGTTTGTGAATCTTAACACGCCATCCATGTGAGACCTTTGGTGTGTTGGAGTCTAGCTGTGGCCCGCGATTTGTTTTTATACTAGATGCTGCAGGCTGTGGTGTGAATGTACGTCAAGGGGTTCATGGGCGGGGGGCCAGCAGGAGTTGTGCACGGCATATCGCAGCGCAGTGGCGACTTGAGCAACCTTGTCGTGCGAGTTGTGCCGCCGAGCCATAGTCCCAAATCTAAGTTCGCCACCTCACGTCTGTGAGGCACAAGTAAAGTGTTTTGCGGACTTTGCAATGGTCGCATGATGGAAGGCTTTGCGCGAAGAGCATGCTGCAAGGGTCGCCCACAGTCCATGCCTTAGCATGCCAGTTGTACCTCGGTGCAAAAGGTTGCGTTCCTTCTTGGACAAGTGCTGTGGAAATGGCCTGCTCGGACGGTGGCACCTCAACATAATTACGTACGCATACTGCCCTAGCTATCCCTTTCACGTTGCGACATGTTCATTGGCCCCCGGGCATTGCAGGCTCCTACCACACTCCCGAGCGCCGCATCGCTCCAGCGCCCGAGACGACGCCCAATCCGCCCTCGGCACCAAACAGCAACTCTGGCATGTCGCTTGCTCTGAGGGCCGATCGACATCTGTCAACAATGGAATGCAGACAGGTAGAACGGCCGCCTTCGGAATGGGGGCAGCTGGCTGCATAGCAGACGCCCCGACGCAACCAGGCTGGGCTTCTTGGAGAACGCACAGGCTTCCAGCATCTGCTTGCGGAGGGTCATGGCGTCAGGTTTCGTGGAGGCACCCGCTGTGCCGCCGGGAAACTCCGCCAACCCGTATGCAGCACAGCCACTTGCCAGGAGGATCCAGGGAGACGAATTTGGGGTGGGGGGGGGGGGCCTAAATCTTCAAGGCTCGTAATGCATCGCCGGCATGCTGGCTCAGGTTCGGAACGTCTGCTCCAGGAAGCTCAGGTGCCACAGCTTGAAGCATGTGCAGCTAGCAAACGCATGCAAACGCATGCAAACGCTCACTTGTAGGAAAGAACCTGTAGCTGCAGCCTGAGCGATTGCAAATTGCCTCAAGGGATCCGAGAAGGGGGACTTGCAGGTTCCTCGCGGGTTAGCAGAACATCCCTAAAAGTTAGCACTTTATGAATCTTTATGAGATCATATGTCCCCGTTAGAAGGGCCGTGAGGTCTCGTGCCCCTGTCCCGCAAAAATCCAGCTCGGCAGGCGGACCGTTCGGCGGGAACCCATACGCGATGAATGCGAACCAAAGTACCACCAGCGACACCTGTGGAGCACCTCGCCCAGCTGAATCGGCACCTGGATGCAATGCTGGTAGACTGGTGGGTTTTTTGCTTAACACACAAGCTCTTTTGCACCTTTTGCCCAGATGTTCAAGGCACGAAGCCTCAGCACCAGCCTGGCTCCGGTTGCCTCGGTGGGTGCCGTCACGCCTGTCAGCGCCCTCGTCACCAGGGCAGTTGATTGAAGATTGCTTGGAAGCACTTTTCAGGGGATTTTGGTATGCGGGATGGGACTAGGCTTGGAAACAAATGCCGGAGCAAAGCCAAATCACAATAAATGCCGGCCTTACAAGCCTCATGGGCTGGAGGCATCATGATTGTAGTGATTTGTAATGGTGGGTCGCGTGTGCCATTCGAATGTTCTTGTCCAATGAATGGCTTCGTCATCGCGGCGTGCCAGTAGCCAAGCCCACTCCGCTACACTTTGCAACGGATGAGGGTTAGGGGTGGTTCGTTTTTGATCCGGCCAGCTAAAGTTGGGGATTGCACATGTGCCGTTCAGGGTTGGAAGCAAGGTGCCTGGTCTGATTTATGGTTGTATATGCCTGGAGTTGCATTGAGTCACGGCTTGCCGATGCTTCTCATATCATCCAATTATACTGTGGGATGCCTCTAAGCCTGCTGACTTTGAAGGGCGGTCGGATTCAGACCATGTTATGTCGAAGCTATGCCACGCCTTGGAACATGGGCTGGCGATCTGGCTGAGCCTGTCCATCTTTATAAGGTCTGTGTACGAAGCATGGCAAAAACACATAAACATTAAATAAGTACTTGTAAATATGGGAAATGTAGCCTCATCGATCTGTGTGGCAAACTTCTTTCTGTATCATATGTGTATTATGCTGCATCGAATGCTCTCTGTCGCCCTCCGTTGTTGTCGTGATAGGTTGTTTCATGCGCGCCTTGAGCCTTTCTTGCAGCAAAGTAGTCGGTGAGACAAGCAAAGCACTGCATACGGGAAATCCCAATCTGAGGTGCGCTGAACGCTTACACTGCCGGTCGGTGGAAGATCAAGGACCTTTGGAGGGACTATTTTGCATGGGCAAGGGTTTCCAAGGTCCAGGCGCCTTTGCTGAGAGTTTTAAGGACCGAGGGTCGCTGCAGAATTGCTGTAGGGCTGAATTTTTTCAAAGATCGTGTTTGGAAACCTCTTGATGAGCGATGGACGACGCCCGGCCTCGCAGCAAATCAAGTCGTGCTCGAATCCGGAAGTCGGGAGTTCTGAAATATGTCAAGTGGGTTGTTGGGCGGCAGAACCGCGAGACAAATCCTGGCGGCTTGCAGGGTTGTTTGTTCACGTTGTTCGGGTTGGGGTCTGGGCAAGATGTGAAGGCGCCGGCGCACGCGCATTCTGGCGTAAAGGTGAACCCGGGGGTCTGCACTGACGATGGCTTACAGTGCATGATAGCATCCAGATCTCGGGCCTGCAGGCACGGGTTATCACAAAAGGCGACGTGCGCAAGTTCAACAATCAGCGCGGAGAGGGGCAGCTTTTCAAGGCGCATGGGGAAGTCTGCAGGGACCGGGTTCTCGGGCATCGTCGGTCAAGGCTTCAGCGGCCTCATCCCCATCGCTTTAATCACATGCTGTCACTGTGGTCTAGTTCTGCAGCATGAAACCAGATTGAAGACAGCTTGTATAAGCAACAGCACGAGACACCTGCCTGACACAACGCGCGATTTTGACCGCGGCTGTCTCTCCAGATGCTTTGATTTCGAGCAACGCGTGGGACAGGAGTTGAGCAACATAAGGCGTCAGATTGCCAGGTAGACCTGGCCGACAAGTCTGGCGAGATCTCCGCAACCTTCTTTGGTCGCGCCGTAGACAAGTACTACTCGCTGCTCAAGCCTGAGAAGGCTAGCTCGCCCCCTCAGCCACGCGTGCACATGAGCTCGTGCGAGACTCTGCGCTCAAGTCTGTCGTCTTACATGAATTGGGAGAACTCTTGCACAATCGCGCTATCCATACTCGTACCTGGTGTGCAGTCGCTGGATAGGTATATACCTTCCAGAAGGGCCAGATCAAACCTGCAAACAAGCGACGCCCGGCTGAATACACGACTTGGGGAAAGGCCTTGCAAAACGGGGTGTTCGCCGACACAGATCCATGAGCCTATTTTGTACCAGCAGCACAAAGTTGATCCTGACTGCGTAACCATCCGGGCCGTAGACTTGCACCCGAACCAAGCAAGGCAAGTGATGGATAAGAATAGTATATTCGTTAAGACGAAGACCACAATCCAAAATTTGCACCAATCTTTTAAAGCTCGTTTCTCAGAAGTCTCTGCGCTCTTGAGGCTATGACCGAGGTGACCATGTGCTGGTCTTCGAAGAGCTGGGCAACCCAGCGCTCAGATGTGCTTGGCCCGTTCATGAGTGAGAGTACTTGCCGTATGTTTCGTGTGAGGCACGCTCTCATCGAGGCTGTGGGCGAGGATGATGACCTTCCGAAAATCAGTCCATCAGCAGCCTTAGCAGACCTTGTATGAACTTTTGCCAGTGCTCTTGGATGCCTGCTTTTGCCTAAGGCCTAAGGATCGGGATCGTCTTGAATGGGCACGATCCTTTTTGGAGCCCAGAAAGGCTGGCTTGTGTTGGCTGCGGTGAGTCTGTTGAGGTTACGACTTCCGGGACCTGGCTTTGGTGGAAACATTGCAGCCTGAGACGCACATCGATGCCAAGGCAGTAGCTCGGAGCAAGCAGAGCTCAGAAAATGTACTTTCAGTTTTCAAGTGCCCTTGGGATGACTTCGACCGACTTTGTGGAACCATCTCCGCTGCCATCAATGTTACGATTGGCAATCTTTGGCCATTCAGGGTCAGCGTTCCCTTCTTCGCCTGCGTTGGTTTTGGGGCCCATGCGCTCAAAGGACACGGCTTTACTTCAGAAGGGAGCTCTGGGGCACCGGTGAAAAAAGGGTTGCAGAGCAAGGCAGCGCTCCATGTGCGGAAGGCAAATGCATCAACGTTGTGACTATGGATTTCTGAGGTGATCTTCCATGTCCAGGATCCTTTTACTTTCACTGCCAAGTCGTCCAACAAAGAGATGACGAAGCGTGAAGCTTGTCTCATGGGAATGGGCAGGACAACTCTCAGGACTTCAGGACGGAACGTTGGGCACAAGCTAGCAAATGTTCTGGTTTTGATCATGCCTATCTGCATGACCTTGGGGCCCAGCCAAACAAGCCGTGAAGAGTAGCAAGGCCTGAATCCTAATCGGCAACATGCAGAGCGGCTAGTGACTGAGCTAGACGGGTGGCAAGAAACAAGCAACAAACGCAGGATACCTTTCAACCCTTTTCAACCCTGCAATAGAGAAAGCCCTGGCAAAAAGGCAAGACCTTGGCCAGTGGTCGGTTCTCTCAAGTCCTTTTCTTTTTGGCTGGGCTTGGCTGTATGGCCTCAGCATGTAAAAAGAGGAAGGGTGACAGCCACTTCACGATTCATTCGATAGAAGGGTCGGGCCGAGGTCGTCCATCTTTGGGACAATTCTGGTGACCCCGCTGCTGGCAGCACCTGCGAGCTCACGCGGCTTGGTGGTGGGGAGCACGTGGTCCAAAGATCAAGGTTTGGACTTCGAGCATCAAAAAAGTTCATTGAGTTGGAGGGACTGCAGACGTGAAGGACGGGCGTCTACAGGGTTCCCTTGTTTCTCGTGTAACAATTTGCCCGGCTGGCGTGTGCCGCTGCTGCAGTCAATGCACAAGAACGCCATGCTGCAATTGTTCTTGCAGGGAGCATCTAGTCCGACTGTGACTGTTCTGGTTCTCTATGTGTGCCTTGCAGTCTGCCGGGTGGCGAATGTATCGGGGGTCGGTTTCCATGTGTTGTTTGACCTTGGCATGTCAGCATGTTTCTTTCATTTTTTCCCACCGCGAGTTTGACACCGCAGGTACAGCAATTTGTCTTCTTCAGACTTGGCCTGTTTCAACGCCCCTCCACGTCAGGAGCAAGCTCTGAACCCCAAATGGGTTCGGCAAGGCGAAGGAACCCCCGTGATAGTACAAAGCCAAAGCCAAAGCCGAGGCAAAGCCAAGCGCAACCCAACCAGCCCGCATGTTTTTTGGTGTTGAACAACGGTTCCCACATGCCTTTGCTTCGAAAGCAGGTGTTAACAAGGCACGGGCATGTTAGTGCACTGTTAGGCATGCACTGAAGCCGCCCTGCTGCTTAAAATCTACGAAGAGCACTTTCGGGAGGTTTAGACGGTTGAAAAGTGTACGTTTTTTTTTTGGCCTCCGAGGCTTTGGGGCGACACGGCCTTGAGCCCGGACTTCGCCGTGGACCAGGCGGTTCTGAGAAAGAGTGGCTGGCTGGAGGGCCAGACACTTACGTTCGTGTGCGTCCGGCAGAGGTGATCTTCCTGAAGAAGGCCCGCGTCACGGAGTTCAACGGCCAGAAAAGTCTCAGCAGCCCTGCGGGCTGGCAGCTGAGCCGCTCAGATGACGAGAGCAGAGCATTCTTTGGGTTGCTGGGTGTGGGCCGGAGTTGGTGTCAAGCGCTTCAAGTTAAAAAAGGCTTCGGCCCCTTTTCTAGATTGCTTGCAGGTCCGGACAGCCCGCAGGCTTTCGCTTTGACCCGCAGCTACCAGCAGCTGCAACAGACGAGCCCGCATGCATTGCAGCTTCTCGGCACAATCATGGAGCTTTGCAATGCCATTCGGCAACAGATAGTCGGGCATAGCCGCAGAACCAGCAGAGATTTTTCCAACCACGGCTTCGCACATGAGTCTTGGCCTCACATTCTAGGCCAGAAAGTCTTGCGCCCTGCAAGAAGTCGGACTCCTTTCAATATTCGCCTCTTCTGCAAGGGTGCGGACAAGCTGGGGTGGCTCAGCGGCAAAGCGCCAGACGATCGACGAGTTGCGCCAGGCGAAGAGGTTTGGGTAAGTTTGGCATTGGCATTGGGGCACTATGAGCACCGGTTTAAGGGTGCTTTTGCCGGCGGTGGAGATGGCTATAGCAGGTTGTTCAAGGTGTCAATCTGGGAATCTTCCGATTGGTAGCTCAAATCCTTCCTTCCGGCCCCAACTTAAGAAGTGGAAGATCCAGGTTTCTTTTGGGTTGATTGACCCTTGATTTAGCATCCTGAGGGGCAGGACTTCTTGTTCGGGCACCCTCGGTTTCTTCATTTAGTAAAGCATTGCTTTCACTTAGCGCAGCTGATGGTGCTCGCTTCTTGGTGCCGTCGCATGCCGTTGAATGCCGTCGCATGCTGTCTCGTTGTGTTTTGCTACCCATTTCCCTGGAAGAGGAAGACATCGGCCTGGGGCCTCCGCCACAATCCTGGCAGCCCGCTCCGGGACCTGGCGAACCAAAAAGCCCCATGGCCCACCTTGTAAACTGTGAATTGTAAGTTGTAGCTTATCCGCCTTACAAATGTGCCGAGATCTCATGGGGGCTATCTGAATGAGTTGCAGCAAAAGGCATCCACCGACACTGGGTCGTAGCGACGATGACCAACCTGCCCATGGACAAGCCCCCGTACTACACGGCCTGCCCTGAGAAGATGGAAGCGACCCCGGCTCCCACTACCACGACACCTGGCACCAGGAGTTCGGATCTTGCTTTGCTCCAGCTTTGATTGCAAAGTGAACGGCTTCCTCCGTTCCGATTGCTTTGGGACAGGAGTTGCAACAAAAAGGTGACCCAGGAGCAAGAGGGCCTTTGGCAATGTGCCGCTGGCCACAGGTCTCAGCAGCCGGACTTCCGGCTTCTAAGCAGCATGTGCTATGGGCAGCATGATTCTTGGCACATGTCCTCCGGCAAATCCACTATGTGAGAAGCTCGCGTGCTGATCATAGAGCCAAAGGTACCTATGCCGACTGACGATTCTGGACCACACGGACAAGTGCGAGGCGGAACTCACAGTTTTCTTTGCTCGGTGGACCGTGATCATATATCCTGGCAGGTCAACCTCTATGATGAAGCTGTCCTGAGGCTGCTGAAGTGTCCGGCTAAGGACCCGAGAGCCACTACTCGGCTCTTCTTGTTCTTGCATGCAGACCGAGCACATGTCTGAATCTGGGCCTCAACTGCGGATGCAATGAATGGATGGTACCGGCGGTTGCACGGCATACTTGCCTCGTGCATGCAAGGGCCAGAAGAGCGCACAGCTTTCGCAGGACTATGCCAGGGTCTACGACGCAGGCATGAACAGTGGCGAGAGTGCAGCTGAACTGCGGCAGCTGAATGCGCAAATGGAGTGGAGGAAGTGGTTTGTGGGACTCGAACGTGGTTGTCCAGTCTGTGCGGGGAGTTCTGTAGGCATATCGTTTGCGTGATTGACGGGCGGAAGCGGCTGATTTCCGAGAAGTACCTCTGGTTCCCCGTCGCAAATTGACACTGTTCGTTGCTCCCTTTGCAGGAAGTGCTTGTTCAAACTCCGCGCGCAGAAGGAGATTTGGCAGGAGAACGAGCGTGTCAGGCCGAAGCAACATGAAGCAACATGAAGCAACTCTGGTCAAGTTGAATAGGATAGCTTTAGCAAGCTCGTGCATATGTCTGGCAGGTACTCCGTGGATGACGTTCAGCCTGTAAACTTGGTGCAAGATGCCAAGCAGATGCTCGCCGAAGTTCGCGAGTCGCTGGCTGTGCCGCATATGCCGCCTGCCGGCTTCTGAAAGCCGGGCTTGGCATCAACGGCGAAGCGACTCGGGGGGGTGCGCGCGCGTTGCGGGCAATCTGCATTCAAGGATGCTTCTTCCAGGGTGCGGTAGAAAGTGCTAGTTACTAGTGTATGCTTACGGGCGACTGACCTCTTCTTCGTGCTTGTTGTGGAGTACTGGTTCAAGCAGGGTTTGCACATGTTTACAGGCCCAGCTGCAAGGAATGCTTGTGCTTTCTGATCTGGCTTAGAGACCTCGTCGTTTTTTCCATGCGAATGCCAACCATGCTGGCACCATGCCGTTGCGTATGCTGGTCTTCAGGGTAGAGCTGGGCTTCTGGCTAGAGGCATCCTGTGGCGCGCGTCTGGTGACACTTTTCACAGCCTAGGGCTCTTTCCGTTGGCCAGGAACAGTATTTCAGGCCGCGGCACCCAAAGAGAAAAGAGAGGTAGTTATACTAGGCATTCCGACTCCTTTCCAGCGATGAAGTCGATCCTTCCGCACACCAGATCCAACATTCAGAGACTTTGACCATTGAACGCTTCTGAAGGAATTAGTCTTCGGAGGGGTTTCTTCATGAGAATACTTGACCATCAGATGTTGCCACTGAGAATTACCACCTGTGGGTACGTTGCGAGACATCTTGTTTGGTTCATGTCTGCTGGCATCGCAGCAGGGGTGACGCTGTGAGGTGCCTGTATTTCTGTTCAGTGCAGTGGTTGCACTGGTTCTTGTAGGGTCGGGGCCTGCCAAAGGACGAGAAAGAACGGAACGGCTTGCCCAGCTCAGATTCTTAAGAGCAATGGATAAAGACTCCAAGCAATGCAAACTGGCAGCTCCCGTCGGTCTTTGTAGATCGAACTGCTAAAGACGTTGTTGAGGAGAAAAGCTCATCCATGACAGCAAGCATGGTTGGGGCCTCCTTATAGCGGCTTTGCAAGTGAGTACGGTATCAGTAACACAGGTCCACGTTGATCCGTACCTGCACCGCCGCCGTCTTTCCCGGCGTGTTTAGGCAAGACTCTTGCCCGAAGAGCCTGGGGATGCGGTGATCGTGTCAAAACAGCAGAAGCCACGGCCACAGCAAGCCTGCAGTTCAAGGGCTAAAAGGGCTAAAGGGCTGAAGGGTATAGGCTCCATAAAGCATCCCAAGAACTCCCACACGCTGCGAGCTTGAAGGTCGAGTCTGCATGATAGTGTAGTGGCACCGTGCTCGTTTCGGGGGATTTCATGGTTGGTCAAGGGTCACTGAAGGAAGGCGCGCTCAGCTGCCCGACATGGCAGCAAACAAATTCCGATTCCTTTGACAAATGCAGAAGTCAGTACTCAGTACCACTGAAATCCTCCAGGCTTGGGTGTAGCCTGGGCTCGGGAATGCCCAAAAGATGTTTAACACACACAGCCTTTGGGTTTCGTTCAGGGTGTGGGCTGCGGCTTAGAAGGCTTAGCTGACGTTGGGTTCTCGCAAGACCTCGTAGTGATCTCACCTTGTGGAGGCTGGAGCGTCCCACTGCCGAGAAGCGGCAGGTCGCGGGCAGAGGCTTCCGGACGGTGTGTCAACCGCATTCAACTGCGTGCCATTTCTGAAGTTCTCCTTGGCGGTTTTGAACCAGAGTCGATCGAATCAATTTGGGGGTGCCCCCATGACCGCTTCAGGAGCTTGGATTCCTCCCTTGACCTGAGCCCGCCTGAAACCTCCCCCCTCCGTTGCAGAATTGCTCTTCTGCTGCCCGAAAAGACGGCGCTGCGTGCCACCCCAAGAAGACCCCAGCCGCAGGCAAGTGCAGGCAAGATGGTGCTGTCAGACATCACGAACACGGATGGTTTCCTGCTTGGCAGGCGCTTCTGCACTTCTGCTAAAATTCTGTGGCTTGAGCAGTCGGAAGTTAAGGGGAAGTTCGGTGTTTCGCCGTTGCTTGTACTTAAAGCCCGCCGTCAGCTGTTGAGAGGAAGCCCGGCGATGTGAAATCTGGCAAGGATCTGCCCGTGCCAGCCTCAAACACGCTCTGGGAAGTGTAGTGCCATAGCAGGTTTCGGTTGGACGTCTTCCACCCTCCCTCCCAGGCATGAGCAAAGGCGGTATCATGCCGCATCCCATGGCTGGCCTTAGTCTACTGCAGAATCAGCGACTGGCGAGGTCAGCTTGGCGGAGAACCTGCATTCAAGAGCTTTGGAGCAGGAGTGGCCTTGCTGCACCTGCGGTTCTTTTCCTGGCTAAGGGCCAGAAGGGAGTGAGCACGAGTGAGTCTATTCATTTTCGGTCCGTCCCAATTCGGTCTTACCCGAACCTTGCTGAGGAACATGCTCCTGCGGCAGGAAGTGGAACAGCTCCGAGCGCAGAACGCGGTGGGGATGAGACGGCACGAAGTCTGAGAGAGAGGGGTGTTCTGGGAGGTTTCATGGCTTCTTGTATTGCAGGCGCTGGCTTCCAGCACTGAGCCGCGCACACCTCGCCCGGCACTTGCAAAAGGAGCGATTGTTGATCTCAATAATGGGCCCTTCTTAGTTCTGTATCCAAGGCTACTCCAAACGAAGCGGGTTAAGCTAAGCTTGCTTTTTTAGAAGCCACGATTAGGCGAGCTTTTCGAGGCAGTCCTCCCAAACTCTTTCGGAAAGCGCTGTGTAGCCCATATGTATGGCAATATGGTGAGCTTCTGATGTGTTTCCCATCTCCCCTAAACTGCTTTATCACTCCCATCATCCCCATCTGCTTCGCAAGAGACCAACACCGCACTCACAATCCGACTGTGCCATCATGTGCCACCAGTTTTCTGGCTGAAAGCCAGGAACTCCAAAGCTCATGCGAGTTTCTCCCTGATTCATAGAGCGAGAGAGAGAGGCAGGTCTCAGACATTCTCAGATCATAAGGTTTCAGAACGGGAGACAACATTTAAGAACATTGCGCTGTACCATTTCTGAAGCACTACGGTGAGCATCGGCGGGTAGGAGGGGCAGAAGTGGGACTCAGAGGACTTACGCTTGCAGCTCTAGCATGTCGCTTGAATCTGAGGTCGAACGCCCACCACGCCAGGAACACCACGGGCCGCCAGAAGCCCGCGAACGCCGCAGACACCCAAGGCCCAGCGACAGCCTGTACCAGCAGATCTCATGTGCTTGGGAAGGTGCTCCCGGAACCGTGACTGCAGCAAACTTTTAAGACAGAGAGCGAAGCTATTAGGAAACTTCCACGCCACATCACAAACCACATCCGAGCGCTTTGGCTTTCTGCCAGGCTGCAGCACGAACGCCGGCACGCTCTGCACCGAGTACGCCGCGAACTCCGCGAACACCATCGCGATCCCGTCAGGCATGACGGCAGAGATCGGCAGAGGGCTTCCAACCCCGAGGGCAAAACAATGTGGAGCAACAAAAGTTGCATCTCTCCATGTGCAGGAGGCGCAGCCAGAAGTGGTCACCCAGCGGGCCCCGCGGCGACACTTGGCCTGAAGAAGGGTGTGTGTGTGTGATGGCGTGATGGTGAGCGGGAGAGCATGGGAGAACATTGGCTTGCTTTTTGAATTCGTCTGTGAAGCCTTTGAATTGCCAGTCTCTTCCCTGGAGCTCGAGCCCCCCACAAGTTTTGCCTGGCATGGGCTCATGTTGGTTCTAGGCCGGGGTTTGTGAACATGAGTTGGACGCAGACTGAGGGGAACGGTTGACTGTAAAATCGCGGGGGCTGGGTCGGCCTGAATCGGCTGGCGCATGCGAAGATTGTGCGCCATCGTGAAGCAGAAGTGAAATTCCGAAGAAACGAACAAGGCGTAGTGGCAGAAAAGCAGAGCCGGGGCCAGAAGTTCATCTCAAGCCTCGGCCAAGCGCGCCGCCTTTACAGCCGGGCCGGCCTAAGTCGGTGAAGCTTACACTTTTAGGGGTCAACCCTCATATACGAGCATTTCAAGAAGCCAGGGTTTTTTAGTGCAGGGCCAACAGGCTGGCTCCCGCGACATCGGGCTGCGGGCTCCTCCCAAGCGGTTCGGGCAGGTCCCATGGGGAGGGGGGGGGGGGGGGCGTGGAGGTGGCCAGAAGTTTTTGGGGGGAAGGAGACCAGAGGCACGAAGGCCTGCATCTTGAACTTAGGACCCGTCGAGCAGAGAGCGCAGCCTGCGTCGGGCCTTCGGTTTGGGAGGGACAGACAATGGTGGCACAGTGTCTTGCTTTCGGGTTTCTCTGTTGCCATTTGTTGCGATGACACTTACACTGGGACATACTTGGCCAAGAGTTGGGTAGAAGCTTGCGATGCACGAGCTGTTGTTTGGGGCCCCCGCCGCACTGCAATTGCAGCATATGCAGCATATTATCTAGTCAATGTTGAGGATCTCACCAAGGTGCTGCTTACTCGCTACCTTGAAGAAATCGCTCGCCCAATTTGGCTCCGGCAGGTTTTTGTTTTGGGATTGCACAGTCTCCGGCCACAGGCTTAGTCGGACCAGGCTGCACCATGGGGGTGACGATTGCGCTGTTTGCTGCGCTTGCTCAAGCCGTGGCCGAGGACGTCGTGGCTTGTCTAGGCCATGAGACATCCTACGGAGAAGACTCGAAGGGCGCTCTGAAAAGGGGAATGCCCAAAATCAACTGCCCAAAATCAAGCTACCTCCAAAACCGCTCCAAGAAGCAGGCCCTCGCGGTGTTGCAGCCTTCGGATTTTCAAGCAAACAAACGTGGAACGATGTAGCGATGTAGCAGAGGAGACCCCGGACGTCTTTGCAGTGTCCCTGCGTGGTGCGCCCACGGCCAGACAGTAGCTTGGTGAGAAGGGAGCTTTGCGTGCTGTCATATGCCTGAAGCCCTGATCAAGGAGCCAATTGACTGAACAAATTGTGACCCCGCACGAGGTCCCCCATGCATTCTCTCATTTTCTCTCTCAGGCTTCAGACGAACCCGGTCAGAGACTCGGTGGAGGTGGTGGCACCGCGCTGCCGGCCTGGGTACGTGGATGTTACAGGAGGACAGGCGTTCTACTGGTCTTGCGCTTTCCATTGCGAGGGCGGGCCTTACTACGCTGCGGCCTCATGCATGTGCGCGTGCCTTACCCCCGAGCAGATGGAACTTGCTGCCAGCCAGGGTGGGGTTGGCTTCGGACCTGCCGGGGTGAAACAATCCAGTGGAATCTTGGTCACTGCACGCACCACCATAGGACCACCTCCAGCAGGCGACCCCGTGGTGGAGCTTCCCATCGGCCCAGTGGGTGAAGGTGGGGCTGAGATGCTGCCGCCGGCTGTTGACGGCTATATCGCAGCTCCGCAGGATGTGCCTGCCTTCCAAGCTTCTGGGGAACCCGCAGACGAGGAGGGCTTGAGTTTGGTGGTGGTTGCCTTCATTGGAGGTGCCCTCCTTATCATCGCCGCTGCGACGACTCTCGTCTGTGCGCTCTGGTCCAGCCTTACCGATGGCAGGCGCCGGCGCGTCAAGATGGTTGCAGTGCCCCCCAGATTCAGCCCCCATGTGCCAGTAGAAAAGTGCCCACAGCCACCGCCTGAATTTCGCCCGGCACCAGCCGCTCCAACGAAGTCGGCTGTAAGCTTGCAGGAGCCTCCAATCCGTGTTTCTTGGACTTCCAGCAATGCTTCTGGGGGCTCGAAGAGACAGGCTCCGCTGGCCCAGCCGCAGCTTTTGCAGCTTCCTGATGGCGACAGGATGCTTAAAGGCAGTCCGAGCTTGAGCAAGACCAGCACCGGCAGCGGTGGTGCAAGTAGCATCAGCAACGTGTCCAGTGTGTCCACGTGTGCTATGAAAAAGGAACGGCAACGTGAGCCCCCACAGATCAGCAAAGGGAGATTCGGAGGCCACAAATGCTCCCGAGTCTACCCCGGAGCCGAGCAAGTGTTCATGTGATCTGACTTTGCCTGCAGCAAGGCTGTTCTGCTAATTATCGTAGTACATTCCTGTGTCCCATGTATAGTGGCTTTGCCTCCGCATGGCTGATGCCAGGGAAGGTGAGAGAATGGAAAATGAATTTTGCAGCTAGATATTCGCATCGTTGCAAGTGTCTTGGCCATGTTGCGGAGATTTGGCCTGAAACGCCCTGAGACAACTATTTACAGTTTTGTGAGTTTTGTGTGGCCCGAAGCCCCGAAGCGATTTGCAGCTCTTCACCTGCTGATGTAGCGCCGCTTCCCGGCTCGGCTGAGGAATTCGCATCCTAACTGATTTTGCAGCATAGCCAGGCATCGCTGTCGATACCGTGAGACTGCAGGCAGCGCTGACGGTGCGGCCTGCAGTAGGATGAAGATCAACCCTAAGTTGTAACTAGATCCCAAGCAGCCGAACCTGCAACGCGGTAAAAACACGAGCCTGGTTAGCAAGATTCTTTCGCCTCGCAGACGATCGGATGTGTTGCCTTATGCCGGCTGATGAGGAAAGATTTGCCTCAAAGTTTGGGCTGACCTATTGCAAAAAGGAATAAATCAGATCCCCAGCAAGACATACGAAGGCAAGGCAGTGTCTGCCTCTGCTCAAAGGAAGAACTCCTTTCTGCTACAGGTCCTCGGCAGATATCGTCCAGCTGTCTGATGCCAAGATGGTCCAGGTTACGTTTACGTCACGTTGGCCGGACCAAGAGCTGCATGCCATATCTTCTTTTCCTCTGCACAGTGCGTGTGCATCATTTTCAAGAGCCCTGGTGCGTTTGGTCGGGCTCCTCGTCAACCGGATTTGCTCATATCTACTCCAGGCTCAAGGGGGTAGTGGCGTTGGCGAGCCTTGTTTTGAATCCACCGTTTAGCATGGAGTGCACAAGAAAGGAGGGAGCGATGTTGCTCCAGTTGAGGCCTTTCGCAGCCTTTCAGACGGTCGTTTTTTTGATCGAGCGTGTCTCCGAATTGACTTGAAAGAGGAAGCTAGGTGTCCGCAAGGCTCGTGAGAAGACCTGGCTGTTGAGCAACTACCGATACCCCCTATGCCATCTGCGCACTTGTGGGAAAGGCTCGCGCTGCAACGGATGGAATGCATGGAAAAACAGAACGCCTCGTCTGCTTGTGAGGGTCCCGCATGCAACGACACATGTGCGCCTGCCACATGTGCATCAAGTTGTTACTGTGGTAGAGTGATCCCCAAGCCCCAAGTCCTTTGGTTCCCGAGGCCTGCAGCCGCAAACAGTAGTGCCACCACCAAGGCTCCGGTCTTCTCCGGTCTTCTCCGGTCTTCTCCTCTTGATTTGATTGGCAGGTTAGGCTTCGAAGGCTTCGGTCTCAAGACGCATGATAAAAAGGCTTAGCAGGCAGTGCAGTGTCTGCACCAGGAATGGATAAACACTTTGAGGAGTCCCCAAGTTATGAAACTGCCACTTGCTCGTGGAGGCAGCTTGCGGCACGGAACTCAGCTGTTTGAGGAACCAGGTGGCAGAGTACGGTAGACGGTGGAGTTTCCATGAGTTTCCCAGCTGTGCCGAAATATCCTGGAAGCAGCCGTCTTTCGCGGAGCCTATACCTATATTGTCTACCCACATTATGCTGCAAGAGCGACGAGTTGCTTGCGCCCACAACAGCACCTCGGAGGCTCTAGCCTACATGGGTAGGTTCAGGATTCAGGGCATGCGCTCGCCCCTAGCTGTTGGCGAAGGGCCATGTTGCCTTATGGGCAGCAACAGCGCGATCTGCAACGTGATCCATCTGTTGCTGACACACATGAAGAAAGAACAAACAGACTGAGTTTGGGAGAGTACCTCACGATGGCTTCGTAACGCTGGCCCCATGCAGCCATCCACGGGACCGCCATGCAAACGCTGCAAAGACACCTGGCTGCTTCAGCAGTTGAATAGAGCCAGGCTTCGCAGTTGGGCCACACCTCGCACGTGCCTGTGCTGTAAACCTCCTGTAGCCTCAGCTTGCAACAGTCTCGTGTGCATGTGACTGTACCGTCGAACTTGAGATTTCGTTAGAAGCACCTGGATCGCAACCAAGGCCTGAAGCTCCGAAGGCGAAGATCCCGAACCAGGAGCCGAAGCTGTCAGAGAATGAGATCGTCATCCCCTGCTCTGAGCCATGGCTGAAGGTTTTCGCGGTGTGGGTAGGTCCTTCCGGGGCTCAGGTTGGTGTGGATGGTAGTGTGAGGGTTTGGAGAGTGCAGAACCTGACCTAAAGCTTCTGTGCAGGACATCTCGTGCATGTGCGGGAGTCTGCCAACCGAGCTGGTCGAGGATGGCTAGGTTTTGTGGCTTGGCTGGGACGGTTGCGTGATGCGCCATGATGTCTATTGATGGTTCAGCTTCAGATTCAGCTCAGGCAGCTAGCTTCTGGGCCGATGTTGCTGCCGGAGAGCGGAATCCTTCGCTCCAGGACCCTGAAATCCACGGATCTCTCCAGACAGCTGTGTGATCGGGAAAGATTGGCCACATGCCACCCTGCGTTGCCGAGTCTGCGGCAGTTTGCCCTTCTTTGCTCACTTCATTCAGTCAAGTCAAACTTCCAACGAAACCGCAGGTGCGTGGTGGGTGCCTTTGGCTGAAAATGCCCCTGCTTGAAGTTCAATGACGGCCGAAATTTGCGTCGTTTGTAGGGGATGTGCATCTGACCATGATGGCTTAGTTAGAGTCAAGGCCTAAAAGCCTCTCAAAATTGCCTTGTTCTCTGAATTGGGTGGTCTGGGTGCGAACGTCAAGGCTTTCGGGTTGGCTTCGAGCATGTTTCAATGTTCAACATTCTACCATATTCCGAATCGCCGCGAATACTGTTCCCAGAATTCCTCCAAGCGTGCTTGCACCATGGTGTTGCGACGCTCGGGAGTGTTCAGGATATGAAGATAGTGACATCCCTGACGGCATGCTCGCGGCTTGAGTACGTTTCTGCTCGAAGACGTGCTTCCGGCGCGAGCCCAGCTGCGCCTGTCGGCAGTGCTCCCGCTCAAGACTTTTATGCGGTTCTGCTTGAAGTCTCGGGAATTCACTTCTGATTATCTGCATTGCTCACGTGTACTCCCAGCAATGTTTGAACGTTGCGACGCACGCCAACGCACTATGCTCTTCAAGTTTTCGTGGCGGGCTGGGACTTGGAGAGGGACACCAGCAAAGATCATGCGTTATTGCTGGGCCACATCACTCGCTGGAGTCTGTGCAGCAGCATGTTGATTGGAACCAATTTTCTGATGTGACATACCTTTGCGTAACTTGCAGGGCATGAAGACATATGAAACCACTTCATTCACGAAATGACGGTGAGTTAAATCCTGAATCCAAACCTGAACTTAACACCATCTTGGAATGAAACGACGTGCCGGCTTGAGGATCCGGCCCAGGTTCAAGGACTCATAGAGGTATGTCCGGAAATCGGAACAAGGTTAGGCTTCTGTGTGCCAGGACCTCCAGCACTTAGACTTGGTTTCTGAACCCGTCGTGGTCCTGCGCATGCGGCAGCTTGGTCTGTCCGTCAGGCATGAAGTTCCATGCACAACATGCCAAGAAGCCCAATCCACACAAGTGGTGCACGCAATGAATTCTAAGATTGCTCGGTTCGCCCCTTGGTTCTGCGACTGCCTGGCATGGAACACAGCTGCGCTGCCGGATGTTTGGTTGACGCCTGGGCTTGGGTGTCCTGCAGCACAGGCTTAAAGCCGTGCGGGGATGTGTATTTTGTGGTAGGGCTTGAGACCCAGAACATCCCAGGACCCAAGCTGAGAGTCAGGGGGGCGCCTCAGCCCAGACAGCCGAGGTGCTGGGCAGGCGAGCGGCGCAGGCTTTTGAGCAGGCTTGCGCGCATTTTCGGGATACGGTCCGTTTTGATGGGAGACTTTCCGCGCTTTGGCTCCAATCGGATTGCCTGAGAGTTCTGCAGTGTTGACGTGCTGTGACCGCGACATTCCACGACGTATCTCGACAGCCTGATGATCCAACCTGGAGCTTAGAACCTATGAGATGTGACGACAAACCACACGCCTCCAAGCTAAAAAGTTTCCATGTACACAAACCTCCATCCAGCAAGGCGCCTCAGCCGTCTGGTCGAGCTCCGGGCGATTGTGGAGCGAAGAAGACAAGGCGGCCCGGTGAGAGATGCACTACGAAAAGTGCCACTGCAGAATCAGCGTAATGTCGCTGTTGGTGTCGGTGAAACAGCTCTCTTCTAGATTGTGCACGGGAAGTTCGTTAGCCCATGTGGCTCAAACTCAGCAGTTAAACCTGAGAGGAACCGCCTAGGCGGTGTTTTTCCTCTCCGAGCTTAAAAAGCAATTCCGTAGCAATGCAGTTGACTTTGTTCCACGCGCTTTTGACCTTGGCAGCCGCTGGGAAGTTCCACTCTCTCAGCCGGACGGTTCTCAGTGTGGACACATCGGCCTCGGTCAGCGAGAGCAACGTCGCCCAAGCCTGGCTCCGCACCCCAGCGAACCTCCCGAAATGCCATGAGAAGAAAGTTGTGGGCTCCAGTGATGACAAGTTCCTGCAGTGCCCGAAAGAGTGCCCAATCTACGCCGATGACCGCGGGGATGACACTGACTGCAACTTCGAGTGCGTGGAAGCAACTCCAAAGGCGTGCACGGCTGTGAACGCCAAAGAGCCCGTGCCTGACACCGAGCGGGGCATTTGCCGAGCTTGCATTATCTATGGCTGTAAGGCCTGCACCACCGAGGGCCAGGACACCTGTGCTGTCTGTGAGTCGGGCTTCAAGCTGAACGCCGCCGGCAAGTGTGACAGTACAAACACGTACTACTGGTACGCACTCTTTGCTGTGCTTGGTGTTGTGGCGCTCTTCATCGTCGGCTGGGTTGTTGACATCGCTCGCCGCCCGATTATCAACCCTCAGGGCCTCAAGGGTGCGCTCGATGCTCGGTCGCGCTCCAAGGTACGCATGCCGAAGCATTCCGACTCGGACGCAGGACGAGATCTTTACCCTCTGGACACCAACCTCCTCAAGACGCCGGTGGCCGGCATTGGCGTGCAGCTCCACTTCAACTTCCAGTTCTTCCTCATTGTTTGGTCGCTGGCTATCGGCTTGGCGTGGCTGATTCTTGCCCTCTCCGTGGACGATGCGCTTCTCATCCTCGGCACTCGTCGGGCCAAGACAGCTCGACAGAACTGCATCCTTGTGGCCTGGGGCTTCGAGACGCAGCAGCGCCTAATGTGGACCAAGATCGACTTTGTGGCGTGTGCATACCTGCTCACCTTCTTGGGCTGCTTGGCCTTTGGCGTGCGTCAGCTGCGTATCTTCCAGAAGGTGGACATGCAGAACTCCACGCACAAGGATTACGCTGCTCGGGTGAGAAACCTCCCGTTGATGGATGGCACAGAGCCTGTTGAGGAGGAGCTGAAAAAGCGCATCGAGGATACCACTGGTCAAAAGGTCGTGGGCGTCTCCGTCTGCTGGGATTTTCAGGAGCATGAGGACGAGCTCATGGAACTAATTGAGAGCAAGCTTGTTGAGAAGGAGGAGATGCTGCACCCCTCGGCCAGTCAGGAGGAGCACCCCGAGCCAGAGAGCTTCTTTGCCCGAATGGAGCGCTCGATGCTGGCAGCTGATGCAGAGAAGGTCGTGGCCAAAGGCGAGATGACTGAGGAGGAGCAGGAGCATGCGAAGAAGGATGCCGCTGCGCACCCGGAGGAGGAACACGTGGAAGAATGCAAGGAGGTTGACATCGTGGGTATCTTGAAAAGCATCAAGACATGCCCCGACGCCTATGCCATTTTCGAGACGGAGACTGCTCGCGATGCTGCCGTCGAGGCTGTCCACAGTGGAGGCATCGAGTTTGCGGGAAACACAATCACCTTGAACGCCTCCCGGGTGGAACCGCAGACAGTGAACTGGCGGAACTGTGCCAACACAGACCTGGTGGTAAAGGCCAAGCGCATCGGCTTGGGCTTCCTGATCATGCTTGCAGGGCTGACGTTGTGGGTGGTGGCTTTCTACCTGCCCTATGCCTGGTTTACCTTGACGTTCAACTATTCGTATGGGCAGGAGCCAGGCTTCGTGGCAGGCATGACTTTCTCCATGGTTGTTGTGGCTGGGAATGCCTTGATGTACCTCGTCTGCAGTGAAGTCGCAGATCGCACACGGTTCATCTATGTGGATGACCGGGAGGTGTGCTACATGTTGCTCTACTGCTTCGCGTGTGTTTTCAACGTGGCACTGGACCTGATCACCACTTACATGGTGGCATACCGTATCAACGTGGGCTTGCGCATGAAGACCTACGACGGCACCCTCCTGGAGAACCTCCAGCACTTCTCCGACCGTTTCGAGTCCTATGCCATGCAGCGTCTCCTTGCGAATAACCTTTACGCATATGCCTTCCCTGCCACATTCCTCATCCCTTTCTTGATTGAGCCAGTCGCCACCATCTACGCTCCTTACAAGATGATGCTGGCCATTGTGAGAACACAGCCGTGCATGAAAGGCTTCATGGCAGAGCGCTTGCTGGGAAGTCTGGTCTTTGACCTCTCCCGCTACGCCGATCTCATGTTGGATGTTATGATTGCCGTGCTCATTTTCTTCTTCCCTGGTGGCTTCAACATTCAGATGTTTGTTGGCCTTGCTGCCTCACACTTATACATCTACTTCTTCGACCACTACCGCGTCCTGCGATCCATCCAGAGCTGCAACTACGCAGACAAGATGGTTGATTGGTGGTCTCAGTGGATGATGTGCATTCCCTGCGGCTTCATGCTTGCGTGCGTGGTGTTCAAGGCCAACTGCCAGGAAGGTTACCCATGCGTTGACGGTGACACCATGATCATGGGCTGTGTGATTGCCTTTTTTGGCCACATCATACTTCACACGCTTGCCCTCAAGTTTGTTGTGCCAATGCTTGGCCTCTCTGGGGAGTCGGATGGCGCGGAGACCAACACCTATCAAGACTGCTCCAAACGCATTCCATGCTCTTGGTTCACTGCAAATCCGGTATACTGCCTGCGCTCACAGTACATCTACAAGCACAGCCCCCCGTGCACTTTCTGTTTGCCGGGGAAGGAGCACCTTTTGGAAGTGAACGAGGATATCGGCCTCTACTTCAATGATGCCCCGGCCAAAGAGGAGGATTACGATGCCCCGCACGTGGATGTTGAGGCGGTGAAAGCAAACCTTCAGGATCTCCGCGGCAAGGCATCGGAAAGCTTCGAGCAGCTCAGGGGAAAGGCCAGTGGGCAATTGGAGGAACTGCGAGGCAAGGCATCGGGACACTTCGAGGAGCTGAACAAGCAGATGTCTGGACACTTTGAGGATTTGCAGGGCAAGATGTCCGGGATGTCTGCCGGCATGTCAAGCACATTAGGAGACATGCAAGGCAAGATGTCCGGAATGTCAGCTGGAATGTCCAGCACCTTCGACAGCTTGCAGGGCAAGATGTCCGGCTCCTGGTTCGCGAGCAAGAAGGAGGAGACTGATGCTGCCGCTCCTGGTGAGACCGGCGAGACCGGCGAGAGCGGCGAGAGCGGCGAGAGTAGCAGCAAGTGAGAAGCCTCTCTGGGGCCGAAGCGGCTGGTACCAATCCAGACCGAACCACCCTTCACTTGGACCTTGAACCAAGAGCCTCGCCCGCTTGCGCTAGTGTGAGAGTTGAAACGGGTCAACGACATGCATGGGACTCGTCGCATGATGCAGACATTTCGGAGCATGTGATGCCTCAGCGCCATGTCGTATCCGTATCTAGAGTCGAACTGTGTATCAGGGAGGTCACTGCATGCATTTGCATCTGCATCTCCCGCCCTTGATTGTGCTGAGTGGTTTGCTGACTTCAGTGCTTGCTCGTTGGGTTCGCTGAGTGTGGCTTCCCGGGAAGGTTTGGAACTGCTGAGAGCTGAAGTCGCCGTGGAGAGTGGCGACACAGACGCGAGGCAAACATTGCCGAACTCACAGCCAGGGCGGCCATCGTACTCTTTGCCAGCATGAACGTTAACAACTCCATCATGATTTCGGTTTCAGTGTTTGGGTTACGGCTCAATTTCAACTAAAGCGGTTCTGTATGCGTGTGCTGCCACACACACACACACACCTGTTGAGGCAGCGCCGGTGGCGACGCTCTGCTGCCGGCGTCCAGGCGAGGATGAGAGCTGCAAAGAGGCAGAAGTATCCGCCTCCCCTCCCTCCTCCGGCGCAGAAGCCGCGGCAGAGCGTGTGCCAAGCGATGCAAACCTGGAAAGAAGGGATGCCCACAGCCAGAATTTCCTCATCCATTGCTTTGCTCATACTGTACTGCCACGCATTGCAATTCCCGACCTTGCGTATAGCATGGATGCATAGTTGTGGAGCTCTTGGGACAAAAATTGCCCGATGTTTTGGACCTGTGTACGAATGAAGTGCTGTACTGTCCCTAAGCAACCCCACAAAGCCAATTCTCCAGTCCCGTCCCCAGACTCCCGGAGAATTGGTTGTCTGGTTTTTTTGAGGGACAGCAGCGCACTTCATTGGTATTCAGGCAAACAAGAACAGGGACAATACAAGATGTTGAGGCCCCGACACTGCAGAAACGCTGTGCTGTCCCTTCTTCTGGCTTAAGTCAAGCGCAAAATAGGGACGGCACAAAGTGACAAAGTGCTGTACCGTCCCTATGTTCTTTTTGGCCTGAGTGCCAGTGAAAATGCTGTACGGTCCCGAGATCGTCCCGTCCATCCAGACTACTGGAGAATTTGCTTTTCAGTTTCTCAGGGATAGTACAACACGTCATCATTGGTACTCAGGCGCAGCTGGGATGATGGACGTAAATTCCCCTCGTCAGTCTGTCCTCTACGTGATTTGGTACGTGGGCTGCACCAGCGTCATTTGCATCAGCACATGTCGTCCGCGACCCCGGGACATATCTCAGATTTCGGAGGGCATGAAAATCAGAGGAGTCCGGTGCATCCGGGGGCTAGATCATGCAGGGGCAGCAGCAGGACGTGAACACGGTCCTAGGCTAGGCCGTTGCAGGTGCTAAGCGAAAGAAGGCCGAGTCGAAGTCGCCTCCCTCTCTCTATATAAAAGGACTCTACACTCTTAAGTTCAGCCTCTTCTGCCCACGAAGGCGCTGACCGTTCACACTCATGACTTCTGCAGCTTCAGCCACAGCAAAAACCCAAGGCTCTAGCCAACATGGGTAGATTCATGGCATGTTCTTCATGCGCGCGCTCACCCCTAGCTGTTGGCGAAAGGCCATGTTGCCTTCTGGGCAGCAACAGCGCGATCTGCAACGTGATCCATCTGTTGCACAGACGAAGACAGAACAAACAGACTGAGTTTGGGACACTACCTCACGATGGCTTCGTAGCGCTGGCCCCATGCAGCCATCCACGGGACCGCCATGCAAACGCTGCAAAGATACCTGGCTGCTTCAGCAGTTGCATAGAGCCATGCATCTGTTTGCTCCAGTGGGGCCACACCTCGCAAGGACCCTTGCTGTAAACCTCCTGTAGCCTCAGCTTGTGACAGTCTCGTGGCCAAGAAGTGCATGCAACTGTACCGTCAAACTCGAGAGATGCTCATAAGGTTGGGGTGTGTTGCGGCCCGCGGCAAAGGCACACTCTGCTGAAAGTTCGTTTTTGAGGGGCTTACATGGGCTTACCAAAAGAGCTGCAGGCCGCCTCCGACTCCACAACAGTTGCAGCTCTGACAGGAGAAGATCCAGGAGCCGAAGCCGCCAGAGAACGATGAGATCGTCATCCCCTTCAGCTCTGAGCCCTGGCAAAAGGTTGTTGGGGTGTAGAATGCTGTTGCCTGGAGGCTTCGGAACCTGACCTACTTCTGTGCAGGAGATCTCGGGCAGGCGCTTGCGCCACATCACCGTCTTTGCCTTAAGGAGGGCCGGGCATGTGGTCATCATTGGTCATCTCCGATTTCTTCCCGCACATCAGCTCAGTAGACCCGCGTCGGGAGGAGCATGCCAACCGAGCTCGTTGAGGATGGCTATGTTTTGTGGCTTGGCAGGGTTGCGTGATGCGACGCGATGTCTACTGCTGCTTCAGCTTCAGATTGAGCTCAGGCAGCTAGCTTCTGGACCGATGTTGCTGCTGGAGAGCGGAATCCTCCACACGAGGACCCTGAGATCCACGAATCTAGACCCACTGTTTTTTGAGTGTTCTCTGGGAAAGCAGGCTGTGTGGCCGGGAGGGATTGGACACACGTCGCGCTGTGCTGCAGAGTCTGCTGCTGTTTGGCCTTCTTCAGTTCATTCAGACCTGTGGGGTGATCCTTTGACTGAAGCGCCCCATGTGCTTCTGGCTGAGGAGAATGACGGCCGAAATTTGCATCGTTTGTAGGAGATGTGCAGCTTGCCATGATGGCTTGGCTAGAGTCGATCTCTGATATGGGAGGTCTGGGAGCGAACGCCCAAAATGTTGAACTCACCAGGCTTCCGGATTGGGTGCGAGGACATTTGAACGTTCAACGCTTTGCCATGTTCTGCCATGTCCCGCTGTTGACATCTGTTGACCAAACCCGTATTCCGAATCGCCGCGAATACTGTTCCCAGAGTTCCCCAAACCGTGCTTGCCCTATCGGGTTGACACCTTCGCGAATCAGGGTAGCGGGACAAGGTGAGACAAGATGGTGTCGTCCCTGATGGCATGCTGCCTGCCCAGCCGGTTCCGCCAGCTCCACCTGCTGTGTTCCGCCCGCTGTTTTGTCGAAGAGGTCCTGTTTTGTTCGCAGCCGGCTCCGCGGCTCTCGCTCGCGGCTTGAGCGCTTTCTACTCGATGAGTTCACTTCTGGTTTTCTGCGTAGCAATGTTTGGGCGTTGCGGCGCACGTCAACGCACCATGCTCTTCTTGGCGGGCTTGGCTTTGGTGGTTTGGAGAATGACACCTGCGCTGGGCCGCACCACTGTTTGGGAGTCCACGCCGATACTCGTTACTGGAAGTAATACCTTGGTATAATTTGCAAAGACCTTGAGTAGTAACTTCTTGCAAGGAACCCCACTTGGTCGCCGCCTTACGCCCCCACTGCCGGTACCGAGCTGCAGGCGGGCATCCAAGTCAAAAAGACGTACTATGCTACTGTATTTACTGTATGGAAATGAATGCGTTGAACGCCTGCAGCCAAGCCTGAACCCATCACCATCTTGGAATGAAACATAATGAAACGATGTGCCTGCTAAGATCGGCTGGTGCCCTCTGACCTGCAAATACAGGGCTTTGGCTTGCTCTGCATCTCGTGGCAGGTGTCTGTGGTATAGCGCAGTCGAACTTGGGCGCTTGCAGGGTGATTTCGCTGATGTCCACTGGATAAAGGCCGACTTTGCACTTGCTCGGCAGTTCGCACGTCCGCCTAGGCCTTCGAGCTGCGAGTAGCCGCGGCGGAGGGAGCACGCGAGGCCTTGGATCGCGGAACGGGCTGGGGCAGTATGTACACAATCAGGGTGGGTTCAGGTCGTTATACAGAATTACATTTGCCATAGTTGCCCAACTCTCTGGGCCTGTGCACAAGATGACGCAAGGTGAGATGGAGCGCTCAAGTGGATCTTCGGCAGACCGATGTGGTCGGCGAGGAGCTTTCCACCCGGGCTACCGGGTTCTAGGACTCGTAGAGAGCACCGGTATGCACCGGTGATGTCCGTGCCAGGACCTCCGGCACTTGGACTTGGTTTCTGAACCCGTCGTGGTCCTCCGCATGCGGCAGCTTGGTCTGTTTGCCGGGCCGCGGCATGAAATTCCTTTTTCAACATGCCAAGAAGGCCAATCCACACAGGCGGTGCACGCAATGCATTTCGAAAATTGCTCGGTTCGCACCTGGATTCTGTGACTGCCTGGCAAGGAACACAGCTGCTCTGCCGGATGTTTGGCTGACGCCTGGGCTTGGGTGTCCTGCAGCACAGGTCTAAAGTTGTGCGAGGATCTGCGAGGATATTCGTTTTGTTTTGCATCGGCATCTCTGGAAAGGGAGGACTCAGAACAGTAGGATGCCGAGGACATCCCAGGACCCAAGTTAAGAGTCAGGAGGGTGCCTCAGCACAGACAGCCGAGGCGCTGGGCTGGCGAGCGGCGCCGGCTTCCGAACAGGCGTCCCCGCACAATTTCGGGATTCGGTCCGTTTTGAAGCTCCAATTGGGTTGCCTGAGAGTTCTGCAAGGTGTGTTTGCAGTGTTCCTGCACCGCGACCACAACATACAACCACCTATCTTGACACTTCAGCCTGACGGCCGCCAGGAACGCCAGCAACCAGCAGATACGGACCTCTGAGGTCTGTCAGTCCGGAGCAAAGGTCTCCAAACTTTGCCCCTTGGATCCCCTTGGCAAATCGGCTTTTGTTCCACCACTTCAGCAAGTGACGGGAGCTTGAAAATCAATGACTGTAATCTGAGTGCCACTGGTGCTGAAAACAAAACTTACATAAACTTACCAACCGAGTACGACATGCCTCCGTAGAATCTATTTGAAAACCGTGACGGACCGTGACGGACCGTGACCTTCTGCAGCTCGAAGGTGAGGAGTTGCATTTCTGGCGTGACCAGACGACTGAGCTGCAGGAGTGCCCCTTGACCCGGCTCGTTTTGCTGTCCAAGATGTGCCCGAGGTAACAAAGATGCCAATACATGCTGTCATATACCGCATATGCTCATATGCCGTTAGCCTACCGCAAAGTTTGCACCAGCCACTTTGTGAAATCTGTTTGGTGCAGGATCAGTTGCGCGGCTTGCTGGCCAAGCGGCGGGAAGGTGCTTTCATCCCTCTCTTCGCCTCAGCGTGGATTGTTTGGTTTGTCGGATGTTGTCCGGGTTGTCTGGGTTGTGACTGTGCAACAACGTGTGCAACTCTGCAGTGCATCTCAGTGATCAAGTGCTGGCGAAGGCTTTGCTCGTGGCGAGAGGCATGTGACACTTCAGAGGCCCCAGGGATTTGTGAGGCACACGAGCGATCACGATTCCGTCTAGAAAAGCCTCCAATCATCATTGCCTCCTCAGACGTCTGGTCGAGCTCCGGGCGACTGTGGAGCAAAGAAGACAAGGCGGCTGGGCAGAGATGCGCATGTAGAATCAGAGTAATTATCGGTGTGTCGCGGCTGGGGGGAGGGGGGGACGAGTTCTGGATTAAGGCCAGGCCTTGTCAGAAGAGAAGTCTCTGTGCGGGGGCCTCTTGCTTAAACAGCTCTCTTCTAGATTGTGCACGGGAAGTTCGTTAGCCCATGTGGCTCAAACTCAGCAGTTAAACCTGAGAGGAACCGCCTAGGCGGTGTTTTTCCTCTCCGAGCTTAAAAAAGCAATTCCGTAGCAATGCAGTTGACTTTGTTCCACGCGCTTTTGACCTTGGCAGCCGCTGGGAAGTTCCACTCTCTCAGCCGGACGGTTCTCAGTGTGGACACATCTGCCTCGGTCAGCGAGAGCAACGTCGCCCAAGCCTGGCTCCGCACCCCTGCGAACCTCCCGAAATGCCATGAGAAGAAAGTTGTGGGCTCCAGCGATGACAAGTTCCTGCAGTGCCCGAAAGAGTGCCCAATCTACGCCGATGACCGCGGGGATGACACTGACTGCAACTTCGAGTGCGTGGAAGCAACTCCAAAGGCGTGCACGGCTGTGAACGCCAAAGAGCCTGTCCCTGACACCGAGCGGGGCATTTGCCGAGCTTGCATTATCTATGGCTGTAAGGCCTGCACCACCGAGGGCCAGGACACCTGTGCTGTCTGTGAGTCGGGCTTCAAGCTGAACGCCACCGGCAAGTGCGACAGTACAAACACGTACTACTGGTACGCACTCTTTGCTGTGCTTGGTGTTGTGGCGCTCTTCATCGTCGGCTGGGTTGTTGACATCGCTCGCCGCCCGATTGTCAACCCTCAGGGCCTCAAGGGTGCGCTCGATGCTCGGTCGCGCTCCAAGGTACGCATGCCGAAGCATTCCGACTCGGACGCAGGACGAGATCTTTACCCTCTGGACACCAACCTCCTCAAGACGCCGGTGGCCGGCATTGGCGTGCAGCTCCACTTCAACTTCCAGTTCTTCCTCATTGTTTGGTCGCTGGCTATCGGCTTGGCGTGGCTGATTCTTGCCCTCTCCGTGGACGATGCGCTTCTCATCCTCGGCACTCGTCGGGCCAAGACAGCTCGACAGAACTGCATCCTTGTGGCCTGGGGCTTCGAGACGCAGCAGCGCCTAATGTGGACCAAGATCGACTTTGTGGCGTGTGCATACCTACTCACCTTCTTGGGCTGCTTGGCCTTTGGCGTGCGTCAGCTGCGTATCTTCCAGAAGGTGGACATGCAGAACTCCACGCACAAGGATTACGCTGCCCGGGTGAGAAACCTCCCGTTGATGGATGGCACAGAGCCTGTTGAGGAGGAGCTGAAAAAGCGCATCGAGGATACCACTGGTCAAAAGGTCGTGGGCGTTTCCGTCTGCTGGGATTTTCAGGAGCATGAGGACGAGCTCATGGAACTAATTGAGAGCAAGCTTGTTGAGAAGGAGGAGATGCTGCACCCCTCGGCCAGTCAGGAGGAGCACCCCGAGCCAGAGAGCTTCTTTGCCCGAATGGAGCGCTCGATGCTGGCAGCTGATGCAGAGAAGGTCGTGGCCAAAGGCGAGATGACTGAGGAGGAGCAGGAGCATGCGAAGAAGGATGCCGCTGCGCACCCGGAGGAGGAGCACGTGGAAGAATGCAAGGAGGTTGACATCGTGGGTATCTTGAAGAGCATCAAGACATGCCCCGACGCCTATGCCATTTTCGAGACGGAGACTGCTCGTGATGCTGCCGTGGAGGCTGTCCACAGTGGAGGCATCGAGTTTGCGGGAAACACAATCACCTTGAACGCCTCCCGGGTGGAGCCGCAGACAGTGAACTGGCGGAACTGTGCCAACACAGACCTGGTGGTAAAGGCCAAGCGCATCGGCTTGGGCTTCCTGATCATGCTTGCAGGGCTGACGTTGTGGGTGGTGGCTTTCTACCTGCCCTATGCCTGGTTTACCTTGACGTTCAACTACTCGTATGGGCAGGAGCCAGGCTTCGTGGCAGGCATGACTTTCTCCATGGTTGTTGTGGCTGGGAATGCCTTGATGTACCTCGTCTGCAGCGAAGTCGCAGATCGCACACGGTTCATCTATGTGGATGACCGGGAGGTGTGCTACATGTTGCTCTACTGCTTCGCGTGTGTTTTCAACGTGGCACTGGACCTGATCACCACTTACATGGTGGCATACCGTATCAACGTGGGCTTGCGCATGAAGACCTACGACGGCACCCTCCTGGAGAACCTCCAGCACTTCTCCGACCGTTTCGAGTCCTATGCCATGCAGCGTCTCCTTGCGAATAACCTTTACGCATATGCCTTCCCTGCCACATTCCTCATCCCTTTCTTGATTGAGCCCGTCGCCACCATCTATGCTCCTTACAAGATGATGCTGGCCATTGTGCGGACACAGCCGTGCATGAAAGGCTTCATGGCCGAGCGCTTGTTGGGAAGTCTGGTCTTTGACCTCTCCCGCTACGCCGATCTCATGTTGGATGTTATGATTGCCGTGCTCATTTTCTTCTTCCCTGGTGGCTTCAACATTCAGATGTTTGTTGGCCTTGCCGGGTCACACTTATACATCTACTTCTTCGACCACTACCGCGTCCTGCGATCCATCCAGAGCTGCAACTACGCAGACAAGATGGTTGATTGGTGGTCTCAGTGGATGATGTGCATTCCCTGCGGCTTCATGCTTGCGTGCGTGGTGTTCAAGGCCAACTGCCAGGAAGGTTACCCATGCGTGGACGGTGACACCATGATCATGGGCTGTGTGATTGCCTTTTTTGGCCACATCATACTTCACACGCTTGCCCTCAAGTTTGTTGTGCCAATGCTTGGCCTCTCTGGGGAGTCGGATGGCGCGGAGACCAACACCTATCAAGACTGCTCCAAACGCATTCCATGCTCTTGGTTCACTGCAAATCCGGTATACTGCCTGCGCTCACAGTACATCTACAAGCACAGCCCCCCCTGCACTTTCTGTTTGCCGGGGAAGGAGCACCTTTTGGAAGTGAACGAGGATATCGGCCTCTACTTCAATGATGCCCCGGCCAAAGAGGAGGATTACGATGCCCCGCACGTGGATGTTGAGGCGGTGAAAGCAAACCTTCAGGATCTCCGCGGCAAGGCATCGGAAAGCTTCGAGCAGCTCAGGGGAAAGGCCAGTGGGCAATTGGAGGAACTGCGAGGCAAGGCATCCGGACACTTCGAGGAGCTGAACAAGCAGATGTCGGGACACTTTGAGGATTTGCAGGGCAAGATGTCCGGGATGTCTGCCGGCATGTCAAGCACATTAGGAGACATGCAAGGCAAGATGTCCGGAATGTCAGCTGGAATGTCCAGCACCTTCGACAGCTTGCAGGGCAAGATGTCCGGCTCCTGGTTCGCGAGCAAGAAGGAGGAGACTGATGCTGCCGCTCCTGGTGAGACCGGCGAGAGCGGCGAGAGCGGCGAGAGTAGCAGCAAGTGAGAAGCCTCTCTGGGGGCGAAGCGGCTGGTACCAATCCAGACCGAACCACCCTTCACTTGGACCTTGAACCAAGAGCCTCGCCCGCTTGCGCTAGTGTGAGAGTTGAAACGGGTCAACGACATGCATGGGACTCGTCGCATGATGCAGACATTTCGGAGCATGTGATGCCTCTGCGCCATGTCGTATCCGTATCTAGAGTCGAACTGTGTATCAGGGAGGTCACTGCATGCATTTGCATCTGCATCTCCCGCCCTTGATTGTGCTGTGCGGTTTGCTGACTTCAGTGCTTGCTCGTTGGGTTCGCTCAGCGTGGCTTCCCGGGAAGGTTTGGATCTGCTGAGAGCTGAAGTCGCCGGGGAGAGTGGCGACACAGACGCGAGGCAAACATTGCCGAACTCACAGCCAGGGCGGCCATCGTACTCTTTGCCAGCATGAACGTTAACAACTCCATCATGATTTCGGTTTCAGTGTTTGGGTTACGGCTCGGGTTCAACTAAAGCGGTTCTGTATGCGTGTGCTGCACACACACCTGTTGAGGCAGCGCCGGTGGCGACGCTCTGCTGCCGGCGTCCAGGCGAGGATGAGAGCTGCAAACAGACAGAAGTATCCGCCTCGCCTCCCTTACCTGGCGAAAAAAGCCGTGGCATAGCGTGCGCTGCGCGCGCATGGTGCGCCTCAAGCCTGGAAAGAAGTGATACCCAGGCTACCCACAGCCAGAAGGTCAGAAATGTTTTTCTTCCCCCGGACCTGGGAGGCTCTTTCCGGTGATGGCGTTGTGGCATCTTGCCAGCCGACTGCCTTACTGCTGGGCCGGCCACGGCTGCGTGCAGCCGAGGCGCCCAACTGTGAGGAACCAGGTGTTTTGTTTGTTTTCCTTTTTGAGGTTATGCAGAAGTTGCCACTGTTTAACCGTTTGTCCAGCCTGGGCTGCCTGGACTGATGCGGTTCAGGCTGCCCTGCATGTTGAATGGCTGAAGTGAGCAGTGAGCATAAGCACGAGCATAAGCATTGGCAAGGCGTGGTTTGCTTGCAGCTGCAGTGAAGTTGTCGGAACCCAGCAACACCACAAGGCGCAGGTGGAGACATCCCGGCTCGGCGTATCAGGCGAGGATGGAAAGGCCTGCTCTGGAAATGTAGCCAGACAGGTCAAGAGACTGCAGTGAGAAATTGCACATTGGTGGTAGCCTTGTGGTCCTTGAGGTTGGCTTGCAACACCACAAGCTCTGCTGCCAGCTGCGATGTCAGCAGATCCGCCTGCTCAATGAAGTCCGCCAGGTGCGAGGTGGCATCATGGCATCCTGCCATGTGCTGCTTCGGGGGACGGGATGACACGTGTACAGACTGTGCGCCCCTGCAATGCAGGTCTACCCTCTGCAAGATTGCATCTCGACTGCCTTCTTCAACTGGTCGCGTGTGCATGAGGGCTGGGCTGACCCAACTGGTCCACACTTCCGTGGCACGTTCGGGTTTGTTGTTTGAACTTCCGAAGTTCGGGAGTTTGATTAGACTCGACGCGCTCGAAAAGCTTGGAGAGGGCACACTCCCCAAGAACCAAGGTGGTAGATACTGGACGATCCGGGGCCTGTGCGTCGCAAGCACTGAGCGATTGAAGCATCAAGATCCACAGCCAGAAACGGCTCCTGGGCTAATTACACAAGGTTGTGCTGGTCGCCAGCGTGCTTCTAGGTAGCCTGGTGCAAAACAATAACTCTCTTGAACATCTGCAATCGCCATTACAATTTGCATCGGCGCATGCCGGCGCATGTCGCTACTGATGGACAAATGGCCCCGGCCTCTGGACATATTCCGGACAGCATGAAATCATACTGGTAGGAGCCGGAGGGAGGCATCCGGGGGCTGGCTAGCGGCTAGATCATGTGGCCATGTGGGGTTTTCACTGCAGGAGCGGGACGTGAACACGGCTCTCGGATTCCTGTCCCACCTGCTGGTGACCCTCGCTCGGCTGCTGCAGGTGCTAAGCGGGGTACGGCCGGGTCGCAATCACCCCTCCCTCTCTCTCTCTCTCTTTCTCTGTCTCTCTCTCTCTCTCTCTCTCCATTTGTATGTCTATCCACTCTAGACTCTAAAGTTCGACCCTTCCTGCCCGGACACCAGGCGCTGACCATTCACTCTCATGACTTCTGCAGTTTCAGCTGAGGTATTCATGGTTGTGCAGAGTGTTAAATTGTTTCAAACAGTCGCTAGCCGCTAGTTCAAGATGCACTTGCAAAGCAATGCTTCGTGGCCTGCTGTGGCTTCACTCCACCGATTGCTCAGAAGGTTATGTGTGAGTGAGTGGTCGCCATAAGACAGAACAACGAAGAGCGAACCGCATTGCATCGGTTTCCGCTGCCATGGCGGACGACTTTGGGGCATCCAGTACTGGTATCGTCCGCATCCCAACGCCGCAGCTGATCGAGGAGCAAAAGCAAGGATCCTTGGAGTTCTTGTAGCAGTTGACGGGAGCGTTTTTGTGCCGAAGTTTCAGGTATGTGTTATAGTGCCAATGTTGATGAAGGCTTGCTGTGCCTTGCTGAACAGAGGAACGATACGACCCTTTACCTCCTTAGTTTTGCCTGCTCACCCATGTGCCTTGTTTGGAGACGTTCAGGGAGTAGTTTGCTTGTGGCTTCAGGTGCCCCTTTCGTGTTGGTCGCGATGTTCTGCATGAAGGGCTGCTGCTGTTTTTGGGTGCCCCTACTCTTCTTTCTGGGAGCTGCCAATGTTCTCCCGACCTGCGAGAATCACGAGCCTTAACTGCCTGCACGGAGTGTTAGTTGGAACTTCTGTTTGCAGAGCTGTGCAAGGTGCTCAGCTAGGTCTGAAGGCAGCTTGCGTTGATGAAGCTCTACTGTAAAAGTTTGCTTCGAGTGCCAATCTCGCCTCCACGCATAGTTCTACAGGCCGTGAACCTAGGATCGCTTCACGGCGTGGATGAAGACTTATCCCTTGGTCCCCATGTTCCGACGGCTGCAAAGAGAGCTACTGTAAGGACTTGATTTGAGGTGCACCCTCTATAGACTGGCTGACTTTGCGTAGTTGTCGTCGGAATATTGCAGCCGTGAGCATGAAGATACGTCGGTACATCGGCAGTTTCACTAGCACCCAGTCGATGCAGGTGCTGTGGAATCTTTGTGCAGCTGCTGGTCACCTGCCTTGCTTGTGTGGGCAACAGGACGACAGAAAACAGTTTCATCACAAAGGTTTGAAACTAGTGGGGGAGTTCATGTCGCGGGCGAAATGGGCCGTGCCACCAACCACCGCGTACAGTCTGCATGACACATTGGCAGGAGCGTCTTCAAAATTGGACTGCGGCTACAAGCCTTCACTGGTCTCGCGTTTGTGTCCGCTGTGGCTTGGGGCTGGTACGAGTTCCTTAGCTGGGCTGCTAAACCTAGATGTTCTCCAGGTCCTCAGTGCTCACTGAAGCAGTACGAATAGTGCCCGTCTGCAGTCAAGGAAGCTTAGGTACTCTGTTACATCGGAGGAGGGCTGTGTCGGAGTCACGGAGATTAACCCGCGGACCCTCTCCCTCGCCTTCCTGATCATGGGGTCTGTCGCCTCGCCCTCCATCCTCTGCACGTCCATCAGCAAAGGCGGCGATCCGGTGAACTCTAAAGTAGCAGCATGTAGCAGCCCTGATGGTCTTGTTGTGATACTGAATGTTGGCACAGGCTGTGTTGGCGATGTTAACGTGCGGGAGACGTCAGAGCAGAGTGAGGATGCAGTCTGAGCTTCTGATTCGACGGCTCGTTGAATACTCTTTTTGCGAGTTTGGCTTCAAAGAAGCCGCAAGGGGCAGAAGCCTAGGAGATCCCGGAGCGTGTCAATGCTTGCTGGAATGTAATGTAGTTGAGTTACTAGCTTCAGTGCTGAAGAAGCAGGAAGCGAGGCTTGCTGCACGGAGTTGTGCAGGCCTGTTTTGTCCCGAATTCGAGATGATTATTTGAGTAAGCCATGTCACATGTCGTACCATTTCGTTGCAATATTGAGCCGCTGGGTTGCGCATGCAGGGACAACTGTGGCATTGAACCCAGCAGGCACTCCTTGGTCAACAGGGTTCAACCTCCCGCCATATTTATTTAAGGGTTGCGCCCATGATTTTGAGTTCCGACTCCTGCCTGCAAAAAGCAGGACATGGCGATTTCTGATTCATTTGGTGATGCAGCCACAACGAAATACAACTGTACAGCCTGCAGCCGTTGCGCGCCTCACGTTGATGCCGAGCAAGTTTTTGTGACAAGCTCTCGCCGAGAGCTGTTGTTCATATTCATTTCAGAGGGCCGTGCTGGAGCTTATCGGGATGACAGTTGGATTGTAATTCCTGCTCAACCCTTTTTAGTCTGGGCTTCTGTAGAAGCAAGTTTGCCGGCTTAGGACTTGGGGCCTGATTGGGGGGGTGGTGGGGGGGGGTTTAGTGGGGTCACTCAGCCCCACTGGGCTTTCGCGAACAATGTTGGGAGCGAGCAAAGCTATGCAAAGCTCGAGATCAATCAAACAAGTTCGTCAGCGGCGAATTACGTGTTATTTTTCCCATTGCTCCCGAACGGGAATATGGGTTCCCGCAGCTTCGCTTCTGGCTGGTTTCCGCCTACATTTCAGCTGAAGCAAGCAGTGGGATCCTCTTCTTACAGAATGATTTCGGGTTGGGCTGCGGATTTCAAGGTCCCGCCGAGGCGAAGCCAATCAACAAAAGCCAAACAATCAATAATCGGTCTGACCCACTCTGGCTGAGACCTGCTACAGTCGCGCTCTTTGGCCTTGAATGTCAACCCAGGCCTTTCGAACTAATTGCCAGCCTGCAAACCTTAAGCCGCAGGATTTGGATTTCGTGGCCTTTGCATTTCGAAGGACTGGCCTCTTCGGTTAAAGGCCAAGCTCTTAAGGCCTGGCCTTCTTGGCTTAAAGGCCAGCCCGGCCAGCCCCGTGAATTATTAAACAAGGGAGCCTTGGGTTTCAGGGAGAGACCGTAATCCCTTCTAAGGCCGGAGGGGGGGGAGGGGTCCGTTTAAATTTAAAAGGGTCCATATGGCCTTCCGACTGTTCAGGCAAGGATCAAAGAGGGTCCAACAGTAATTGTAATGATCATGATTGTGATGATTTCGCTTGCTTTCTGACAAGTGTTACCTTGCAAAAGAGGTTTTCCCTGAGCGCCAGCTTACAGAACAGTGCCGGATGCGCGCCCCGCAACAGAAGCAGCGGTCCCTCGTGAAAAAAGGTGGCCAGAAGATGGTGAGCATGTCGGAACGTATGGGGACAGGCTTTTGCAGTGGCTTTGGAAGCGTTTTTAGCAGCGGCCTGCATTGCCCTTGCCAGGTGCCGCTCAGCGTTGCGCTGCGCCGCCCCGGCTCCTCGCGGAGTGCTGTAGCGGCGTGGTGCAACAGGTACTCTACGAGTGCAAGCTCCAATCAGTTCCAAGACTTCTGATACAAGCATCCGCCAAATCGTGACGATCCCAACCCCTCAAATATGGAACTCGAAATATCAGGCTAAAGAATGCTAAAGTCAAAACCTTGCCGTTCTCAGCAGATCTCAACATCCTCGCCGGGATTGTCGAATGAGCCGAAGCCCCCTGCCATTCAAAGCAAAGCTGCAATATCTCAGGTGAACTTGAATGAGACAGAGGCTTTGAGGGCTTTGAGTCCCTCCCGTGGTGCCTTTGGCCTTGGCCGCGGAGGTGCGAGTTGAGGGCAACAGATGGCCTTCGGTCTTCCATGCCTCAGCTGTTCATGTTTTGCTAGCCCCCTGGGCAGAATCTTTTTGAGATTCTGGAAAGGGCACTAGGGTTCTTGTTGCGCATCGCACCTTCAAGAAGAAGAATCTCCTCGGCCTGGGGGTAGAGTAAAAGAGTGCAGCTGATCTAGTATGACATGGGCCATGCATATTGGTTGAACGGGTGTTCGGTCACTCCTGTCAGAACAGAGCCCAAAGCAACCATTATGTCTGTCGCCGCTCGGGAGGCAAGAGACCCGCCTTGGGTGAGTGGCCTCTTCATTACAGCCGCTCGGGGGATAAGCAGCTTGGCGTCATCCCCAACCATATGGATATGGATGGTATGATCGAAGAAAGCCATCGGTGCAGGGCGCCCTTTTGGCCCTCAAGCTGCTAAGGGCACATTTCGAAACAGCGTTGCGGCTGTTATCCGATGGCTTGAATCAGCCGCCCAGTTGAGAATGTGGTTGCCGTTGGATGCGTTCGTTGGCTGTGTGTTGCGCTAAATGTCATAATGTAAATGATGGATCTAGTTGATGGGGGAATTGTGAGTCTTGTGCATTCAAAGCTGTCACAGCCATCCTGGCAAAGGTTTCTCTACAGCAGGGGCTCCTCCTCTGCAGAGCGTGGCAACCTTCTGAAGTGTGCCGACGCCATCTTGCAACACGAAATCTATGGCAGTGAGGAAACGGCCTAGGTGGTGCCTCCTTACAGCCTGGCTTGCATCTGAGACGATGGCACTATTCCACAGCATCAACTTGAGGGTTTGTTGAAAATTGCCAGAGAAGTTTGCGCAGGGACAAAGGGTCGCGGCATTTGATCATGCCTGGAGGCTCCACAGCAGGTGTTCCATACAGCCCTTCGTTTCACCCAATCGATTACGTGTGGCAAGTTGCCTGCAGAAGCATCGTGAAAGCTACCGTGCGCGGCGTGTCAAGCTGGCTCCATTGTTCCGGCGATGAGAACTTCTTGATTCGTTCTTTGGAGTCTATCAAAGTCAGGCAGTCCCATGCCCGAGCTTCGCTTGGAAGCATTGCAGAGGAACCCTTTCAGGGTATTTCTGGAGTTCTAGGCAAGATGGATTTCTGGATGCCGGCTCCAGGTTGACCTGCAAATCGTTGCTACCGAGGTGCTCGTGCAGCCTGGGCAAACGCACTATGGGAGCCGCCACAGCTTGACTTGTCAATCACTTTCTAATACTGAACTGACCTGAATCCAAAGACATTTTGCCGCGTTTATGTTTTCGAGCTGGCGTTCTTGCAGTTTTCCTTTTCGCAACCTTATCTGTCTTTAAGAACCGTGAGGAGCAGCAACGCCGTGCAGAAGCAGCTCACGAGGCAGCCGTCCGCATCACGTGAGTTTGCATCTGTCGTATTGGGCCTTGGACTTCGCTAAAGGCCAGAGTGCCGTAGGCATGGTCGCCACCTCTAAGCTAAGTTGCCATCTGGTGGCCTTTGGAAGGCCATGGCAGAGCTGAGGAGAACTTTGGCAGGCAGGCGGCAACGCCACGACCAGGCGGGTGATGGTTGGGGCTGTGAAAATTTTGAAACTTCGCGACACTCGAAGCTCGACGTCAACGTTGTTCAGTGTAGCAGTGTAGGGCCCACCGATCTCGAGCCGAGCTGCGCACAGTTCCAGCCCCCTCCCAGTACACTTCTTCTGCCTAGACGCCGCGAGTCTTGCAAGGTAACTCTTTCACTCGCTCCTTTTTTTGCTCCCTCTCCGTCTCCCTCTCGCCCCTAGCCCTCTCCTCCTCCCCTCTCTCTCGCTCTCTTTCTCTCTCCCTCTCACTCACTATCTCTCACTATATCTCTGTCACTCACGCGCTCTCTCTCTCTCTCTTTCCTTCCTTCCTTCCTTTTTTGCTTTCTTTCTTTCTCTCCCTCTCTCTCTCACACAAACCCTCCGACCACCGAGATAGGACCGCACAGCGACCCCTCCTTAAGTTGGGGGCGGCGTGCGGGCATACTTATCAAATCTGGCAAGTCCACGCGTGCCTGGGAGGTGCTTCACCGATCAGCATGCCTGGCACAGGCGCGGCCGCACAGGGAACCCTCACGAAGTTGTCAGATGTTTCCAGCGAGCGAGCGAGCGAACGGGCTGCGAGGTGTGCTCTGATCTGTGATAAAGGAGGATCAAGACAAAGTTGACAGAGCTTGTTCAGATTGTTCAATGTGTTTTGGAGCCACGTGTTGGCAGGAACTGAAAGAAGCCACTGCAGGCCATCCGATGTGGCGGCTGCGTTCTAGTGCAGTCAATCCAGATTCAGATGTAGAGTGAAAGACTCGCATTCAAGCATATTTGGGACTATGTTGTCCTGTGTCATGACAGTGATGAATGCATCTGCCATTGGAGGCCGTTTGGCTCAGCGTTGTTTGCGAGCTGGGTGTTTTCATATCGGAAGTTTTCAGAAGTCCGCAAGCCAAGAGACTCAAGAGGTCTCTTGGTTTCTTGGGTGGCACAGTGGACATCTTCTCTGGCATCTCCGGTGCCTAAAGATCCATGCACTATGTGCTTCAGCCGCTTGACTTTGTCTCTTGAGATGGCACGCTCTAGCTAGGATTCAGTGCAGCCGAACCTAAGTCACCCATTCTTGTCTTGGTGATCACAGTGCTTCAAAGTTGCACTGTTGGTGGAAGCTGCTGAGCCCTGTGTTGGGAGCCCCTCTGAGCTGATGTCCCTACAGTCCTAGTGCACTATGCGCTTTCTAGAATTTGACAGTGTAGCCAGTGTAGCCACAAAACGTGGCCACGTGAAACGACTCGAAGGCCTTCGTCGCAAGCACTTCCCCAAGCGTGTGCTTCAGAAGGCGTGGAACACAGGAGACAGGTCCAGAGTCCAATTGAGGTGATTGGCAGGGGACGATGGTTCTCCTGGCCCTCAACTTCATCGGCGCTGTGCCTTGGCAGCAGGGGGAGAGAGAGAGAGAGAGAGAGAGAGAGAGAGAGAGAAAGAGAGAGAATAACAAGTTTTCATAGACAAAACAGGAAGAAACGGTGGGCTGTGAGTGCAGGACGGAAGGAAGGAAGGAAGGAAGGAAGGAGCAGAAGCATGAGAAGAAAAAGAAGAAGAGAGAGAGAGAGAGAGCGAGACCGAGAAAAGAAAGAAGAAGAAGGAGAAGAAGAAGAAGAAACAGAAGAAGAGAGAGAAACATGCCGATAGGGGACCTCCTGCTGTGGACAAAATGAAGACACAAACAAAGCCAACAAATACATGTGTGATCATGTATGTATATGTATGTGTATGTATACATATATACTCAGGGACGTGTCGAGTTCAATTTGTCGGGGTGCTTAGGGGCTTCGAGGGTCGTGCTCCGACAGGGCCAAGGTGCAAGGGTAGTTTTGGGCTTTAGCCTGTCGGAGAGCATGGAAGCTGCACAGCAAAAATGCCCAAAGAGAGCGAGGCTGAGGGCGTCTAGGAATGTGGTTGGGCTTGGGAAACATGAGCAGCTGCTGTAGCAAGTCCATCGAAAGTGACGTTCAATGTGAGACAGTCGGACCATGTCGGACCGAAGCCGTGCCTGCTGCGTGCGAGTGTCAGTGCGAGAGTCAAAACTGTGTCGGGTGAGCAAGCAGGAGTATGAAAACGGTAGGGAAGCTAGCTCAACCGTGATCCAGATGTTGATTTGCATGCCTATCTAACACAATCAAACATCGCACAGCTAGGCTAAGCAAAACTTCCGGTCAGCTGCCAAAAAAGCATCCCGCGGCTTGCATTTGTGACGAGGCCTGTGCATCGACAATCGTCCGGAGAGCAGAGGTTGCGCCACTTGGAGTGCAAAGCAGCCATGCCTGCAAGCTCGGATCGCTGTTAGCTCCTCCCGCATGCACGGACCCGGATCATCCCCTGAGTCAGAAGCACCTATCTTGTCATCGGTGCAGAGGAAAGAAGAAGACAGTAGACACCCAGGGCTGTACCAGCTGCTATTACGAGCTCCTCAGGTCCAGTGGCGTGATCGGGCTGCAGCCAGCGGACAATTCAATGCCAGGGCTGCCCTGCTGCAAAAAGTTGTTCCACCGGTCCATGGGGCTTGCTGAGCAGGTCCGCAGTGTCAACCTCCCAGTCCAAGTCGTGCCCGAATTCGACGGGTCCTACAGACTCTAATGCCTTCTTATCCTCCGGAGGTTCCTTGATCGCTTCCAAGGATAGCCTACGCTTGAGCCAAAGAGGAAACGTACACAAGCAACTACACGACAGCAAAGCTTCCACATATAGCTACGACAGCTCTGAAGCAGCTACGAGAATCGTCACAGAGCTGGTGGGGGTGGATGGGTTGGACGGTGGATGAGGGGGCTAAGAACAGCCGTGTGAGTCATAGGGAGTGCAGTGAGCCTCAATGAAAACAAAGGTCGGACAATGGCTCATCGGTCATCTTGAACAAGGTGGACACTTGTCAGCGGAGGCGCTGCACTTGCTCGCAAGCACGAGGGTGTTGCTGCTGCAGCAGATCCGAGTTCTGCTCGGAGTGCCCACACCAAGAGAATCCTGCAGAGTATCCCTGCCAAGTCCAGGGATACTTCATTTCATGTTCATACTCTGTTGGTATACATATAACTTCGACTTGAAGTGTGTGTATTATATATATATATATATAGTTTTTGACAAGTAAACGCAAAGAACTTTGGGGGGGTGTGCTATATGTATATAAACGGTATACATAGTCTGAAGTCACGATTTCTAATGCACGGAGGTCGGACGACGAGTGCGAGAAAGGCTCAAGCTCGGAATCAGAGGCAAAGCGCATTGCTGTCTACACCTACGCTGCTTGGTCCGCACAAAGTTTCAATCGAGTCGTCGACGTCATCATTGTCATCATCAGCGGTGTTGCCATGAGCTGGCATGATCGTTATCGCGAGGGGTGCGTGCAGGTTTCATGTGCAGGCCAGTTGATAGCATCAAGGTGACCGGAGCATATGAGGAGATCCGCGACTTCAGCGTGCCTCTAGCTCAGTGATGCTGGAGCTATTCAGCGACAATTGTGACAAGTGGAACTACTATTGCAAGCAGAGCAACAGGCGATACATCATGGCAGGCATAAGCCGCATAAGGCTCTAAGAGCCGAGGCCGTGTGTGCCAAGCGGAGTAGATGCCTTCTTCATTCTGGACGACGCGACAAGGCTGGATTCCTGGATGCTCAGGGCTGAACTCATCGAGAGATGTTCAGGGCTCGTGGTTTCGGGATGCTGCTTTTGGAAGAAGTTTGAAACGGTAAAGATTTGTCAAGTGTTGCGCAGGAAGTCGACCAGCAATGAGAAGCTGGAGGTTTGGCGGAAGCGTGGTTGGCATCTTGACAAATCAGATGCTCGCCGAGCCATGTTGTTTTAGCGTGTCTTCAATCTGCGCCTGCACCGTGTGCTGCCAAGGTGGATTCTCACCATGATGCCAACAATGGAAGGTACGAGTGAGGTACCCTTAGTTGCTTTGCCGCAGGAAGGCAAAAATGTGGTTTTCAGGACTGGCAGTTTTACAACCGTCCGAAACGGCAAGGCCAGCACTTAACGTGGGCCTGTCTGCTGTTGCTGTGTGTGCTTGCAGGTAGCTAGCACCCTATACTGTTTGCATCTGTTCGCTGGGTGTTCTAGTTGGCTCAGCTGTGAGGCCCGCTATGCCGCAAAGTCTTTGAAATTCTCACCACCCTCATGGCTGCTAAACGGCACATGGGAGCCTTGACTTGCACAGGTCGTTCTTTGGTTCTTGTTTGTTGCGGTCACTTCTGTTGAAGTGCAGCTGCTCACTTTGGCGAAAGGACTGGCTGGTGGAGTTCGATGGCGACATCTCCCTCAATATGGCAGGTCTGCGGCCACTGGTGGACACACACAGCGACAAAGCATTGGTCCTCCTGAAGTGGTACTGGAAGGAATGTCAGCCGTGGGACTGCTTCATGTGGGAGTGTGACGATATGCTCCAAAACCGGACTCTCAGCAGATTTTGAGTAGCTTGTTCTTGGATTCTAGAACAATCGTTGCGAGGATTCCGGGAGATGTGTGTTGACAGATGAGACATGGCTGGGTGGCTTTCAGTTTTTAGGGCGAGTGCTTGCAGAGCAAATGGGGTTCGCGACGTATGTTCAGTGTCATCCAACATGTACTTTGGTTGTTGTTGTTGTTGTTGTTGTTGTTGTTGTTGTCGCCGCTGTGTGGGGGCCTATTGTGCGACTCTGCGGCAAAGATTTCTCTGTGCGGTGCTGCTGCTGATGCTACAGGACTGTATAGGATACAACAGGAAGTGGGAAGGTGCTGGGATACGTCAGCAGGGGTGACGTGAACGAGTATGTATTCAGGTACTTCAGAACGTTTATGGCCTTCTCATGTTTACAACTTTCAATGTCAGGCAGTTTAGGCAGCTGCCTCTTTGCAGCTATTGTGGGCCAGACCCTGCGAGGATGGAAGTCGTACACCAAAGTTTTGAGCTGCGTAGACGTCTTGGCTCGGCACCTGTGCCTCTGCCAACAAAAATCAGAATCAGCTCAGGAAGGAATATGTGGAGACCTCGTACCAGCGCATTGTCAAGTGGAAGGAGCAAATGCAGAAGCTTCATGATGACCCAAAGCTTCCTGTTTGCATTGACTGGCTCCGCCCCTGCTCTTGCTTAGTCCGATGCGAATTGGACTGCCAGCTTTAAGATCTCTTGATGCCTTTCGCTCCAGGCATCCCTTTGTCCCGGCTGACTACTATGAGCTGAGCGTGATGTTCCGCAACGTGGTCTCATGGCCATTGATTGGTTCAAGTGTTGTGCCACCCACAACGCGGTTGAGATGCATCGGTTCTAGCCTCGTGAAAGGCGCATGCAAGGGCGGGCGAGGTTGAGGACACGTTCCGGTCCCTTGGCCTGAGTATGACGAGTAGAAAAGGTTTTAATTTGGTTCTAGTCAAACCTGCATTTCTCCATATATTTTCTCCAATTTGCTGACAGAACCTAAAACGAGCCCATTGTCGATTAAAACACCATATTCAATCATCATATAAACTTTGTACAGTTAAATCAGTATATGATGATATGTACATGTGTATATGTATATATAGACAGATAGCTATGCATGTATATATATATGTATATATGTATATATGTATATATGTATATATGTATATATGTATATATGTATATATGTATATATGTATATATGTATATATGTATATACATATAGAGATATGCTCGAACTTCTGCTTGTTGTGGGCTTTTCGCTTTTTAGTGGGTTTTTGTTTAGATGTTGGCTGATGGTTTGACTGGCTGGAGTGGAAGTGATCGGGGGCAGACAGCCTCGTCCTCATCCCTGCGATGTGGATTCGCCCCAGCTGTGCAGGAGGGAAAGAAAAGTTCCCAGGTCGCTCAGAGTTTAGGGCCAAAACGTATCCCTATGTCACTATATGTATATACATATATATATATTTATGTATGTGTGTGTGGGTGTGTGTGTGAGAGTTCAGAATATGATATATAGCATTTTTGTTGTTTCAGCATACAACAAAAAACGTGTTTGGCAATTGCAGATGGATACTACTATACATATACATATATGTATGTATGTGCACATTGATTTGCCTTCATTTTTCTTTTGTACGCAGCTGTAAAAGCGTATATAACATGCCTCAAAATGTTACCGACGTTCCTTCAAAGCGTCATGACTCCTGTCCAGGTCCAGACCCTTCAATGTGAACGTTGTGCCCCCCGCCCCGCCCCCCTCTATCGATGTTCAGCGAGCAAGAAGCCCTGGGCTCCTTCATTTAGGCAGCATGCACAACCGTTCAACCACTTGCAGGAAGGTGTTGCATCAGTGCCGCACTATCCAGCGAGACCAGTTTCTGATGCCCTTCTTTCTGTGGCTACCTGGCAGAGTGGTCGTAGTCGGTCGTAGCTTCGAAGGATCAAGAGGCGGCCTATAGGGGTGTACTGAGCTGCCGTCCTGATGCTGGCAAGAGGCTCAGGGCTCAGAGTGATCATTTGTGGCAGCCCCCAATTAGGGACGACGCGGATGGCTTTTGGCATCCCGTGTTTTTTGCCTCAAGCCGAGGAACTCGTCGTTGCAGCAGGACGTGGCTGCAATCCCCATTGCGACTTTGCACCTTCACCGCGTTTTGGGCGAAGCTCAAAAGTTGCGTCAGTCCTACAAACTGATGTGAAGAATTGTGAAGACAATCGTGGTTGCGAATGCACAATGCAGGTATTCAGATTTGCATTTCTGCCGCGTCGACACAAGAAGAGTCAGAACTTTAGCTGCACTTAATGTAAACGCTTGCTCGGGCGCCTCGGCACCCTGGCCGGCCCAAGCCACGGGACGCGCATGCGGTCCAATCCGGGCTGGTCGGGCTGCAGATGCGGAAAGAGACGGCGGGTCGAGGAAGAAGACGCAGGAGAGCAGCCGACCCCTTAACCTAACCCAGCGTACGGCGTACGTGAGCTTGGGGCGTATAGGCTTGCATGGCTTGCTGGAGGGTCCCTGAAGCCCAGTTTTCCTCGATTCGTAACGAAGGCTTGCAGTGCCAGCCGGCTGTGCAAAACTTCGGGGGTGGAGTGCGCTTCTTGTATGTGCTCTCGTGCTCGTTGCCAGACGAAGCTTGGGTGGGGCGCTCGTGGGCTGTTGCCAAGTGAAGCTTGGGTACGCGGGAGCTGCCAAGAAGCCAAGAAGATGGCAGGGGGGGCTGTAGTGGTTAGGATGGTCAGGCAGCTTTCAGTGTTCAGTGCAACAGAGGGTTTTTTGGTCGGACCGGCCCCAAGGGAGGCAGGGGGGTGGACGCAGTGTTTGTTTGGGGTGCAAGTGATTAAAGGGTTGATCAACTGCACAGAGGCTTGTATTGGGAGTGTAGTACGCTTCGTTTAGGTACTGTAAATCTCAGTGGCACGTGCCGGCCTAACCCAACAAAGCCCAGAGGGGTGCGGGTTGACGGATTATCTCTTTCTGGTTTGTTTCATTTTATGTGGAGGTTTCGAAGCTCAAGAGCAAGGCCAAGGAAACCCTGTCAGGCGACTAGCTCCGATCTGGGATGGAAGGAAACAGTAAGGGCGGCCTGCGCGTCTTTTGAGGCTGTGCGCAGCCTTCATTACCCTCATCCAGTGTCCGGCCTAGACGCTTTTGAGGCGGATTCCAACATAGTCTCTTCCCGCTGCTAGCACTTGCAGTGCGAGAGACCTGACGAGTAGTAGGGTAGTGATTTTCTGAAGCACCACCTCGTTAAACGCGCTGGAAAGCACAATAAGGCTCAATGAGGCAGACACAGCAGAGCAGCACACTTCTGAATCATGAGGAAACCTGCTGGCAGATCGGGATGTTCACGCCAGCAGCGACGTAAACGTCACGGAGTGGCGAGACTTTGCCACCTGGCTTATCATGCTGCACCTATGTCACATCTATTGGTGCTGTGTGGGTGTTGCGGCGGTGTGTTGTGCAGGAAGCTGACAAATTCGATGCGTGGCCAGATGAGCTTTTTCGGGAGATTGACCTTGAACCACCACGGAGTACCGACCAGCGGGACTAGTTCGTGTCGTAGGAAGAGGTATCAAGTGGCGCACGCAAGTTCGCATTGTATTGTTTCACCTTGGAGTGGTGAGGCCAAGTTTGGTAAACCTGAGGTTTTCCACAGACCTCCAATGCCGACATTGCGCGAACCTGCGGGTAAAGCACCGCCCAACCTACCTCAACCTCAGCAGGGCATGGTATTGCAATGGTTATCCCCGAGACCGTTCCTCCCGTCCCCTCTCTCTCTCTCGATAGATACCGTGTGATCCCAGCACCTCGTGTGAGCGTTCATTTCAAGCTTGGCAAGCAGGCCATCCAGAGAGGCTGCAGTCTTTGGGCGAGTCCGCCACCGCCCCTGCCCAAGATGTATGGTACTTGTACAGTCACCTATCATAGAGACCTTTTGAGCTGTCACTTCCCATCAGCTGCAGAATCTCTTGTATGCAGAAAAAAGCCAGTGCTTTTGAAGGCTGCAGCTGATGGCCTCGAAGAGGCAAAGGTCGCGCTGGCAGAGGCGCCCCGTTGCACACCTGCAGGATCCTAGAGGTACTAAAGTGGTAGGCGTTGCCCCCGACAGAAAACAAGCATGCATTTTTGGGGCTGGCAGAACTTGGCATTCGAGTGTGTCTCGAGCGCTTCTACGAATCCTACCGACAAGTGGAAGCTCAAGCCGAGCTGTCATCTCTGTGAAGGAGGATCAGCAGACGTGCGACCTCCGAGCTGTGGTTGAACGCAGCCAGGAGGCCTTGACAAAGTTGGAAGGCGCTGGGGCACAGAAGTGTTGATGCTGGCCAGTGACTCTGACTGCCTCACTCGGACGGGGCGCCTTGGGCTTTGATCCCTGTAATTGTTCCTGCAGGCAACCTCGCAAGCCTTGAGGCCAGGACGGCAATGGATAGCAGACGGGTTCTGTGCTGCCGTACAGTCTCCATTGGTCGTGTGTGGCACTCTCGCATTGTTGCTTGTGGCACTTACTGACCTTCTGCATTCTAGAATTTAACGTCACCCTCCTAGATCTACGTATTCTAACTCGTCTACAGATGTCTACAGGATTCATTGCACAACCCCATGCTCGTGACCAGTGACCACTTGCAGCAGCCGTGGGTCCTTACAGGCAGCATGCGGCAAGGCCAGCGCAGGCCATGGGGCCCTTCGCCAGCGCGAGGAGGCAGAAATACCATGTGTTTGAACGTCTTCACGCTTGATGCGCCACAAGGGAATACAAGGAATACGGATGGAGCCGACTCCGGCTAAAATTCGGCCACGAGATCGCAGCGTTTTCACGTTGGAGCGTCTCAATGAAACTTTCGGATGTGTTCCAGACAAACACCACAGAGAAATGGCAATCTTAATGCATGGTAAGCCGGTAAGCAATTAAACATAGGAGCATGCAGTGTTCGCTCTGCCTGCAGAACTTACGGCGAGCTTTGGCGCAGGGCCGGGCAGACTTCCAGGCCTGAGTTCCCGCGTTAGGTTTTGCAATGTGACTCGGCATTATGTGACTCCACAGCCTTCCCAGAAAGTAGAATCAGCAGCTGACTTTTGCAGGCTAGGCTGTGTAAACACAGGAACTGTAGCTCGTGGTGTCAGAGACGCTGGTGGGACAGACCACCCCCATGCCACGGAGCAGAATCTGGATCTAGCCCCTCTCATGCCAATGGGGCAGCAGTAGATAAGAAACTGTACAGATCAGGCATAGCAGCTTCATGCCCGCACTTCCTGAAGCGAGCAGTGGACTTGTAGCATCTGCGTAGTAAGTGCCTGAAGCTATATTTCAGAGTCAACCAATGTCAATCATACGGATGCCGGCAAGCGCATTGTGATTGCTTCTTGTTAAGTATGCGATATACAACTATTTGAGTCGACAGCAACGCTTGAAGAAACGACCTTCAATTGCCGCAGCCGGCACGTCAGCTCCGGAAACCAAGTCCCCCCCCCCCCCCCCCTCCCTTTCTGCCCTCTTCGACTCCCACCCATGATCGACCGCCTGGATGACCTGCGCTCAGCTGCTGCGGCTGCGGCGCGAGGCCGAACACGACGCTCCTCTGGAGCGGCTTCACCCAGGCTGCTGCGCTCTCCAGAGGCTGTGGGCCTGGACAGGGTTTTGAAGACTTCCGTGTGGACCCATGACGCGGGTCAAGTAGCTGTAAGTAGCTGTCCTGACTGCGAAATTGCGACATTTGCCAAGTAAGTAGACGCCAATCTTAAACGCTGCGTTTGCACAGCAGGTGTGCCATTGGCAGGTGCTCGAAATTCGTACCGTCGTACCTGACAGTTGATGCACATGCGTCTGCAGCGATGCTTGGCTCAGGCACTGAGGTATAGTCATGGCGCTGGTTCCGCATGAGGCAAAAGGCTTTTCAAAGTCCACCTTGTATGATGGGCTGAAGCTGGTCATGGTTTCAGTCAGCCAAGAGGAGGAGGAGGAAGTTCAAATGGATCCCGAAAAAGGGCCTTTGGTTATGCAGCTTGACGGCAGCATGACACATCTGCAGACAATCCGTGGTATCGCAGGTGGCGGTCAGGTCAGTGAGAAGCTTTGGCCGCAGATGACGGCCACGGAGCAGACATGTGCGCTCTACATTTGCGCAAAGAAGAACCGGTATGTCAAGGAGCGGCTTGAGAATCAAAACCAGTGATGAAGAAGGAGATTCTTGAGAAGAGAGACAAGTGAGCTCAGCTGAGTGTCAGGGGCCTCTGAGGAAGAATCCAGGTAGTACGACCTTCGGGTCAGCCAAAGTTCGCCAGATCTCCTTTCACCCTGACATACCCTGACACGCTTGGTGTGCCGCCAGTGCATGTCTTGGATGGCTTCCGTATGCTTCCGTGATCATGAACAAAAGGCAGCGCTGGTCAGATCTGGGCATTGTATGGAGCGCATGTGCATGTGGACCATGCACGTTCCAAGCATTTCCGAGCATTCGCCCCCTCCTCGGAGGCCTCGCCGCCACAAACGCCCCAGTGCCTGTGACTGCATGACTTCGCAGAAGGTTGGGGTGATTTAGGGGCTTGTCTCGAGTCTAGAGCTGTGGAGACCCGCCGGTGTCGGTCGGTTCAAACATGTCTGATTGGTTGTCAAGATTTGCTTTCGGCTGAGGATTACGCCATACTCGGTCACCAGCTCGGGCTCGCTTATGCGCGGCCGCGCAATCGACGCAGGCTAACCCTTCTCCTAAGCAGGCTTTTCTTTGTGTTGAGCATGTCATGACGTGTGCCTGTGATTTTATGAGTGGGGGTGGGAGCAGTTCGTAAGGCGGGGGCTATCTGTAGTGGAAGAAGGAATCCTAAAGCATGTTCTGATTTGTATAGGATTGCAGGTTCGCTGTCAGTCGAAGCAGCGCAACGTTCTCTGGCGAAGCCCTTGAGGTGATCCTCTCCAAGCTTTCTTGGGCAAGTTGGAGTCCGTCCGCCTCGGGCCCCTCCAGGAGCTAGAAGGCAGATCCTGAAAACTGGCACATGGCACGGCCAATGTTGCGCACAAGTTGTTAAGGATTTAGTACGTGGAGCTTTGAAACAAACAGCGCTACGGCGCTACAACCTTCGAGATCGCGAAAGCCAAAGTTGATGTGCACCTTCAGGTTCCAGCCATGGGGAGTTGTTGGGATGAGGGCTTCTTGACTCCCGAAGGTTCGCTCACAGAGGCTCAGACACTCCATGTGGCTGCACTGAGAGCGACGACGGCCAAGGGGGAGAAAGATGTCGGGACCTCAAAAAGGGTGCAGCAGTGAAGCTCAGCTTGTTTTTTTTTATTTATCTCGCATGGCTCCATTCCAGCCGCATGTAAGGCACTGCTCAAAGCTGAAGCTTGTGCTGAGCGGGCGTCGGCGGCAGCAGCCAGGCACTGCCGGGAGGGAACATCAAAGGTACATGTCAGAAGGCATCTGGAAATATCTAGAACATCATCGGTGGGTTTGAAACGGGATGGTCGTGCATTGCTCATGCCGTGCTACACGGTCGTTGCTGCTATGCTTCAGAGTGGCTCCCAGTTGATTCCAGTTACTCGTTGCTTGAATGTGCAGGACAGGGCCTTGGCCCTAACATCCCCTTAAACTGCCCTTAAACTGCCCTTAAACATCCTTAACTTAAGCCGATGAAGAGCTCCTGAACATCCGAGTTTTGGAGGACGTGCAACGAGCTCCGGTCACTGGCCCCGGAGCCGGGGGCCACCGGCTCGGAGGCTTCTTTGCGTTCTTTTGTGTGTCTAAAACATGTCTTAAGCACAGAGCTGAGCAGCTTCTCGAAGAGGACTGCAGCTGGTGTGAAAGACTTCAGGCTTAGGATTTCTGATGGTTGGGCTTGGCCTCTGTTTTGAGATGTTTGGAGAGTCCGGAGACGTGATATGATGTGCAACAGTACTATTGTGGGCTTCAAGGTTGTGTTTTGAAGCGAATAGCGAACTGTGGCCGTGTGCCGTTCTATGGCTGTCTGGGACTTGGTGCACCTGGCATCGCATGTTGCTTCGGATTGGGTTTGCTGCAAGGCCGCCCTGCGACGGCAGGCCTTCGCGGGGGTGTCCGTTCTCTTCCAGAGCCCTGCCTGATGTCATAGACTCGCCATCTGAATCTGAGACTCACGGCCTAGCCTTGGTTTGCCCTAAATCCCTAAATGAAGTTGGCCACTAAGTAGGTGGAGCCTTAGGTTGTCATTCTTTCATCGGACTTACCGCGCAGCTTTGCCTGAGGAATGCATTGAACTCCTACTTCCAGGCACAAATGAGATTTCGGCAAGAGATGGAGGACCAAAAGCTTCCCGGGTTTATAGTTTATGGTTTGAAGATGTTTGAAGGCTTCAAAGGCTCCTAAGGGTCAGTCTGTCCCTGATCGCTTGTGTTTCCTTCTGGTCTCTTGATGTCTCTTGCCTCGGATTCGCCGCAATGAGGAGAAAGTTTCTCGGCAGCTCCGTGCAGCTTTTCCGGAAGCGGATGATACTGTGTTCCGGCAGATGTTGCTGTAGGACATTGGGTGCGGATTGGATTCGTTTGTAGGAGCTTTTTCATGTGTTCGCAGAAGTCGAGGTTTTTTGTGCCGTGCTGTTGGCCCAAGCTTTTTTCGTTGGAGGTTTGGCTTAATTAGTTGATGCAGCACGATCGTACCAGGTCGTCGAAGCTGTGGCTGCAGGCTGCTGATCTGGGTTTTTCAGGTTGATGTCGGCATGTCTCTGAGGTGTCTCCCTGTGCTTACTTTCTGCTGGTGTGTGGATTCTTAGATCCCTTGCGGGATCTGCAGGCCACTCGCCGCCAACAGTTAGACCAGTCGGACATGTCGCAGGCCGTGCGTCTGCGGCCTCGACGATCCAGAACGCAATGATGCGGCAATCAGGCGGGCCAGAGACCCTGCACAAGCCTGCCCACTTAACTGCCCCACGCATCTTGAGGAGTCGGCTTGTTGGGATGTGGATGTGTGGCCCTGCCTTTTGTGCCCCACCAAAAAGTTTCAGGAAGCACATGTCTTGGCCCTACGAAAGGGCAAGATAGCGCGGCCGAGCTTTGCAACTTGAAGGCCTGGCCTTCAAGGGGCAACTGGGATCCAAGAGACCCGGGCCTTGCTCAATGAGGACCTCGAAGCAATCCCACCAAACGAGACTACCACCTTGCCCAACTCTTTTACGAATTAGAGCCGGATTTCCTTATTTGAAAGCTGAGCCTAGGGGAACAGAGGCCGAAGACCACCCAACAAAAGTTCGGCTCGGAAGACAAGTCCGTCAAGAGGATGCAACAATGCCACTGGACCCTGTTTAAGTTGGCAAGCTCAGGACCTTCCGCCTCTCGTCGGCCCAGCCGTTGCGCGTAGAGAGTCAGTGAAGAGTCTATAGGCGTAAGTCTACAGGAGCTCAGCCTACCGTGAATGGAGGAGTTGTGCAAGCATGCCCTTCAGAGCTTCCATAGGCACGGCGCCATTGACCACAGCGAGTGCGCTGCAGGCAACCCGCGAGAAATGCCAGGTTCTAAGATGTTGTTTCGCCTTTGCTAGCGCCGCACGACCCTGATGTCGGGACCTGTGCTACACCAAAGGCGATGAGCTTGCCAACCTAGCACGTGCTGCACGGGATTTGAGCCAGGCCAGACGTGACAAAGCTTCCGGAAAAGGAGTTGAGTGGTACGACAACTATCTTGTCCTGGCAGACAATGCTAATCACCCCATTCCTTTGTCCCTCAAAGTTGCTGTGCTGTTCAAACACGAGAGAGGGAGATATGCAAATTTGCTTCAAGATCTGAGCCCGTCAGTCCAGTCAAACTTGGGAATGTTTCGAAATCATGCAATATTCTAGGTCTGATTGTACCTGCAAGGTGTTTGTGGACGTCGAGTCCCTGGTAAATTCCCAGGGGGAGATCTTGAATGACATCGGGCGACTTGCTCGGCTTTGGCGATGGAAGAGAGTTCTTTTCGGATGCCCTTTGCAGTAGCAGGGGCTATGCAAGTCATGGATGAGGTTCTGGCACGATCTGCTACTCTTCCCGATTGTAAACTGTACACCTGATGCCAACTCAGGAGCCATGTAGCGTCCACACGGGTGCCTCGACTTGCATTCGCTTCACTTCACCCTAGCGCCGGAGTTGACAAGCCTGCATGCAGAGCTCCTGATGCACACGGGTCATGCCGAGGAGCAAGTGAAGAGGGGGCATGAGGTGCTACTACAGGCCCGGGCTACAGCACGTTGCATCCCTGCAGAAGCGAGAAGCCTACGCAAATTTAATATGAAAAAGTCCATGAAGGACAGGGGAAGGCGTGTGCACTTGCTAGGCTTTGCTGGGTGATTCTCTGTTGCAATCGCAAAAAGTGTGGGTGAAGGCTCCTTGAGAACATTGTGACTGCAGAACGATGTAAATCCCACCACTGTTTTCGACCTGCAGGCCAGCCGAGCGCGCAGTGCTTGCAGGTGGCGTTGGACAGCCCTGATCCTGATCCTGGTGCCCCGCGCTTTCGAGAGGGGGCTTTGAGCTGGTGCTCCATTTCGCGCGCTTTGCTTCGTTTATGGATCTTCATAATCTTCATAGTCGGATTTGCTATTGTTCTGGAGAGCTGAGACTTGCCACCCTGCTGGTTAGGTCCGGGTTGGTTTTGTTTTGTGGGCGCTGTTCCGGCATCCGCCTGGTCACGGGGGCACGCTCAGGAAGCGTTTTTTGCGCGAGTTGACGGGTTCAGCGTGTAGGTCCTGTAGAAAGGGCTGGGGGAAACTGGAAACACCTGAGATTGTGATCTGCCTCATCCTCTTCATCATTTTCTCCATGGTGAAGAACAAGGCCACACCCGGCACTGCATGCGCGTTCTTGGCCGAACGTCTGAGAGCTGCTCTGCAACTCCCTCTAGTAGAGGCTCACCCTCACCAGTCGTTCCTGGCCTTCTTGAGCCAGCTGCTTAGCCGGCTGCTTCGCGGAGCTGCCTGTCAATTCTTGGGCGCCTTTTCCCCTTTCCCTGTTTTCTGGTGAGTTGTCTAGCCATGTTTAGCCCAGTGCCCAGGTCAGGAGCTTTGGAGCCCGACATTAAGGCTTACAGGCTGATGTCTGCCTGATGCCGATGTTAATGCGACCACCGCTGAAGTGGCAGGTGCCCCCGGCCCAAGGCGGCCAAGGCGAACAAAATTCCACATTGGTTGCAAGACAACCCGATAATCCCGACAGGAAGTGATGAAAGTTGGCGCGCCTGCCACCTCCAACTTTTGTAGCCGTTCCCTGGGCATATGTCGGTTGCTAGAGCCGACAAGCATGCCTGACGACATCCAGCGCGCTCGCATACAAACAGTACTGGCAGCATAGGCCATCGCAAGACCGACTCGGAGAACCCCGGTATTCATACAGTTCTTCAAGCTGTTCCGTAGCATGTGGCCGTCCATGTCCTCAAACGGTCTTCCTACAGTGAGGCTTCATGTGCCACTTCCGCACTTGAGATCACTTCGGCTTTGCGCTGTCATGGTCTACAAGCTGGTCTCAATCGGTTCTGGCCTCCCCAGCCCCACGGTCTAACCATGTCATTGCGCCAGCGCCGAACCTCCTTGCTCGCGGAGTGTGGAGACCTCCTTCGGCGCATGAACAATGCCCCCTTGATGCAAGGAGGTTGCAGGATGGTGCATATGAAAGCTGTCAGACCCATTATGTTTGGACACCAAAGCCTGAGCATTGAACAACCCTAGGAGATTCTCAGTCTGAAGGGCAACGTGCGGGTTCGGAGCTCAGCTTGGTTCATCTCACGCCGACATGGGATCTCCTGCTTTGCCATAGGGTGCTATAGGACAGCTCACCCCAGCTGTGAACAAGTCGTTGTTTCCGTTGCTACTGGTACCGTGGCAGCGCGCGAGTCTCCGACCAGTCATCGGAACATGCTCAGCTGCCTGTTGAGATCATAATGCGAGCCAGCACCAACTACAGGTCTTCTGCCGGTGGCGCCCAGCACTGACCGGCCAGGCGCGGTGTCACCGTTCAAACGCCTACCTTATCCTGTTTTCCGTCTTTGCGACCTGGATGCTCACGTTGAATCTAAACATCGTTTGTGCCAGCTGTGAGCTCTGAAAGCCTTCTTATCAATAGAAGGAGGCTTCGGAGATGCTTCAGCCCGTGGAGTTTCGGGAGGACCTGCAAGGAATCACCGAGCCAGCCTCAGCCATGAAATGGAGCCGCTGTGCCCGCTTTGTTCTTATGACGCCTTGGAGCCTCGAGAGTCTTAGACTGAGTCTTAGTGCAATCAAGGGTCTCACGGGTTGGCTCGGGTGGAACTTGAGAAAGTTCCTCTGATGCTTACGTGTGGCATGCGTGGCGTCTCGTCCTCGAAGCAGCGCCCGACTAAAAGGGTGTCTGTTGCGTTACTACATCGTAGTACATTGTAGTACATGTCTTAGAATCAGAAGTGTTAATTCAGAGGTTAATGGCACTCCCTTCCTGCATGGACAGATTAGATAAGTGATAAGCTTGTCCTTCGCGATTCGCAGCGAGAAGCGTCATCACAAAAGTTCAGACCCGAGAGCTGAGCCTTAAATGCGTAAGCCTTTTGTTTGAGGTCTGCTTTGATTTGCCTAGGGGACCCTGAGCTTCTGTTTTGTGTGACTTGTTGCCTTTGCAGTACAGACTCTCGCTGCTGGGCGGGTTGCAACAAACCCTCTTTGCCATGAGTTTGTCGGAGCGGTTCCTTTTGAGAGTTATACAGATTCTCCCCCAAAAGGTAAAATCCCCCCCTCCCTTTTATTGGGACCCTCAATAAAAGGTCTACGGCATTCCGCAGTTGAACGTGACCGGCCTCAGCGAGCAGACGAGGTCGCGCCCTTTCCCCTAGAATTTTCCTCCGTAAAGTGGGATGGTAGTGGGATGTCGGGCAGGCGTCGGGGAGCCACGTACTTGCAAACGCGTATGTGTCCGGCGTAAACTGGCAATGTGCATGCATGGAGACCTTCAGTGCTGGTGAATGTTCAGAGGATCCAAAACCAGTCAAGTTTCGAAAAGGGAACTGCTGAGCCTGCTAAGCAGCAAGTAGTTGATGAGACCTCCGTACTGACCATGAGCACGTAGTCACGAACCGTGCTTCACATTTCTTGGGCTCAAGTGCCACAACGGGGGCGCAGCCGCCCACTTTCCGATAACTCGGAGGCAAAGTGCAAAGTGTGTGTTTCGCATGCTTTCAGACTGAGGGCACGCGCTTCCGGTTGCCAGAGGTGGCGCTGCATGGCCCCCATGCGTGGCAATGGAGGAATTTGCTGCGCGTGGCCGACGGGTCAGGGACTTAGTCAGAGTTTCTCTGCTGCGTTCGTGAGACTGCTCCATGTCATGGCTCAGGGCAGCATGCGGCTTAGCCAGGGTGCCCAGAGGCCAGGAACCTAGGACTCTGAATGCATCTGTCCATGCCCTGGCCTGGCAGGCTGACAAAGGAGCAGCTGGCAGAGATTGAGAAGGCTAAGGACGGGGCGCGTTCAGGGATCCCTTCCAATCAGAGCCACCAGAGTCAGTACAACAGTCGAAGTCGCTTGAGGCTCAGAAGTAGAGTTTGAGTTTCCGGAAAGAAGCACAACATCTGTGCTTAGAGCGGCATGCTTGTGGACCGGAAGAAGTGCTGGCCGGCATTCAGTCAGCTCATGAACAGCTTAGGCAGGGTACGAAAATGCCAGGGCTTGTTCTCTTCGTCGGGGCTCCGAGCCAGTTGAGTGCACATACGGCGTATCAATTGTCAGACTTCCTTGTCGCATTGTTCTTGGGTGACGGCAGTTACCAAGCGAACAATTTCCTGATGTCCTCCTTCTACTGCTTAAGGGCTCAAAGTGCATGTAAGTCGTTCCTGAATAGAAAACACCCTCAGCATTTCGCTTGCGGGTCTTTATGTAGTAGGCCAAGCTTGGCTTTATTAAGCTTAAACTTGTCCCATCGCAGTGGAAGCGGGAGCTGGATGAGATCTTCGAGCGCAGCATCCATGCCTCCAGGCTGCATCTGAATGCCAAACTCAAATGCCCAGCGCTGCATCAATTGTTTGGGACGTTGGTCCAGCCAGCTTTGCAAGCTGCTCTCACGGGCATGGAGTTGCATGATGATGCATGGAGGGCTGCGGATGACACGGCTCCGGATGCCAAGGTGACGTCGTTGAAAGATGAAGACTTTGCGAACGTGCTGGGGCCCGGCTGGAAGACGTGCCTCGACTGCATTTTCGATTGCATGTCGTGTTCCACTTGGCAGCGATGAACGGGCGAGTTGTCGCTAGAGCGGTGCTCCGGCGTGGATGTTGGCAAACATGAAGGCAGCACCCCACCAGGATTGACTTCAGCAGCCGCGCTCTGAGATCATAATTTGAACATGTTTTGGTTGTGACATGCTGTGCCGTTAACGCTTCCCGCCCTCTGCCCAACATTCCCAGAACTTTGCCACACCTCACTGCACAGGTGACCGGTACCAGCTAGACACCTTGGAGGGCCCCTCAGGGGGTCTCCTGCACCCAATGCTGCGTAAGCATCGGGTCAACTTGGTGGATGCTCCCGGGACTGACAGTACAGGCACGCAGAGACTTTGCTGGCCTCGCTACCTTTCTTTGTAGGGGCTTCCTATTCCGCCCACTGACGCCACAACATGTCGCCAGCCTTTTGTTGCACTCAGAATTCATGTCAGAATGATTCAGAATGTGTCTTAGACCAACCCGGGGTGACAATGAGCTTGAGCGCAGAAGACGTCCGAGGTATCCAACAATCACTTGATGGACATCTCCGTTTTGAGCAAGGCCAACGGCTTCGAGGCTCTGCACACAATCATGGCAACTCGGACGGCTCTGAGGGGAGAGGATAGGTCGGATAGGTGCTTCTGAAGCCGACTTCTAAATCAGAAAGGCGAGGAAGAACCTCTTGTCCCGCATCTCCCTCAACCTGCCAAACCTCATCGAGCTGAGCCCAGGCTGCACTTTGCACAGCCAAGCAAATCACGGCACAAAAGTGACTAATAGTCGATCGCTGACCTTTTTGTGTGCATGGGCATCTTCCGCTGTCGGCTCATCGCTTTTGTTTTTGGTGGGGCTTTGCGCGCGGAGCCTGAGGAACCTGGCCTACAACCTGCTAAAGACCATGCTGCTTAGATCCAAGAGCACGGGGTTTTCTGGGGTTTCCCACGTGCAAGTGCAAAAGCTCTACGACCTTCAAAATCCCTTCCCAAGCCTGAATTCAAAGCCTCTGGGCCTTGCCTGCGTGTAGGTAAGAATACGGGCCCAAAGCTTATGCAAAAAGCGCTTCCGCCTCCTTTTTTAGTTTCCCCAGGCCGAGCCTGGGACTTCTGCCTTCACTGGAGGTGCTGATTTTGCACCTCGGGCACGCTTCAGGCCAACAGGAGATAGCAAATTCTCTCAGGTGGAGACGGGTGTTGCGGGAATACTCTGGGCCAGCGTGCGCTGTTGTTGTACTTGTCTTGAGCAGCATTGGGACAGCGAGCCAGGTCACACAACCAGCTAAGCGGCAGCCTGGAGAATTTGAAGTCGTCCATGCGCATCAAGCGCTTGGATTTGGCTTACAACGAGTTTGACCAGCAGCCAAAAATTAGGAACGCTTGTGACTCAAGTCCTTTTTCTCATAAAGATGATATCAAAAGGCCCCAGGCCTTGAGCACCAAGCTCCCAACACCTCGTAAACTCTGCTCAGGACTGGACCCCGTCGCAGCTCTCGCAAGCCTTGAATGCCATGAGCCACCTTCGGAGCCTTCAGAACCTCCGGCTTTATCACAACAAGTTCGTGGTGCCTGGGCACGAGCTTAGGAGCTTTTCGGGGCTGTGGGTTGGGGGGGGGGGGGGGGGGGGGGGGGGGGGGGGGGGGGGGTGCCGGGCAACTTTTTTCAGTAATTAGTGGGGCAAAGCAAGGGGGTGTGGAGTCTTTCATAGCGTAACCGTAACCCTGCTTTGCGGAGTTCCGTCGAGGCCTGCTTCAAAGAATACCAGATCTATGTTGTCAGCAAGCTCAAGTCTCTGCAGAAGCTGGATGACTGCATCATCAGCATGCACCTGGACAAAAAGTTGAAAGAAATCCTGAAGCTTGGGGGTGACATCGGGTCCTGGCCGTACATGCCGACAGACACGGCATCCTCACCTGGCTTGTTGGAGTTGAGAGCGTCATGAGACCGCACCGCATGACTTCAATCTTGGGTTAACAGAGCAAGAAGGCATGATGCAGCGGAAGCACAGTGGATCTCCCAATATCCTCCATCAAGTCGGGTTGCCTGATAGCATCTTGCGCGCATCTTGCGCGCGTGAGGCCAGAGAATACCTTCCAGTGCCCTCAGAAGAGGGCCTTACAAGCCTTCTTCGAAATAATGCCTGTTATACCATGTTATCCCATGGTGCACAGCACTGCCGTGCATGAGCTTTTCAGCTTCGTGTGATATACCAAGGGACATGCGGGACGAGATCGAGAGTACGAACCTCTTGGCCCTGGATGTTTATGATGTGGCTTTCAAGAAACGTCAGGAGACGAAGCACATGGAGAGCGAAACATGGTGAAACCCCCTCCCTGGCCTGCACCACCAATGGAATGGTCGGGGTTTCTTGGCCTCATTCCTCCCATCATGTCAATGTGAAACACTTTTAGCTGGACACTGACGTCCGCATACCCTCTGTCCCTCTATCCCTTTCTCCCCACCCCCCCCCCTCTCTCTCTCTCTCTCCATCTCCCATCTCTCCATCTCCTCCATCTCCATCTCCATCTCCATCTCCATCTCCATCTCCATCTCCCTCTCTCTCTCTCTCTCTCTCTCTCTCTCTCTCTCTCGCTCTGTATGTCCATAGAAAGGTATTGGGTATTGTCCTTTCCTTTAATAGGGGAGTGCTTGTGTTATGGGTTGTTGTTGGTACATTTTGCAGGGTCTCTGGAATTTGCTTGCTCAGCAAGCCGATTACGGACTCCCGTCATCCGCGGGCGCAGAGTTTAGGTGTTGAGCATTATAGAATTCACAGACTTCCAAGTTGAAATGAAGATTGAAGATTGGAGATCTCACAGGGGAGTTTTCTGAAATCTTCGGTTTCAATTTGTTGATTCGGAATTCTTTGGGGGATCTTCAATCTGCAGTCTTCATTTTCAAGAAATCAAAAATTGTGTTTTGGCAATTTTCTGTTTCCGTTGCAACTGCTTGCCGATATCCATGGCTTCTGGGGATCTCCCGGAGATGGGGTAGGACATTCTCCGCAAACGATGAAAATCACAGAACATTGGGTGGGTTTCCAATGTTTGGCAGGAATGCTTCCAAAACGTTGGTTCAGGTAGGGTTCCCTTGAGTGGGTGCACATGTTGGGGGTTTAGCGCGTTTCGTTGTGGAATTTTTTCGAGCTTTGAAACTCTCGGGCTTCTGAGACCAGGAAGAAATGTATATGTATATATATATATATACGTATACATGCATATCTGTATTATTTATTTGTAGCGCTTCCGGAACCGGATGAAGAGGCGTGCTAGAAGCCTGACAAGAGCTGTCCTTGCACATTTCTCAGCTGCAAAGGAGGAGCTGGCGAGGAGAAGGAGCAGTGCTGGTGTGGGGCCCTGTGCTCAGAGGCGCTGATAGATATTTTTGAGGGTACATGATGTGGGCGTTGCTGGCCGATGAGAAGCTAGCGGCACGTCACCCTGCACGTCAAAGAATCCTCTCCAAGGTTCAAAACCATGGGAGCAGGCGTGGGAAAGCTGAAACAGATCATGGAGTCGCTGGAAGAGATCCTTGAGGCCGGGCCGAGGGGCAAGCACGGAGAGGGAGAGCAGGGCTGCAAGAATGACCGCTCCAGTCAGTTTGAGTCATAGTTTCCAGGACCCCAGCGCCCTGGCAGCACGCGTCGCCGTGGTGCGTGAGAACGCCGCCCTCAGGGCGAACAGCAGTGGCAATGAGGCTTTGGATATTGAGAACCGACTTGAGAGATGTGGCAGCAGGGGGTTTGCTTGCTCACAGGGCCGCGGATCTGCAGGTCAAGCTGCAAGGGTCTGGGTTTGCGGGACTCTGATTATGTGAAGAACATGATGAGCTTGGCGTTGCCCTTCAGGGCTTCCACGTCGAGGAGGCCTTCTGGGACGGCATGGACAATGGTGGCTCCGACAAAGAGACTTGACAGGTTCACACCGAAAGGCTTATAAGGCTTTTGGCTGGAGTTTGTGGGTTTGTGCACGCTGTAGGCTGCAAAAAAAGCTCATCTTCTTAAGGAGATGCAGATCACGGTGTCCTACATCTTGGAGCTCATCACAGCAGCAGAATGCCCAGCAAACGAGAACTAGAAGCCTGTTGAGAAGCGTCCCAATTGTTCCTGCCTTGCCAAGCCCTGCCAGAGGTGTTAGCAAGGCAAGAGCTTGGTGCTTTTTTGCCGGGTCTTTGCACGACATCAAAGCGGAGTCAGACATTTTGGAAACGACTTACCCTTGCGTTTGTCGGTCTACTCGTGAGCCCCGCCCAGTGAATCAAAACGACAAACAGACCCCACGTTTCAAAAGACATGCTTGATTTGACCAAACATGGGACAACAGCCTCCTTTTCGATGGATATCCTTTGGCAACTCCCCCCCCCCCGCCGCCCAGAGCAAGGAAGTGTTCTTGAATTAACGAAAACGCATGGAAGCCCGCAGCTCGAAACCTTCGGCTCATCATCTCTCAGGTTATGGAGCGCCATGACACTGCCCGGAACAGCTTGGTGGAAACTTTGGGCTGCCTGCCCAGGATTGAATCTTCCAAGAAGTATAATTCGTTGAGTGACTAGCAGGAGCTACGATGCCAGTCTGCAATAGCTACGAACAAAACTTAGCGTCAAGTTCTTACAGGCTTAGGGTACAAATAATGGTGCTGTTGCCTCGGCAGACAAGAGCCTGAGGCGGCTTACATGTCAGGACCCATGTACCTCAACAACATTCAAAGCGTCTGTATTCTTTCGAAAGTTTTGGATTTTGATGAGGACAAGTCCGTCGCCCAAAGCACGCGGTTCGTCGTGTAGAGAGAAGGACTTTAGTTTCTGGCTGCTGTTCATGAACTGAAAATTGGGTTTAAAAAACTAGTGTGGGGCAGGCACCCTTCCATCCCTTCCACACTGCGGCTCGACCCCAAATGCAACATGCGATACCCAGAGTTCCCAACCCCAAGCAAGGTTCCGAACTAGGCCCAGATAGCTTTGCTGGGCCTGGGACAGAATCTTCGGGGCGCTGCAATTCGAGATGCGACAAACTTGGAAACTTGTTGGGAGTGGGCACCATTTTCTCTGGATAGTGACTGAGGGTTTACGCAGTTTGCACAGATCCAAGGCTTCCTGTCATGCGTTGTCTCACATGGCCTGGGCTTTCGCTGTTTGGACCTGCTTCGGCGGATGATGCTCAGCAGCGACCACTGTCTCCTGGAAGTGATGGTCACAGTGATGGAGTGGGCTTCGGCTTCATGATGTGTAAGTGATGTGTAAGCAGCTTCGTTTGAGGCTGACCAAAAGTACACGATCAGTATTTCTGCTCGGTGAGCCTAAGGTCGTGAGGAAGCAGGTCGCGGAGTAAAAACGATCGTGGTTCCGACTGTGCTTGCTTTCGGAGAGGTGCACCTGCTCAAGACCAGCAGTACAGAACATTGCGTGGGTGAGCGCTCGGTTGCGGTGATAGATCCTGGCCAGCCGTGCTAGTCTCTGCACGGTGCGGTGCCGTAGCTTAAGCAAGGCCGACATCAACAGTGAGATCACCAAGACAATGCTCCTTGGCCTCCTTGACCTCGTGCAGGAAAAGCAAATCAGGCAGGACATGCAATGACAAGAACGTCAGTCAGCAAGCTTTTGCGATCCACCCAACTCTTGCATTGCAAGATACTGATATTGTTATCCGATGCCACCCATCCTTAAAGCATCACCTTGCGAGGGAGGAGGTCTGCGACATTCTCGAGGAGTTGCTCCCCCTGCTGCTGAACTGGTTCCTGGGGGATGCTCCTGCTGCACATGGGGTCAGCGAATACGCATCCAGGAGTAGGTCATTAAATGGACGAGGTTCAGGTCTCCAAACGCTTTGGGTGGGTCTTGCGGGGGTCTGAATCTGCATTTCGGGGTTGACAAAGAATGACCGCCAGCAGCAACCGCAGCAGGGAGGGACGATGATGTGCAATGCTTGTGCCACGAGGAAGAATACCTCACCGAGGATGGGGCTCACATTGTTGCGCGGCCAAGTCTTTGTGTTGTTGGCATCCTTTGTTTGGCTTTGAGGTTGCTTTCGTGATTTCGGCTCGGACAAACGCAGCGTGCCGCGCGGTTGTAGAATGTGCCTGAGGTGAAGCTTCTGGCTTCCATCACTGGTCCGGAGGAGTGAAGGAGGTTTTGGGAGAGTTTCATAGCGTCTGCTGCGTTCGGAGGAGTACGCGCAGAGAGCAGCATCACCGGAACTGGCAGCCAGGCGCAGCTGCAGCAATGTGTGCGGGGGAGGGTACGCGACCTCTTTGATCGTCAGGACCATTATGCACCTGGAGAACAAGGCTTTGTTTGTCCCTCGGCCACCCTTTGCTCTCGCAAACTTCCCGAAGAGTATTCTATTTTTGTGTCTTGTTGCATAAAGCCGGAACCTTGACTTGAGATGTTTCCGCAGAGAGCCGAGGACAACATGCGTCTCAGGAGTACATGGATTGATGTGCTCCAAATCACGCAGAACATCATCATGTATGGGTCACAGGATGCGATGCCCAGCCAAGACACCGACGCAGTGCCTTTCTTGTCCACAAGTCCGTCGTTGCAGTCGCTGCCAGAAACAGTGGAATCACAGCCAGACCCAGAATGCACTTGAGAGAGGGCAACTCTGAAGCCCCTGACCTAGTGGCGCTGCATATTCGACCTCCTGCAGGAGATCGTGGACATGTTCTACAAAGCCGCAAGCCACTCCAAGGCCTGATTGTGTTGAAATTCGTGGCGTAGAGAGACCAACGTTCGTGGGGAGCCCCCCTCTCTTGTCGGGTCATCCGTGTCATGCTCGGGGCTATAAAAGGAAAGACCGTCACTGACACTTCATAGCCCCATTTCCTTCAGGGGCGTTCGTGTAACGCTTCGTGATAGCAGGGCGGTGCTCTTACAAGCCGGTGCCTTCTCTGCGTGTGCCCCTCAACTGAGGTCGTGGCTCGCCTCCGCCAGGTGCTCACGGCAACAAAAGGCCGAAGTGGCCGACCAACAATTGTGTGTTGTGAAAAGTTGTGAAGCTCATCCAAGAAGCAGACTGCTTACACGAGTTCCCGTCCTGTCTGTGCATGTCTGCTGAACGGCTGCCTCCACACATGCGTCAGCCACCTAAGCTGTGAGTTCATGATGCTACAGAGCACCGCTAGAGCACCACTGATGCAACAGGTCGACACAACGACCTGCCCTTGCCAGCTAGAACGATGCTCGATTGAGTCCATCGTTTGGCTGCAGATCTCAATCTAGAAACGCCTCAAAGTTTATCCTTGTGTCTCGCCTCGCCCAGGATCGCTTGCATTTGCCAGTTCGTCTCGGCCATGATGCAACGAAGCAACGCCTCCTTGCAAGAGCATCTGCCTTAGTCCTGAGTTGGCTGGACAGTTGAACACTCCGTAACTTCATAACTATGTCATGTTTCGGCTCGCATTCGACTGGGAACCCAAGCCCTGGTTCAGCCCAAGCTCAGCTCTGCCGAAGAGTCCTTCAGAGGTGCTGTGACCCCATCTGCTTCCAAGATGTTCTTTGCCAGCTTCTGCGTACCCACCTAGTGGACCCACTCATCATGGAGGCCGCTGGTATGAAGTAGTGATGCCGTGAATCGCCATTTCTTTCAAAGCCACTCTCTGAGCTACTTTGCAATCCGTGCTGCACGTGCCTCAGGCAGCGACGAAGACCCTCCGCACGATGCTTGAGGACCCCAAAGTCTACAGTAAGCAGGTGCCTTCCCAGCAAGGTAGCTCCTTTGACCTTGGCGTGGAAAAGCCCGGGATCATGAGGGGCCCCCCGAACCACCACACACCTGCAGGCCATCCGGGTCGTGGAAGATCTACGGATAGTGACCCCGCTCCTCCAATTTCTGGGAGGGAAGAAGTTTCCCGGCCCAGAATTCTTGACTCTTCTTCTGGTCATGAGGGGAGTTTTCTGTCGGGGGGTTGCTGCCGACTTCATGACAAGGTATCCCGAGCTCTACAAGCTTGCCCTCAAGTACTCCGAGGATCAGTCACGCGATGCCCCACCCTTCGCAGAGCTTGAGAATGCTACTTGGTGAGTTGGAAAGGTGTGTCAGACCCTTCACGGAAGGTAAAGGTTTCTGGACATTCCTGGTGTCAGTTTGTTAAGCCAGGACCTATAGGTGCTCAGGCCTACCCTACTTGCGGCTTCCTGCCGCGCTGGGCAGCTCAAGATAGTCTCAAATCGGGCACTTGCGGTGCATGTTCACTGGGGTGAGCCTGAAACAATGTAGCCCAGGACCTCGTCACCAACGCCATGATCGGTCCGGACCCCAGCCTAGGCGAGGCAGCTGTGACATACACGCCCGTGTCACGCTTTGACCCGTGGACTTGCCACCGCATGACGGTCAAGGGCTTGGGGCTTAGGCTTCCGGCAGGCTTCCGGGGTGGCCCCCGTTCCATCCCATTCCCCCTTTCCAGCATGTTCGATACGAAGGCGGGGGCATGTGCATGGCATGGGCGCAGATCTGTGCAAATGAGGCATTGTTACTTTGGTGGAGTTCTTCGCCGCAGAAGATGACACCTGGACGTGATAGCTTCAGATTCAATTACAGGGTGTGTGTGTGTGTGTGTGTGTGTGTGTGTGTGTCGCGAACACAAGGTGCCAACCCACGAAGCCTGTGCTTAGATAAATTCAGTGCCGCCTGCTCGAACGATCCACTCACCCCTTCGAAGTCAAGTGCATGCTGTAACTGCCACCTCTCCCAAAAAGCCAGTGACTTCACCTGTACGCCACTATGAACAGCTTGAAATTTCCAGCAAGGAGAGCATCAATGATGACATAGCAAGGCAGCTTGTCAACGATGCGATGAATACTCAGGGGAGTCTTGGTTTATCATGTCAGCTACTTGTGACAGCCAGAGGGTGCTTCTGCTGTACATGGAAGACAGCGCCGCTCAGGAGAGAGACCATTCTCCTCAAACTGCTGGTTATCCCCTGCGATGATCTGAAGCTTGCTTGAATTGGCACTGGACGGGATGTGATTTATGTGATATTAGGGGCATCGCTGAGCGCGTAGATCAGCATGGAAGCCGCAGCACAGTGCTGGACTCATCTGACGCACGCGCGTGATCTTGCAGCGTTGTGTAGGCCCGCAGCCCCACGCGCGCAAAGTGGACAGCTTTCTTGCAGCTGCAGGCTAGATTCGTGAGAGATGGTGGAGCGCGCACATGGGTGAGAAACCACTCCGTGAAAAACCGTAAAGGAAGTTGCATTTCATCGTCTAGTTTGTCGCAACCTTCAGCATAATCGTCCTTGGCGTCTTGCAGGAGAAGGAACTCTTAGTCAAGTGGCATCAGTCGCGATGTTCGTCGGACGTCTGTTCGACTTGAGCTGGCATGTCAATGTCATGTAAATTTAGACCTGTAGAGTGGTTTAGGTCAAATTGACGTGCGAGATGCACTACAAGCCGGGCTGGTTTTTGCGGGCTTCGCCTGTGTTTTTTGCTGGACCTGTGGGGAGGTAAGTTGCCTGCAGTTTCGTTCCAAGCACGTGAGAGCGTATCTGGTTGAACAGTACCGATGGTGTAAGTTAGGGATGACGACCATCATGTGCCTAAGAAACCAAAATGGAGCCACACGACTGAGGAAATTGATCGTTATGCGCTGCCTGAGCAAGGTGCCTCTCAGCAGCTTGGCTCCATGGCTCTGCCTTTCTGGCATGACTGTATGTGGCCCCATGGGATCTACATGATCTGATACTCCCAGTTGCTTCCGTCGTGGTGATTTGTTTCTGTTAGCTACAGACATTGGAGGAAGTTTTTGTTCGGTCGTTGCGTTTCGGGGTGCCACCGAGGGAAAGATTTCAGGAGGATGATTTTCAATGCCGTTTGCCAATTTAGCTTTGGGCCGAGACACACAATATGCACAAAACACACCAGATGCAAGGACGGAGTAGGACGGGGGCATTGTGTCCTCGCAGTCCCATCCGATTCGTAACACTTCAGTATGGACCTTGCGGAGGAAACCATGAGCGGCTGCAAGACTCGATAGAAGTTCACTCTAGACCCCAGCACTGAATCTCAGCCAGAGGCCAGATCGAGCCAGATGAGATGGGCGCCATTGTAAAGTGCCTCTCCGATGTGAAGAACATTGGGGAAGGGCGCACTGAGGAGATGCCGCTCGGCCCTGGGCTTCGGGTTCAACATGGTTCAACATCCCAGGGCGGGTCTCAGGATATCCTCTCCCGTGTGCTGTTTCTCCATTTCCTGCTGTGCAAGCAAAGGCTGGCGTTGGTGGTGCGTCAGCTTGAACGTTTGCTTTTGGCTCCGGGCGACACTGGCATCTGGGCAGCCTTAAACATCCAGATCAGCGGCTTGTGCCGTACTTTTGCAGTGCGTACGGCCGTAGGGTTTGGTATGAGGCGGTTTTCGTCTAACCTTGGCTTGTTAAGTAAGCGGCGTCAGTACAAGTGTTTGCCGGGTTGCCGCAGAAACGGTTGACCTTTGTGCTTGCTAATTGCTACAAGTGGACCGCAGTCCTTCACGATCAATTAATTTTGCATTACCAATATGGCCTGCCAGGCCTTGGTTTCCGACAAGGCTTTGCAGAAAGGGCCGTGGCCGAGTGCAGCGAAGCGCGATCTGAAATAGTTCGGGTAGAGATCACAACCAGAATGAGGTTTTAGGCATTCGGTTGGGGTTGGACCGTGGGTAGTGCAGTTGATGTCAGCTGTAGCACGTCTACACCCTAAACCTAAAAGTCGGGGAGAACATCAACTTGTTACGCATTCCAGTTCTTAGTGCAATCTGATTGTTGCGGGTCTTCTTTGGTGACGGGCGCCTGGTATGTCCGTATGGAGTTCGGACTTGTCGGAAAGTTGCCGTGCGAGAGTGAGCGAACCACTAAATTTGCTCCAGCATATGCGTCGTTTCTAGTGTCGCGAGAAAGCGCTTGGACTAGTTTGCTTGTACGGGCAAGCGGGTCTGAGGAGATCCTCCTCGCAAACTCGGCGCGCTCGACGGATCGCGAGTTGGGGTCCTGGATGGCCCATGATGGCCCCACCTTCGAAACTCGTAGTAAGGGCATGATTTGTTGCAGAATGTGAACCCGGAAGGATGGCCTTCCATTGTGCTGGGTTGGGGGCTTTTGGGAGGTCAGACGAGTTGGAGAAGCTTGCTCTCTCCTCAGCGATCGCCGCAGGCTCAGACATTCTTATCGCTGACTGTTGCAGGTTGCAGATTTGGCAGGCGATCGATATCTGTCGATCGAATCCGTCAGTGTTTCGCCATCACGCTTTGACAGCTAGAGTGATATAGCGGCTGTTGCGTAAGGTGTAGAGAAGCTTTGAAAGCCAGGTGAACAGGCAGGTGAACGCTGAAAGTCCGTGCTGCGCTCTGTCCACTTTGACGAAGGTCAACTTCTACTTCAGTTGTAGCGCCATTCCGTCTCTGCGGAGCTGCTTGAGGCCATGATTAGTCAGTCTTTATACTGTCGATCATGATTGGCCAAAGCCTGGTATCCTTTAGTAATACGGTGGCTGCAGACGCTTCAGGCAGCGGGTATTTCAGCATATTTCAACCTGCCGGGACCCCGCCTTTCAGCAGCACTGCCGTCTGTCAGGAATCCCACCATTGATGCCTTATTCCCCCGCATCATGAAGTTTGAGGAGGACAGTGGCTCTGAGATATGGATCGGCCTAGTTCCTTTACAAACCTACACCTCCACGCAGGAGCTGCACAGTCCTCTCGCCGCGGACGTCCTGCTTGAACAGACCTGGCTGGGACGATCCATGGAAAATTTGCTGCAGTGCCATGGCTCCGCAAGTCAGAACCCCATCACAACAGAAGCTGCTGCCACTGTTGGAGAAGGGTTTTCCGTGCTGCTTCTCTTCAAGCAGACGTGGTGTCAAGAGCTGCGCTGAGGGTTAAGGGGCTTGCGGCAGTGTTCCGTGCACTTGGGAACCTGTTCTGTGTCCTGAGCGTGCCTAGGTTTTTCGAATGTACTTCGTTGAATTTGCAAGAGCGAGGTGCTTCCAAGGCGAGAAAGTGCTCGTTCGTGGAAAGAAGGCCAAATGCACATGAATTGGGATCTGGTGGAGTCCATAGTAGAGCTCAGTGCTTTGTATGCATCCGGCAAACATCTGTGAGTAAATCGCCAGGTTGCGATCCGTATCCTAAGCCAGATGGCGAATGTCATGGAAGGCCGCTGAACAGAAGCCAAGCATTCTCATGCACGGCAGAATCTCTTGTGCCAAGAATCCTGGCCCTTCTGTTTGGCCCGCTGGGACCCCCTAGGTCCTAGGTGAGCAGAGGTATCTTAACCAACACCGATCCTTCTCGTCACCCCGTCACCTGTCAGGGCGCTCGTCGTACCAGGCTCGGCAAGAGCGCTGTGGAACGATTCCAGTCTCCACGTGCAGAGGCTCAGAGGGCCCGATGCCCCAGTATGGCAGCGCATTCTGGCAGGACCGGAGCCGCTGCCGCAAGATGCTCACGTTGAAAGAGGTGGCGGCGGCAGAGGCCAGTAGGTGAAGTTGATTTTCTGTTAAGTTGTTCGATGCCGTGCTGTTGTAAGTTTTCACTCAGTTAAATACTAGCTGCTCTGCTAGCTACTTCGTTACTAGCTGGTCGAAACAAGTCTTCGGCCAAACTGAGGCACTCCCGGCTACCACTACCATGTCGTGTAGCAGAGCACAGTTTAGTTTAGTGCTGCCTCCGATCTACTAGTGCTATGATAGTGAGGCCGCGGCTCACCGTGATTTAATCGGTCAAGCCAGGCCAAAATGTGGAACGTACACGCCGTGCAGAAAGCGCAGAGGTTCCTGGATAACCAGGTGCCATCTCAAGTTGCTTGTATAGGTCACAGGTGAAGCGTGAAGTGTGACTGACCAGCATAGACGGGAACAGTGAGCAAGCCGCATTGTCCATGTTACTGTAGTATGCGGAGCAGAGACCCATCTTTTGCAGGAGTGGGAAGACCGCATCGCACAGGCCATGACGTTGGCTGATATTGTAGCTCGTGCTTTCAGACGAGTACGAACTATGGAGTCTGTTGCTGTTATTGCTGCGGCTTGCAAAAACTCTCAGCCACGCCTGGCATACCAGTCCATGCCATGTGCTCGGAATGAATGGCGGCGGCTTCCGTCCTTGTCATCACGAGACCTAAACCAGTACTTAAAGCCCCAGCTGGGTGTGGCAAGAGCCTCTCCCAAAATCCGAACCCCCAACAGCTTCAAAAACCAAAGTTCTGAGCTGCCCTGCAGGCGCAGCAGTTCGTCAGCGCTGGCGGCCCTGCTCGTTTGCAGGTGCTTCCTTTCTAAGAGCTGCGTGCTCTTGTCTCGTACTCGGGAGGCCTTATACGATGTTAAAGGTGAATATAGGAGGATTCGCGTTTGGGTCTGCGAGGAGCTTTCTGGGACCAACATTCGTGTGCAAAGTTCTGAAGCGGTATGGAAAGCGGGCCAATCATTTTCAGTGTTCGTGAAATTTGGATTAATGAACCAGCAAGGCCAACAACGAGGGATCTCACATGTCAAGGTTGGGGTCTGCAAAAGCGGGAGCCAGATAGATCTGTGGGCAGACCGACCTTTTAGCAACACTTGTGACATACGGTGAATTTGGATCCGGAGCTTGATGTTACACACCCACACACTGCAACGACAATCAATATCCCTCATCCCAACAGCAAGACCCTGGCTCTTTCCCTTTGTCCATCACAGCGTTGCATGTTTGCAAGGACTTCTTGCTGGATCTTGCCGCGAAGGAGCGTGAGGAGTACTACCTTGACCAGTACCTGAAGGCTTATTGGGGTTCAGGTCAGAGGTGGGAGGCTGTTTCTCAGCTTTGGACTGCAGCTTTTTCGCATGAGCTACATGGAGTTCTTTGAGCGAGCCTTGAGTTGTTCCTTCTGAACATGACAGACATGTCACTGCGGACCTTTTGAGAGCGCGGTGATTCGTCAATATGCCTCACTGCCCTCATAATTACGTATGATGATATCTCCACAGTCATGCCAGAGAGCTTGACATCGAGTCTGTAAGACATCCGTAGTGTCAGTCGAGGCATTGCCATGCTTGTGTCAGGCTGGGGACAAGCCCGGAGCTATTCTGATTGAGGCCGAAGGGAAGAAGGCCTGCCAAAAAACTCTAGAAGCCCAGATAAACCTTACAGGTGTCCAACTGCGCGGCTTCGGTTTGCCCACAACTTTCGAGACTCGTTTGTCGTGGTACAGCGCAACACATGCTGCGATACTGACTGGCTCATGAGCGTCACCAGGTCGGTGGCAAAGGTTCAGAAGCGTTGTGGTGGTTGTTGATGGTGTTGGTGGTGAGGGTGTTGGGTGTGGTGTCACAGCGCCGTGCAGATAGCTCCGAACTGCACATAGTGTTCATCAACACCAGGATGATGCCCCCCCCCCCCCCCCGAAATGATTTGTGTTTGACTTTCTTCTGTTTCTATATTCATCTGATCCGGGCTGGGTGGCCTGTTTCCGACAAAAAGCCCGGCAGACCCTAAGATGCCTCAAAAACCAAGCTTCTGAGCCTAGTCCGTCCCACCCTCAGATCCTACAACTTTTGAGGTCCCTTATAATTATAAGCTTAAAATAGCTTAAGCCAACCCAAGGTCCTATAAGGCTTATCCACACCCTCTAGACTCTACACGCTAAAGTTCCTTCTCGCTAGCGGCGACCGCGATGCGCTTTTTCCTCATCTGGCCGTAGGCTGCGGTGCTCGAGCAGAAGGGTGAGGCACCCTGTTCCCAAGGAATTCAAGAATTTTTGAAGATTTCCGAAGGCCGTTGGCCAGCTTTCATAGCTTTCATGCCGGCTTGGGGGTCAGCTTTGGGAACAAATCAGATGCAGTCCATAGGAGTCCCAGCCGCCCCAATCAAACTGTGCATTCTGAAAGCTCGAACCCGTATCCGCCGTCCACTAGCTTCCGCCGGAACCTGCAGCCCAATTGCGGCCCAATCCCTGCACTTCTAGACCCAGTTATTTGCAAATGGTGGGACTATAGATGTTTTGGATAGAGGGTCGCCCGAATCACAGCCGATGGGGGTGTTCCGTAGGAAGTCCGGACAAGGTCCCAAGAGTGTCCACAAGCCCAAAGCAGGGCGGGGGGGGGCGGGGGGGGGGGCATTCGGTGTCAGTCCCTGCCTGCAGCATCCTGGAGCCCAGAGCACTAGAGCGAGTCAGGTCGAGAACACGATCAAAGAGCAGGGCTACTGAATCCGAGCAAATGCACCCAAAAAGGCCTCCTAAAAGCGTTTTGCGGACTTAAGTGCGTGGATGAGATTGAAACGAGTGTTTTGGAGGAGCTTCATCGCGATGAGGCCTTGGAGGTGGACATGCGACCTGGAAGCAGCCAAGGCTTAAGGGCTCCCACACGCTCTTCAAGCTCTCTGAGCCATAGCGATTTGAAGTGCTTCGGACGGAGTCGAATTGTGACACGGAAGGATCCAGACTTTGCAGTCGACAACTTTCTCACCATCGCATTCCATCGCCATCTTGACTCTCTGGCCCAAGGCAAGCAAGGTGCCGCAGAAAATGTGCAGCACCGGCGTTTTATGTTAACCTTCGATGGCCTCGCTCGGCCTTTCCTGGCCGCTATCTAGTGGATTGCGGAAAGACCATGGCAACGAGGCTGGAGCGCCCTCGCTCGACGCAGCCGAAGACGCTGTGACAGTCGTAGTTGTGGGTGGGCTGCCTGCCTGGCTGCAAAGCACAGCTTTTCAACGTGACTTGACACAACGCGTCCAGCACGATTTGCATACCTTCGGCCTGATCCGTGGCAATGTGGCAGTCTTCCAGAGGCAGGCGGAGTTGCAGATTCAAGACCATGGCGAGAGCTTGCATTGGTTCACCGAAGCTCCGCATGCAGGTGTCCGATTGACCCTCCAGATGGAATTTGCCAGCCAGTGGCCGGTTCTTAAGTCCATCAATGTGGACTGCAAGATCCATGGAGAGACTTCTTTGGTCCATCTGTTTAGCACCACCGGTACCATGGGTGAATGGGCCGATGATGTCTGGTCAGCTCGAACGCACTGGGAGCAGAGGCTATTGTCCGGGCTAGCTCAACACTCCAGGAGGCACGAGAAGCGGGATGCCGCTGCGGCTGCTGACACTGCAATAGCCTTCGTGAAGTCCTCGGTGTGGAATTTCATATCAGAAAGCCAGACACTCAAAACGGGCCAGGCGGTCGAGACATCTGAAGAGTCAGTTTGGCAACAGTATGGGCCAGCAGCTTTGGCCCAGCTGCTGTCAGAACTTATTCTGAACTCCGCCATGAAGATGTCCGCAAACTTCCTGCGCAGCACCATGCAGGATACGCTGACAACTTTGCCCTTCTGGCCAGCAGATCAGTTGAATCTCCAAGAGCACTTCCCGCCGCTGCAACAGCAAGACATGTATGTCGACTTAGACAAGCAGCTGTTTCCGGACTTGTTCCTTAGATTGGCCGCCGTAGTGTGGACAGCAGCCTTTCAGGGTATCTCTACACTGCGGCAGGCACTCGACGAGCTGAGGCGGCGTGGCATGCCATTAGTCAGGCTTGCCCTGCACACACCCATCCTCTACAAATCTGGGGGGAGGCACAGAAGCTTGTCTGGTCCGCTTCTGATGTTTGTAGTTGATCAGCTGAACCAGTCGGATGTGGCCACAGAGATGCTGCATGCATTGATCGCGAGCAGTGCAGATCCGAATGCCAACTACGTTCTCTTCCCTACCGGCAAGCACAAGGCAATTGGAAGGTTCCCTCTCCTGTGTCTTGCAGGGAATCGGCAAGCCCATGGGCTTGCTGAGACTCTGCTTCGCACTAGGGCGGATGCCAACCAGGACTGCTTAAGTCATTCCTGTCGGTATCATCCTTGAAAAAGAAACAATGTAGGAGCTTGAGTCGCAGTCTTTTGCTTATGAGCTAAGCTGCAAAGCCTTTTGATAACGAAGCAGACCATTCATCTTGACACACGTGGAAGGAGATCACGCTGAATTATTTCCCTCACGGCGGCAATGCACTGTGGAGCGCTGTGTGGGGAAGCGACTATGGCATGATCCGATTGCTGCTAACCTTTGGCGATGCTGACGTGAATGTACGTGCCTGGCACCCAGATGCTCCACCACTCACGGGACAGGCCAGACATTTGCAGTTGCTATCGTTGGCCTCAACGGCCTTAGATGCTGAACATGTGCAGCTCTTGCTTGAGTGCAAAGCAGACTTTCAAGCGGAGTTGACGCCGACCTTTGCTGCTTGTCATGCTGAAGTTACCAGACTGTTGGCGAGCCACGTGGCCTACAGCCATCCTGCAACCATTGTGCACAGATGCGATGAACTGAATGGGACCTGTGGAGTTTGGATACACTGGGTTTTTCAAGAAGTAGCAGCCGACATCACGTCCAAACGGCTCTTCCGCACTGCCTTGTCAGCGGCAGGAGCTGATCCGGAGTTGCGCCGTTCCTTTATGCGACTGCTGTGTGATCTCATCCAGCGCCTCCCAGCGGCTGCGGCAGAGCTGCTTGACAACATTGCTTTGCAGAGCCCGCAGGTCCAGGAGCCAGGCCGGCATCCGTTGAGAACGCGATGCCGCTTCCGGGCACGTGAGTGCCACACGGCATACATCGCAGAAACCAGGTGGGCGCCATCCGGCACCAAGTTTCAAAACAGGCTTGCACCACCAGCGAGAGAAGCTGGGGAACGGTTCCTTTGGCTGTTTCCGTCAATGCGACAAGTTGAGTTCTGTGATATTCAGCTGGTCGACATTCCATGTCTCATTGATGCTAAAGTACTGGGAGCTCTTCGGGCATTGCCATGGGAGACCCTGGTGATGTTGCTCAATGAAAGCATTGTCTTCCAAGCATTGGTGGATCACGTGTGGAGAGATGGTATGCGACGGTGTCACTATGTGCAGGCCTCAACCTCGCTCATCCAGTTCTGCTGCTTGCTAATTTGGTGGCAGAGGCGCGATGCATATGGCTAAACTTTAGAAAACAACTGTTGAGCTGGTCCACTTTGAATGTTTGCATAGGTTGTGTGGGGCCCATGTTCAGTGACCACGCGTTAGTGCTATACTACACTGCTCAACCAGTTTGACCCAAGTGTGGAGTACGGGTAGCACACTTGCCTGCTGCAGCGTCGCCTCCGCAGCCCAGAACAAGTAGCAGAAAATGGAAGGGCTTGTGCAGAGTGTGCAGGACGGAGAGCATTGCAAAGGCGATTTGCTGGGCAGTATTTGTGGCTGCGGTGGCCTTCCAAGTGTCTAGCATCATGCTCACACTTCATCGACGTTCAGTGCCGTCGCTGCAACGCGTCGTGCATGCCGGCATGGGTGTGCACTTGGCGGCTTCTGCCTGGCTGGCGTGGCAAGATACCCAGCAAGATGAGAATTACAGGTCATCCATGGCGGTGAATGTGGTTGCCTGCATTGCGTCTGTAGTATACAGTTGTCGCGTGTTGCAGCCATTTGGAATACGAGTCGGCCAGAGCCTCCTGCCCATCTTGAACTCAGTTGGCAGGCGCGAGTTTGCTGCAATGGCGATGCTCATCTTTGTCACTTTGTTCGCCACTGCTCTTTACGTTTGCATCGAATTCGACACAGACGTTGAAGGCGCCACCCCTCAGTTCATGCTCAAGCCTTGAAAGCCTGCATCGGCCCCACAACTTGTCTTCCACTAGGCCTCGAGAAACAAAATCACTTAAGAATATAGGCCCTGACTCATATAAACCTTTTTAACCAACTTCCAAGCGTTTGCCTAGGCTTCGCGCAAGCAGCTTTCCAAACCTGGCAGACTTTGATTGTGGGTGAGCCAGCTCTGGTGAATGCCAATGACGAAACTGGAAGGAATGTGACTCGCTTCCTGGCAATCGCCTTGTTTTTCTTCGCGTGCAACACGGTGCTCATGAACATTTTCATTAATGTGACCGGCTCCGTGTACGTGCAAGAGACGGCCAATACTGTGGGAAGCTTTCAGGCAGAACGCCTTCGCATTTGCGAGGAGGCAGTGGCCGGAACGCACTTCGCCCGCTGCGCAGTCTTCATCGAATTCTTGGTGGCTTGGTGCCTTTGGCTTCTTGTCAGGCTTCTCACTACGAGTGCCGTGAATGCTTTGAACATACTGATTGCCATGATGTGTTGGATCGTCGGCTTCTGCTGGCAGTGGCACTTGGCAAGGCAAGCAGGCGCTTCGATTGACAGCTTTGAAGGATCTTCGCTGTCAGGGCAACCTGTCACTGCATTGCGGTACCTGTGGATCTGCCGGCCAACGGACCATGCAGGAGTTCACTCTGCTACCAGGCGTCGCAGCATCAGAATCCGAAGCCCTAGAGCAGAGGATCGCAGTCCGTTGGCCCACGTTCGAGCTCTGCAGTCAAGATTTGAACGGCGTCGGCAGTATGCTTCCGACGACCTGACTCCGAGTCCTCCGTCACGGTCAATGACATTTGTTGAGTTTTGAAGGCTTCATAGATCATTTGCGAACCCCTAGGGTCTTCGCGCGTGTTTGGGGATGGCATGTGCTGCAAACAGCGTCTCTACTCGTAGGTAAAATCTTCTTGTGGATCCTTTCGCTGCTTGGTAGGATAGTTCGGCAGGGGCAGTGGCCTTTGCCTGCAGTCAGAGACCGGACAAGTGTTCTGGTGGTTGCCCAAAAAAGCCGTGAGCATCCGAGGCGGTGTTTGAGCTGCGCATGTGCCATGCGCGCGGATGTAGCTCCCCCTTGGAAGACATTCAGTTTTGCCTTCTGTTCTTTGCTCGCTTTAGTCGTAATCTTAAAGCCAGCCCAGCAATGCCGAGAACTGAGCGGAGAATCTCTGGACATAAGGGCGTCAAACTGCTCTTGCAAGATTTGCAAGATTTGGCAAAGCCCCTGAACAAGGCAGCAAGACGATGACAACATATACGAGAAGTCTGCAGGGAGGGAGGCTCTGATGATCGCCATGCAGCGCGAAGAGGCCAAGGGCTTGTGCAAATGCAGGAAGACGAACTTGTGGACGATAATGGTTCTGGCAGCATTTCTTGCTGCAGCGGTTTGCCGAATGTTGCATAGTATCCTGCTTTGATCCCCTGGAGGACGTGCTGGACGACGATCAAGCGGGACTTTTTGTGCTCCGTCCTGACAGCTTGGCCTGGGACGAGGCAACCAGATGTCGTGCAGCTCTGTGGGTGCTAAATCGCGAGCCAATCCGGCTGTCGAACACACACACACACACACACTCATGGAATCCTCCCTCTGTTATCCCTATCTCAGTTCACATGCTTCTGCATTCAGGGCTCTGGATCAAGTCAAACCTGAGCGCATCAGGCCGACGTGAAAACTTGCGAAACAGATTTGCAGGTACGTCAGTGCTGGCCGGGGACTCGGGGACCAACAGGCCACATAAACACAAAGATCCTATCACGGGGATCTGCGCCCACCATCACCCAGGCTTTCCAGGAAGGAGCTATCTCATCTACATGCGAGCATGGGCATCTCTTGTTAGTGTGCCGGGCTCATTTTAGGGGTATCATGACTGCACAGTGGGGATTCCGTAGGTGTCGTGCCTTAATTGCATCACCACTAGGCAGCGGATTCTTGGCGGGAAAAAAATCGTAGGATCTTTATGTGACAATTAAAACACAAGCGAGCAAAACTTTGTAGGATCTTTATGTGGGTGCCAAAAACCAAGGGACCGCTGAAGGAGAACGCAAACCCACGTAAGGGTCCCACTAAAAAAATCTCAGGATTCCGCAGCTGGTTTCTGCGGCCCTGGTGCCCTAAGATACGACCGTTCCGTAAAACCGCAGACTCGCTACACTGCTGCTCCCTCTCCTGCAGCAGTAGGGAAGCACCCATTCCAGCTAATTTTTAACTTTGCGGCAAGTGTGCCTGCAGAGGCTGTCCTGGATGCCTGCAAGATCTTTATGTGGAAGTTTCTTTACCTGTCCAATTTCTTCCCTAGGGAACTGATATCCCCCTCACTCACGTAGCTTCGTTGGGCTTGTTCTGTGAGTGAGAGCCATGTCCCCCTGCTTGAACTCTTGGTAGACAGAGGTTGTCACACACACACACAAAGCCACAAGGGCAATTTGAAACGCAGAACAGAGAGACACTGAGCAACTGTGACATCCCTGGTCAGGCGGCTGGCCGCTTCGCCTTGAAACTTCTTCAAGACGAAAAAGCGGGAAAGCAGAGAAAACTCCTGTCCGGAATAGCTTCAGACCCGGAAATTGAAAAGAAAACGGGCATTGCTTGACGGAATCTGACAGTATGCCACCAAAACAGGCATCCGTCATAGTGCATCGCGGAGCAACTCGAGACGAAAGCAGCGAAAAGCAAACACAGACTCACAGAACAAAAGAATGGATGGCGCATTCAGTTCGCAGGTCTTGCGTGAGCCTGCCGGAGCCCCGAAGCGCCTGTCCATAAGCTCTCAGCATCTACTGATCGCAGGTCTTACGAAACTGCCGCAGCCGAGTAATGCTGGCTACAAGAGAAATAAGCAAACAAACCGCGGCTTGCAGCGCAGGCGTCTGAAAAAAATCATTGGTTACCCAGCCCCTTCTCGAGTCCAATCACCTCGCTTCCATGAGCGACACAGCGCTTCAAAAACATGCTTCTTGACAAAAGCATGTCACGGCAAGCTGATAGTCATCTTGGATCTATTCAAGACGAGCAAGAGGGTCCATTCAGGACATGCTCATCTGAGGTCCATTCAGGACATGACGGTTTCTGAGGTCCGCGATAGGACAACCATCTTGAGGTCCGATCAGGGACAATCAATGATAGGCAATCCTATCGCAGGTGTAGCGATAAACGAAATACACCTGGAACATTCATGGAATCCTCCCTTTGTTATCCCTATCTCAGTTCACATGCTTCTGCATTCAGAGGTCTGGATCAAGTCAAACCTGAGCGCATCAGGCCGACGTGGCAACTTGTGAAACAGATTTGCAGGAACGTCAGTGACTCACTTAGCTTCGTTGGGCATGGTCTGTGAGCGAGGGCCATGCCCCCCTGCTTGAACGTTGTCACACACGCACACATCGCGAGACGTCGTGGGCTGAATGAAGTTGAGCAGCATTACTTCGGCATCCGCGCCGGGCCACAAAGCCTCCTCCATGCCAGCCTTCCACAGGAGATCTTCCAAGACGTCAAAAAAGGTCGGTCCCCTAACTTGGGCGGACCCCACATGTCGCTGCAACCCTCAAGCTTTTTTTTGGCCAAGTGCTGTGTGCAGTTTCTTAGGGCACAGATGCAATTTGACCAAGTCTTGCTCCGGAACCTCTAAGTTACATGTTTGTGGCAACCCCCGAGGTCAGACGCATCTGGTTTATGCTGCAGCGGCCTATCTGCGAATCGCCGCTTGCTGCAGCGCTCAAAACGAAGTTCGGCAAAGTTTCGCACGAGCAGACAGGAAGCGAAACTTCACGTCCAAATGAAGGGGTCCTCACGTCAGACAGCATGAGCCTGAGTGAAGGGCGGGCTAGGAAGTAGGGGCGGTGGGCAGACAGGTCAGTGGGGTTGGGGGGGGGTGTTTGTGGGGGGGTGTGGGAAGGTCGGGGTGGGGTGGGTGGGAATTGTTGTTGGGTCTTGATGCACCGTCGCTCCCAGACACCTGTCGGCTAAGAGTCGGCTAAGGGCGGTACTCATTCCCGGCAAAAGGGTTCCCCTTGGACCTTGGCTAGAGGAAGCTGTTATAGTGGAGGTTTGCAATGTTCACCGCTGAAGGTCCACGCACTCCTGGCCCTACCACCACACCCGTCCTGCCGGCGCCAGATGCTGGAAGACCTGAGACAACCAGAAGCTTGCCCAGGTGGGTTTTCTGTTTTCTCGATCTTGTTCTTGATGAAAGTTCTTGCAAGCCCCAAAGTTGCTGAACTACAAGGCCCTGGGTCCTGGCCACAGGGCCAGCTCAGGACCGTAAGACCGTGATAAACTTGTTTTTACTCCTTGAACCGCGGAACTTACGCGGGCTTGGTTCTCTAGAAGCCTTCTCCCCCCCCCAAAAAAAAAAACGAGGAGGCTCCCAATTTCCGTCTCCTCTCCTCCCCCCTCCATCTCCTTCCCCCTCCTCAAACGCAATCTGAGGAGTACTTGGCGAAGCTGCTGGCTTTGGTCTCGGGGCTTCCAAGCCTGGCTTGCCACATCGCGGCCAAGTTTCTCAGGGTGCCTGGTACGCCAAAACCAAGCTGGGAAATTACAAGCTTAAGAGTCTGGACGATAACTCTCAGTAGCTGGCATCCAGCGTAGGCAGGAGCCGCCTTTCGCCGAAATATGACCCGGCTTTCCTTGAGCTCCTGACTCGCACTTCCTGCCTAGGTGATGTCAAGCGCATTGGCCATGGCTGCTGATGATGGAGCACCACAAGCACAGTAGGGTTCGGGCTCAAGCGTGTGCGGCGCTGCTAGGGTCAGCTGCCCGACGCGTCCAGTGTGACTCTACTCTCGGTTGACGGACTGCTCCCTCGTGCCTACAGGAGATGTCCCACCTCCAAAGCTGGAGCACTTCTACATGGTTTCGCCCTTCGGACGACCCAGTGCGACCTCTCGCTATCAGAGTGTTTTACATCTGGTGCGGTACAGTAGGTTCATATAGGTTCATGCTTTCACAACACCAAGGATGTACACGCAACAGCTGGCAGAGTCACTGCTCTACCTGTCACCAAGCTGAAAGCTGTGTGCTTCGGAGGGTTAAGGTGGTCTCCAGCAAGAGAGGTGTCATGGCGTGATGTTCTGCATGCTGTCTGTTGCCCATCGACTCTTCAGGGACATTAGGCGAGTTATTGATTTGTACTGTTATACCCAGGTCATTCGGACTTGGGCTGTGGGTCGTTACGGGGGGCATGCCGGGGATGCTGGCTCTTTGGCTCAACTGCGACAGGCTGAAGCTCACAAAGGACCAGCGCCTGGATCCAAAGGAGGAGGTGCTGAGTGTAGAGATTGCACGTTTCTCGCCTCTGGAAAAGGGAGGGAGGTGTGATGTGGGCCCTTGCCCGTCTACTGAGAGGCACTTTTTGCACTCGAGGCACGTATGGACATTTTTCGTTCGCATGCGACAAGCTACCAAAGGCATGGTTTGCTGGACTCCAAATCTTGAAATGTTTCGTCTTTCTGCTACTAAGTCTTTAGGTGGACCGCTTGCTATACATGGAGCTCAATGCGCCTGCAGTTTGTGCAAGAGGATATGCGATCAGATGTGCGATGGACGGTAAAGATACGCGATAGCCTCAGCCTTGCCGCCTTCCTGAGGCTTCGTCGGCACACTGGTTGAGGCCGTGCCGCGCTTCGCGAACAGCTCCTTCCGCTTCCCCGCAACCCGGGCCCGATCAACTCTCGGGTGCCTAGGGCTTTCGGCGGTTTGGATTTCTTGTGCTTGTAGTGTAGGGCCTTGAATAATCGCAGGGCTGCGTCTGGATTGAAGTGGGGATGTAGGCTTCTCCGCCCACCACTTGCCCATGATATCTTTTCAGAAGGGTCTCCTAGAATCGAGTCTCTAAGTCCAGGTCCGTACAGTACTTTTGTGTTGGATCATAGTTTGCTTGCAGGTACCTCGTGCAGGATTGCATCTAGCATTGCTTGACTCTGAGAACAGATGTTTCAGAGGTGGCATTCCTACCCTCTAATGTCTGGGAACTGGGGCGCTACAGTAGCTGATGTGGGGGCTTTGTGTGCAGTCCTGCATGTACTGTAACTTTTGTGCAGACTGATTACAGAGGGGAGCGTGGGGCCTGTCACTTTTCCCAGGATCATCCTGACATCCAGCGGATGTGCGTCGAGCCACCATTCCGCAAGTTTGACCAAAGCTGAACATGCCACGGATTTGTTGTTAAGCCCCCGTGTTTGTGCCAACGCCCCTGGAAAACGTTGATCTGGAACAAACAAAAAGTTTCTCACGTCTTTCAGCTGCGGTTAGTGCAGAGACAGACGCGGCCAGCGTCGAAACGAGGAAGTGTCTGGACTGGCTGGTGCCTGCAGTCACCCGGCCCAGAAGCTAGTTGTGCTCAGCACAAGAGACCTCAGTTATGACCGCCTTATAGCAGAGCTAAACACGAACGTTGGCAGTTGGATGTTGACACTAACCTTGGATGCCGACTATGAAGCCTTGCCCGGTTTGTCCGAGTTGTGATCAGAGTAACCGCCTTGATCCAAACAACTCAACGCTGAAAAGCTTAAGCCTTGAGCCTCCCAGGCCACGGTGCGGGTCTTTGTTGCGATGACTCACTGCCATTATGGAAAAGCTTTCTGCACATTTTTTGGAGAGAGAGAGAGAGAAAGAAAGAAAGAAAGAAAGAAAGAAAAGAAAAGAAAGAGAGAGAGAGAGAGAGAGAGAGCTGTGGTTGTGCGATGTGGTGCACTGGTGCATTGGGTCCACTGGCCACGGGATTCTAGGCGCTGCGTAAGACACGCGGAGCCCATGCCCCCAGCAGCTCGTAGGCACAGCACCGCATATTTGGTTCATTAGGGAGGATTGTTCAGGGCTGGGGAGCCAGCAGAATCGGGAAACAACAGCAGTGTCGCTGAGAGCGATCGGCACACTCCCACTGTGACCTGACCTTCGAGGCACGGGGCACGCTAAGGAACCGCTAAGGATCGGTGCCTCGGGGGAACAGGTCGTGCTGGGACGTGGGGGAGTCGCTTTTTCACCAATCGACGCGACTGTGTGGACTGGGCGCGCCCGCGCGCGGGGGGTTTTCGGGCCTCCCATGCCCGGTAGAAGAAGAAGAAGAAGAAGAAGAAGAAGAAGAAGAAGAAGAAGAAGAAGAAGAAGAAGAAGAAGAAGAAGAAGAAGAAGAAGAAGAAGAAGAAGAAGAAGCAGAAGAAGAAGAAGAAGAAGAAGAAGAAGAAGAAGAAGAAGAAGAAGAAGAAGAAGAAGAAGAAGAAGAAGAAGAAGAAGAAGAAGAAGAAGAACAAGAAGAAGAAGAAGAAGAAGAAGAAGAGAGAGAGCGAGAGAGAGCCTTCGGATGTCCACCCGAAACTCACAAGCAAGGTGTCCGCCAAAGAGCAATTGTAGGTCAAGGTGCGGGAGTGAACCTGCTCCAGTGGGGGGTTACAGTGGCCGCCAACACCTACTACCCAACCTTATTCCCCTATCACCCACTTTGTTACATGGCCACCTCCTCCAGCACCAATCTCACACCGACAAACTCTGTCGTGCGTGCCCCTCGCGGCGGCCCCTTCACAGGGGTCATACGCCTAGCAAGCAAGCAAGCAAGCGAGAGAGAGCGAGAGCGGGAGCGGGGGCGGGGGCGGGGGCGAGGGCGAGGGCGAGGGCGAGAGCGAGAGAGGTAGGGTTTCGTTGGGGGATGCAGGCAGGGCACGGGGTTGAGAGTAGCACCAGTTCCCAGCAGCCGGACATCTATACTAACCTAAATGGGGTAGCCTCGTTGAAATGGGGGGATGGGCAACAGAGCTGAAGGAATGATCGGCGCCGCAGGCCCCCCTCTCACACAGTCCTCCACAACAACCTGGGGCCGCGCGGAGTGCGCCCGGGAAAAAACCCCTGTGCCCCAAGAAAGAAAGAAAGAAAAGTCAGAGAGGGAGGCCTCAAGCGCAGAAGAAGAAGAAGAAGAAGAAGAAGAAGAAGAAGAAGAAGAAGAAGAAAGCTCGTGGGAAGGAAGGAGGGGGTTTCCGCGTGCACGGAGTGGCATTGGGGTACGCTAAGAGGGAAGAACATGGAAGAGCCATCGTGGCCGGAGCAGCTTACGCAGACTAAGCTGCTGCAAATGTGTGTTGGGACGGAAAGTACTGGTTGAGGATACTGCTTTCATGGGGCATAGGTGGCAGGCAGGGAAATGTAGACCTGAGCTGAGCTCACTGAGCGCACAGTGCACAAGATGACGAGAGATGACGAGAGATGACGAGAGAAGCCCAGAGGTGAGCCCTTGTAATTAATTGGAGGCCTCTTGTAGCGGGAGCCCGCTGCCCCACCTTTTTTTCCGAGCTTGGGAGTATTCAATTTCAACAAGATATAGTCGAAAGAGTCACGGGCAAGTATCTCTAGCTCGACAGATCAGAGGATGGGGCGGAAGAAACAAAACAATCAGATTGGGGGCGCGCGGTCCGACCAGCCAAGGATCCTGTACGAGCTGCAACTGGACATTGGTGGTGGGTCTGGACGGAGCATCCACCACGAGTCCCTGATCGTTTCTATTTAGAGAAGTGCGGGCTTCACTGCTGCAGCTGCATGGTCTTGTGTTGCTGCGCGCGGCTGGTAAGGTTTGTCAAAGAGGCATACAAGCGAGTCGGCATGAAAGATCAAGCCCTGGCTGCGCTGACAAACATCCTGGTGCGCTGCACGGACTACCGTTACGATGTCTTGGAGGTTTTCAGCGTCGGTGAGGTGTTCTTAGCGCAGCTGGGAGACAACTGGACAGTTGTGATTGTGCAACACTCACAACAGTTGTAAGCGAGACGAGTTTGGATGGAAGTAGGTGGTACAGTGACATGAAGTTGCCAATTAACAGAGCAGCTGCAATGCCTCATGGACCCCTGCGGATAAGGCAAAATGTGCGACCCAGCTTTCTTGGTGAGCTGTTGAGCCTTGCCCTTGCGAAGCTGCACACGCAGAAGTCGGGGTGGTCGCTGTCTATTCAGTCTGTTCTATCTTCCGATCTTCCCTCTGAGTCTCTCTGCCGACAGCTGTCTCCGCTCCAATCTCTTCTACGACGATCACGTAGAAGCCGGCTGGTGAAACCTGCTGTATGCCAAACCTCTTCTGTCTGAGTCCAGGAGGGTTTGCGATAAGTAAGGATACTGTCTTTTTCTGTCCTTACACTTCGCAGTGCACTGAGGAATGGCCTAAACCTGGGTGCCTTTACACTTCATGTGGAGACTTTCCTGGCAGACTATGACCCTTTGTCCAAGGATGCCCTGCCGTCTGTACCAGCCGGGGGAGTGCAACGGTTACGTGTACATCAGCCTTGTTAAGTTTTGTGAGCGGTTTGTGTGTAGGCAACTTGTAGAGCTTGAGGGTGGTGTGCAGACGCTCTCAAGGGGATACTTTGCCAGGACCAGCAGGTCTTGCACATGGAAATTGTGGAGATGCAGAGCAAGACGTCCAACAGCTTCAAGACTTATCTCCTTGTGTCTGCACCTGCATTGGTATGGATCATGGTGCTGTTTCGGGGCGCTCTTCTCATCACCCCTTCAAAGCTGTACCTGGGTCGACGTGTTTGGCCGTGGAAGTTGCATGACAATGCTTGTTTCAAGGTGGCCACGAACTTCAAAGTCTTCCTTCTTGAGCCTAACCCCGAGAAACCCGCCTATGCTGCAGAGATCGGCGAACACTGGGATCCCAATTGGGCGCCTTGGCGGCGGTCACTTGGGATTCCAACTTCTGGGTAGTGGTGTGGATGGGGGGCGCCAGGAAGCGTTCAAGGCTTCGAAGCTCAAAGGCTCTGCACGTTTGACACGGGGGATAGCTTGAAACAACGTTATGAGCCGCAGCGGCAATGGCGGCGTATGCCTTTGTAGGGTGGGGTACAGTGGTGATCTAGTGGTGACACCCGATGACGTGACGTAGCATGGTATGGCTTTGGAAGCCCTGCCCAGCCCAACTCTAGAAGCTGGCGGCACGCTTTGGGGTGCCTGCCGGAAGGCCCTAAAGGCAGGTAGTGTTACTCGATTTTGCTTTCCTCTGCATTGGACGCGTTCAAGGAATTGACGGTGCTGTTTAAAGCTCTTAATTTAAGGTCTGAGGATCGTTTGCAGATGCGAACCCCGAGTGGCTCATAACCTAGCCACTGCGTCATGATGCAAATCGCCAATGCCGGTTGCAAGGAGACTCTTTTTCCCCGGCAGCCTCTGGTCGTCTGGGAGCGTGAGTATTCGAGCTTGGTGCGTGTCTGGCGCTGCTACGGTTCACAGAAACTCATCTACTTGAGCAGCTTTCGCTACTGCAGCCCTGGAGCTCGCGAATTTACTGAGCAAGTTCACCCCACGGAACATATGGCAAGTACCCAATCTCAGAAGTGATTGTGGAAGCTTGATCTCAGGATTCTGGCCCTGGAGTGGCAGGGAGCGGGCAAGCGCCTGTCTGATGCTGAAGAGTCCCCCAAAAGCGGGCAGGCGATCCAGCGCCTTGGAGAACCGGCCTTTCTTTGATACTGTTCAGAAGTATAGTCTGGCATGGACTTGAATCTCACCATAGTCGCCGTAGCCTTAGAGTCTTAGACCTGGATGCTGCAGCATCCATCCAAACGGCCCGAAGTCCTAGGTACGAGGTTTACCTCTTCCACTTGGCCGACCGCCGGGACGTCATGGCAGATTGCCTTCGTGCCTATGCAGCCTCCAAGGACACGAAGGGCGAGGGTCCCCCCGTGCCCTGGCTCAGACCCTCGAAACAGGAGATTTGTGCAGTTCGTCCGGCGGCTCAGGTTGCGCACCGACAAGCCGATAAGTTTTGCGTTCAGGAGATGGCAAGTGACAAGCATGGTGTTGAGCCTGCCGAAAGGTGTTGACTGACCCAAGCTTTCGCACAATCGTGATCGCGCAGACCAAGGAGGAGACGGCTACCTGTTAGCTTATGTCGTCTCCGCCACTCAGAGTTCCCCCCATAAATGGCCCACTAATCTTTCTGCTAGCATGTTGCAGCTTCGCGGATGCAGCGACCACCATCGTCATGCCACTCTCAAGTTCAATCAAGCAGAGAGTGCGGGAAATTGCAAGCCCACAAGAGCCACGACAGTGGCTTTGCAGGTCTAGCTGAAGTGTTGTTTTAGCGTTAACTTTAAGACTTGGCGGTGCTTTGGGGTTCAGTACTTAAGACATGACTCGAACATACCAACCCCAAGATATCCCAAGCTGGCTCCCCAGGCTACAGTAGCCCTTTTCTCTATATACCCCAAATCTAAACCCTCGGCAGCCAGGAGCAGGTTCTGGCGGCTACGGTAACCACCCTGGGCCCAGCACCCCGGCTCCTTGGCATGATGGAGAGATATAGAGGGCTGGAGGGTTTAGAGATGAGGGCTTTGGGTTTAGAGTCATTTCCCAAGATGCCCAATGCCCTGGACCGTGTCGGGGGGCGGCAGGAGTGGGGGCCCCAACCACTGGACCCTTAAACCTCGAATTGAAACCATCAAACCTAGACCGCAAGGACACACCAACAAACCCCCAAAGCAAAGTTCAAAGACAGTTAAAGTCTTTTGCCATATAAGAAGCCCTACATCCCTACGGTTCCATCACTCGCCAGTTTACAAAGAAGTCGTTGGGAAACACTGTCTCGCACAAGAAACTCCAGGGGCCCCGTAGGCCCATGGATACACAGCCTTTTCCGATTTGAAGAATACAAGATCAAACAAACGAAGAACAACCAAATCCGAACAACAAAGCCGCAAGCAACACTTGGAAGTTGTAAGTTCTTCAACAATGCGAGGGTGATTCTAGAGATTCTTTACATTGCAATTCAAAATCCTTCGCGCACATACAGGTTGAGATTCCGATTAAGTATTCTGTAGATGGCAACAGCGAGAATTGGATCCAATCTGGAGCTGGGTTGGAGAAGCTGAAGGGCAGCCTCTGCGAAAGTTCTTCAGCTCCCTGGAACCATAAGGGTTGGCCTCTTCGCCGCCGAGCAGAAGGCAGACCATCGGCCGCGACTCTTTGTGCGGCTTGGCTTTACGGGTACTCAAAATCGAGAAAATGTGTCAAGCTCTTCAGGATGAGTGACCCAAAGAAAGGCAGACGCGTGTCAGAGAACATGTGAGGGTTCTGGGAAGCATGCTGAGAACTGCAAAGGGAAACAGTTGAGCCGTTGCCTTTGTGATGGGAGCTTGGTGCAGCGCAGGTTGACAAAGGCGTCAGTCTTGGCGCCTCGGCTGGCACTCACGGAGAAGCCCCACCGGCCCGAAACGAAGAACTTGGTGCGGACAGTGCGACTAGCACAGCTTAGGCTTAGGCATTTCCTAGAGCCAGTTGATTGTCTCTTTTTCTGATCGCTATTTCGCCCGCTTGGTGCACCATGGCCTAAGTGCTGCGATGTCTAAGGAGTTTGCCATCAACTCCAGCTTCGTGGCTAGCACATTCGGCATAGTTTGTCTGTTTGCTGAGTTTGCTGTCGGTTTCCCTCTGCCCAACACATCCACTGTCACAGACGAGCGCGGGTTATGACAGGCTTGTGGCGCGGTAAGAGGTATACCGGTATAACAGAGAGGCTCGTGTCCGCAGGCTGTCATAGTCTGTTTCGTCCACAGAGATAGCGGCACGTCTACAAATTCTACACATAGCTTTCCAGGAGGAGGGCCCAGTTTTCCGAAATCAGGTTGTAGCGTGGCGTAGTCCTGGGGCTGGAGTGAGAGGGGTTGTCTGGTGGCAACTTAGCCAAGAAGCCTGGTCCGCGCTCAGGCTCGGTGCAGTAAGCAGAGTCACCGCAGTGTCACCGCAGCTCGTTTCCAGCCAAGAGTCAAGCCGTTGCCAGAGTGCACCTGCCAAGCAAAGGCTGGTGTTTACCATGGAGGTCACAGGTACCTCTCGCTTGAAATGGTTGCACCGGCAACCCCGCGCGCGGGAGGCAAGCAGTTGCCTGAGATTCAAAGTTTGGAGGCCCTGCATGAGCCAGGTGAGCCATTGTCGACTGCACGTGTTCTCGGGGCATTGGAGCCCTACCTCGCTTCCTGGCGGTTGGCCCCACAGAAGGCCACTGTGGTGCTCCGTCAGCTGGCAAGGCAACAGCAGCCCTTGGCTTTGGCGGTCCTGCGGGCCATGGCGATCGGACAGGTGGAGGCGAATACCGTGCACTGGAATTCCGTCATCTTCGAAGCCACAAAGGCAAAGGACTGGCAACAAGGGGTTGCGCTAGTGAAAGAGCTGGCCTCTGTCAGACTCAGCTGTGAAACCAACAGCTACAACTCCATCTTGAGTGCGGCCGTGCGCTCGGAGACGTGGCCCAGGGCAGTCCTTATACTCAGCCAGCGATTTGAAGTCCAAGCACCTGCAGATGCAGTCAGCTACAATGTTTTGGCTGATTCCATTGCCAAGTCCAGTGCGTGGCAACAGGTTCTTCATGTGCTGCGGGACATGTCTTTAGAGCATACTCTACCTGATGTCATCACCTACTGTGCTGGCATGTACGCATCCTATGCAAGCAAGTTGGAGTGGGCTCTCACGTTTCACTTCTTGCAGACGATGCAGTCCATCGGCATTGTGTGCGACATAACCAACATCGGCACCGCTGTAAGCACATGTAGCTTGGCTTCAAGCTGGAAGTCTGCAGCGTGGCTCCTTTGTCAAGCGGCGCGCTCAACCTTGCGCTTGAATGCTGTCAGCATCAATGCCGCCATCTCCTCGATGAGTGAAGGAGAAGTTCAAGTATAGGGGCTTTGCATTGAAGTCGTAGTTAACCGTTCCACCGGGGCCATATTGTAGTGAGTGGTTGACTGGGCTTTTGCAAATCCGGGTCCCAGCCAGGAGAAGCCGAGTGGCCGACAGCAATTGGTCACCTGGAGCGCATGCGGACCACAATGATTGGGCCTGATGAGGTCAGCATACTTGCGTCCATCAACGCATGCGACAAGGGGGCCTGGCAAATCGGGATGGCCTTGTTTATCGACTCCGGGCAGTGGAAGCTACACCCAAATACATTTACAGGCAACGCGTTGCTGTCCGCCTATAGCTCCAGTACTTCCAGCAGAAATCCATGGCAGACCGGGTTGCGCCTTCTGAAGCTTCTGCAAGAAGTGCAAGTCACTGCAGACGTGGTGAGCTTCAACATCGTGTTGTCAATGTTAGGCCGAGCCAATGCATGGCACACTGCAGTGGATGTCCTGGCACTCATGGCTGATTCACATTCCGCAACCACATCGCATCTGAATTCCGTGATGGGCTGCCTTGCCAAGGTGCAACAATGGGAGCAGGCGGTGTTCCTACTCCAGCAGTCGCATGAAAGAACCATCGAAGCAGACACTGCCACCTATTCCTACTTGATCGAAGCTTGCAGGGACTGGACTTTGGCCTTGCGTACTTTCGAGATGTCCAAGGAGCTCGAAGTCGATGCCTCCCGCGCCGTGCCGTCAAGCGGAAGGCGCAGCTGGCAAAAAGACCTGACCCACATGGTGAGCACATTGGCAAGACATGAGATTTCATGGCAACTGGGTGCTCAGTGTGTGCAGCGACTGCAAAGTCTGGGACTGCAGGCCAACGGCGTTACCTTGACTTCCCTGCTTCACACAGTGAAGCCTGGCAGGTGGCCCATGGCTTTGCACATGCTCCGCTCCTCATCATGTCTTTCACTTCCGCCGAATGACTTCAGCCGAAGTGCTGCTCTGACGTCCCTGGGCCCTGGACGTCAGTGGCGGTCAGTCGCTGCCATTTTTCGCCAGATGGCCAGAGAGAACCTGGAGGTGAACCAGGCCTGGGTCGCTGCAGCGTTTTGCTTTGCAGCTTTTTTTTTTGCGAGTTACTCGAGTACAGTCATCTTGTCGAGTCAGGTTTGCTGCGGTGCTGCTCTTCGGGGGTTTGAGCGCCAAAGCCTGTGGAGGCGCTCATTATGGCTGCTCAGGATGGGATGCCTTAAACGACCAGGGCATGTACTGTAGTCCGTTCAAGCGTAAACCAGCAGTAAAGGTTTCAGATGGTTCCGGCATTCGGTGGGCCCTCTGGCCAACACTGGAGGACTAAATCTAGTAAGTAAATTGTCTTACGCCCCCAACTGGCTCACTAGCCAGGAATCGTCCATATGCCTTGGATCCTGTCAGCTGCAGTTCCGCCTTGAACGCTTGCTCGGAGATGGCAGTGTGGGCACGGACACTGCGTCTTCTGTGGGAAGCTATCACCTTGCGCAGATGTGAGCTGGACGCAGTCTGCTGCAACGCAGCTATGGCAGCATGCAGTGGCAGATGGGTCGAGTCTGTGACTCTCTTGAAGTGCCTGAGTTCACGGAGCCTCCGGTGCACATCCATCAGCTTGAGCACATGCATCTCTGCGTGCTCCAGATGCTTGCAGTGGCCCTGGGGCCTTTTCCTCCTCGAAGTGAACACAGAGAACACAGTGAACAGGACAGGTAAGGATGTCTTGAGTCTGGACATCGTGAGCCTGGAGGCAGTTGTTAATGCATGCAGAAGTTGTGAGCAGTTTTTCATCATTCCCAGCCTACTGCGCCGCCTGCAAAGGCCTGAAAAGCGAGCAATGCGTGCAACAAGTTTTCAACTCTCGAAGAGTCACCCACACCGAATCCAAGGCTCCTGGCATCCGCCCTCAGAGCTGGATCCCGCCGCTGGGACAAAGTGATGAAAGTGAACCGCAATCTCCAAAACGCGAATGAACCTTCGTTCTGCCATCGTAAGCCGCCTCAGTAGATCCCAAATTGCCAAGCACCGAGTTCGGGGTGCACGGTTATAAGTGACTGAAATAAGCGCATGAACCGTATTAATATTAGTGCGTAAACTCGTGAACGAAGTACAGGAACAAAGTGAATGCAGCATATTTTGTATTACTAATGAAATCTCATTTGCATTCATATCCTTGTCCTTTGATCATAAATTATTTTTGGAATATTGGTTTTTTATTAGGAATTACTATTGTGACAAATTATTAAAAGCTGCCGATCTGCCGCATTTGGGCATGGTGCCAAGGCCATTTTCGACGACTTCCTGCCCGATGATCTCGACGAGGCCACGGTCTTCGGTGACGCTTTATGAGGGGAAGTAGGCACCTGGTGCCAAATGCCGCCATGCCGTGCATGAGCCTGAGCAGCTGCGAAGTTTGCACATCCTGGGCTCTGCATCTTTCTTGCAGCATGCCTTTGCATGCATGTCAACCTGCAGGGGGAAGGAGAGGGCGAAGCAGCGGAAGAAGAGGAAGTTTTCCCGCCTCCGTCCGACGAAACTTGGCGGCATCGAACATGTCCGCTGGTCGAGAACTAAGCATGAGAACTGTTCTGAACTTGTGTCCATGTCACCCCCCTATACTAAAATTATGTGAGCACAAATGAGTTGTGTGTGTGTGTTTCCCCAACCCAACAGCCCCCAACCTACAGGAGGAGATGGCTTTGCGCCACCTGGACCGTCTCAGCGCTGCTGCCGGGAAGGTGACGAGACACAACACAGCGTATAAAGCATCCGAAGCATCCCCCAAGTTAAAAAGCAGGGTCGTGCTCAGTTTTTGGGGGGCGGTGCGACCTCCAAGGCGACGGGGCGAGAGGACTGCGCACACCCCCATTCCTGCAGAGCTTCATTGTTGATGAGAGGGCTGTGCACGTCGTGTCTACATAAGTTCGTAAATCTTTGTAACGATGACATCTTGGAGACTTGGAGTCCTGTGAGGTGCGGCCACCGCCGCAGACTGGTACTGGCAGGCATCATGTGTGATACTGGTGGTACTGCCAATTCTTCAAGCTTCTAAGCCACGGTGATGCTCACACAGGGTTGGGCAGAATTCTGGGCAGGGTGGAAGTTCCTGTCCAGGAAGGGAGGGTCGAGGAGTCGAAGAAGCCAGCTGCGCCTCTGTGAGATTCTGTGAGGCCTGTCCTGGCCCTCACGAAGACCTACAAGCTGCCAGCCTCGGAGCCGCTCGGACGTTGGCGCGTGATCCCAGCTTGACCCTAAACGCTCTTTTTGCATGTACACACGATCCTATTGATATACTCTGCTACATACATTCTAATATGCACGAAAGAAATAAGCCCTGATGGCTCCTGATGATCCGGTTGCCCATGTGCAAGGATTCACTTCGAGAGCCGCAGCGAGGCTGATCTCACCCTACATTTCTCCAGCGGCGCCTTTTGCATTCGCACCTTGACCACGTTTTGAATGCTTCGGGTGCATTGGAGCCAACTCAGTGAAGAACCCCTCAACGTCCTTAATCAGACCGTTGTTCGCTGAGGGTGGCAGGGCTTAGGAAATTCGGCAATGCGCAGCTCCAGTTCACTGGGTACTAAGTCGACCTGATGTGCCTGATGACCAGAGACGTGCCCTGCAGTTGCCTTTGTGCTCAGGCCTTTAAATTTGTAGGGTCGGCTCACAACTGGCTCACAAGGCTTCTTCACGGACAGCAGCCGTGAAGTGTGGCGGCGGGGCCTGGCGTACACCCTGGTAAAGGGGGAGAAAGGCCAGGGGATCTCAGGATCTCAGGGATCACAAGGAAGGCAGGTTTTGAATTCAGGTGTCGGGCTTTCCAGCTTTGCGGACTATCTAGTGCTAAGGATGTCTTCCCCGGCCAGATCTAGGCATGAAACTTTCTCGACGAGCTTGTGAATCGATTTCCACCACTGGCACCTGGTAACTCCTAGTGCTGGCCCTGCCAAGATCACACAAGCAGCACACGAGCAGCACATGTCAGGATGGGAAAGACAGCATTGAGCCTGACGAGTGAAGCTTCCGGGCCGGCCAGTGATGGTGAGACCAAAGCGCCTCCAGAAGTGAGAGGGTTTAATATTAAGGGCCCTGCAAAAAGTTGTGAGGTGTTTCAAAGGTATCACGAGGGATGCCACAATGCCACAGTATTCATTGATTGCTTTGGAATAGCAACAGTAGCTTCAGCTGTCAAGCTGTTGCAGATAATGTCGAGCATTGGAAGCTTCAGGCACACAGGCACATGATCTCGACATGTCCCGACCAGATTGGCATACAACTGGCAGTTTGCGCAATCAGCTCTAGACTCAATACTCTAAACAAAGCTGTGGCGGAAGCTTCCGAAGCTAGTTCGCAACCCCCCCGGGGTGGAATTGATGGTTTGCGAGTGCCAGGATTTGGACCTCAATGTGGTCTGAGATTTTCACCCATGGGGTGGTGCGACTTGGAGGGAAGACTCAACGCGCTCAAAGTAGCGCTATGCGCTCGAGGCAGCATCGAAAAAGGCAGAGCTTCACATGTTGAGCCAAGGAGGCAAGATGTGGCACGATGTCCTAGATTCATAGATGTGCAACGCTATTACTCGTTGTCGTGCAGAATGCAGTTCTTAGGCATGCAATCTTGCGGCTCAAGCTAAACTTGATGTCTGAAGATACTTCGAGCTCAAGGGGCATTGAGATACATTGGGTTGGGCTTCATTGAAATGGATGCCGCATGCTTTGCCTGAACCCTCGGCTCAAGAGCCTGCTTGCAGGTCCTGGGACTTCGAGTTCGACCACGTCTTCAGGCACACGGACAAACTGTCAGAGTTTGCTGCTCCACTGGTAGTGCTTTTTCTCTTAGCCTTTCATCCAGTTGTGCTCGGAAGGCCTGCCGCTTCGCAGGGAGAAGTCTTTGAGGAGCTTGGTCCTCAGACTGCCAAGAGGAACCACAGGGATTCCGGTGGAACCCTGGAAGCACCATCAACGTCATCCGAAATCGTAATCATTCATATACGTCTTACAAGTCCTCGCATGCCTATGTGCGTTTGTGCGCCCATGCACTCGACATAGATATGTCAAGGTATCAAGCACACAGGTTTGCCACTGACTCGGTGTGCTCACGGTGTACTGCCACGGTCGAATCCAAAGAATGTCCTTTGGGGATGACCCGATAAATTGCACACGGACGGACGGACAGACGGACAGACAGACACACAGGCACACACAGGCAAACGCGCGCACACACAGAGACAGAGGCACAGAGACCCAGAGACCCAGAGACCCGGAGACCCGGAGACACAGACACAGAGACACAAAGAGACAGAGAGACACGGAGCGACACGGAGAGACACGAGAGATTTCTTTTGCCCTTGGAAGAATCTCCTGGAGCCCAGTCAACCCCCGAACGATGCCTGTTGCTAGGCCATAAGTTCTGTTTTGCCTGCGGGGAACGCTGGGGGCCGAAAAGGGGAAGTGTTAGTTGTCAACTAGGATCGGGTATGCTAAGGACCCCTGGATGGCCGCTTTTTCCCTCCGGGGACACACAGAGACACCCAGAGACACGCAGAGACACCCAGAGACACAGAGAGACACAGAGAGACACAGAGAGACACAGAGAGACACAGAGAGACAGAGAGACACAGAGAGACACAGAGAGAGACAGAGAGACACAGAGACATAGAGACATATCATAGAGACATATCATAGAGACACAGACACACAGAAACACAGATGCAGCCACACAGACACGGACACAGACACAGACACGGAGATCCCAGACACAGACACAGACATCCCAGACACAAGCACAGACATCTGGAATCGAGTTTATGGGAAACTTTGCGGGGCTTGGGAGGGCCTGGTGAGATTTGGATCCTGTCCCCAAAAACTTTCACAGGGCTTGCATGGACTGTCAGGCGCTCTGGGGGGGGGGGGGTTTGAGATGGGGCTTGCAGTGGCCCTTCACCTCTTGTGGAGGGCCTTCTTAAAGTTTCGCTCTCCGGCCTCCCAGGAGCCAACTTAAATCCACCAAGAAGAATACAAGAAAAGGCCGACCCCTAAAAGAGGAGGATAAAGAGCTGGGTACCTGATCAGAGCCTCGCCAGAATATAACTAGCTCATTTGGAGGGCTTGTGGCCATGTTGCACACCATGATGTCTCCATGCCTCGTTCGTTTTCGTTGAGGGTCTCCCTACTGGTTCAATCGGCCCTCGACGGCTACCGGGTAGCGATCCTGGCGTATGGGCCCGGACCTCATGCAACGCTGAGACAGGAAATGGGGCAGCAATTTGGGACTGAACGTGTTGACCGAGGCAGACAGGAAGTGGCAAGACCTTCACAATGACCGGCCCTAGTACTGCCTCAGAGGAGGCAGCCGCTAATGTGATCAGTTCAGGAACTTGCAGGCCCTCATACCGAGGGCCTTTCTTTGCAGAGAAAAGGGTGTAGACTTGAACTGACCTCAGGCATCAGAAGAGTCCGGCATGATCCCGCGCACCGTGGACCTGATCTTCAAGGACCCGTCACAGGTCTCCAGAGTCCAACTGGACAAGGAACAAGATATAACAAGATGCCGCAGGAAGTCGAGCAGCTGAAGAAGCATGGCTGGGAGTGTCTTAGCTCGGGTGGTCGCTTCTTGCTGGAATGCGCCGCTGTATGAAATGCTGCACTGCACGTCAAACCAAGGTTCGAGGTCTCGGCAGGCATGGCGGAGGCAAATCAAGGAGTTGTGGCAATCCGAGCCAGATCTGCTCATATCGAAAAGATTTCAAGTTTGGCCTTCTCTTGTGGCATCACAAAAGTGGATCAAGGCTCCTGATTCCACCACGCATTACGGTCGACAGGTCTACAACGACAGCATATTAGATCTCACGGCCGCTTGACAGCAAGGGATGGGCGCAACGGGAGTGCTGACTCGGCTCCTCGTCCGCTAGCACGCCGGTGCAAATGGAAGGGGTGGAGGAAAGAGACAGAGAGCGAGAGAGACCAATTTTTTGCGAAGTTCTGGTAGCTTCGCTAGTAGCATGTTGCAAGTTCTGGCAGGCAGCGGGCAGATCGACTGCAGGTTGGCAGCGCTCTCCTAGGGTCCTAGTAAGTTGGTTCAGGACAGTGTCCGACTGCACCCTGCGCTCAAGACATTGTGCGCATGTTATATAAGCGCCTGATCCAAGAGGACGCCCACACTGCAAGCCCTTCGCACTTGATGATTCATGCAAGAGACTCACATTTAATCCTGAGCCGCTTGCCAGTCAGCTTGCCCAAAAGTCGTGCAGGTCCCCCGAGCCCTGGCGAGGGTGACCGCAGCTTTGACCAGCCAAGCATCCGCAGGATCCTGGTGAGATTCTTGGGCCGGCACTTACCGAGAGCAACAAAGTTCCTTGTAGGCCATTGGAGGTGTCCGGGGAATATTTGGAAGCATCTCTCAGCTTTCAAGGGGGTCTTGTGACTGATGTTGCGGTTGCGTCTTTGCGTGTTCGGAGTAGGAGCTTTTTCTATACGAGGGCGGGGCTGGTGTTTCGGGAGGTATCCTGCAGTATCTGCGAACCCCGTCCATGGCTCAAGCTGTAGAGCTACGGCAGAACATCAGGGGACCTCGGACTGGCGCTCTGACGCGTCAAGGTGTCTGATCGAGTGTCCAGAGGCCTTCAAGACTCTAAACTCAGCAGATCACGGTTGCTGCAAGACCTGAGCCATTCTCATGCGGTGGCCTCTGTCAGCCCTGTTTGGGGCACTTGCCTCGCCCGCTCTGGGATCAGCGGCAAGCTGTGCTGCTGCGCCTACGACCAGGGAGAGGGAGCTGTGCCTCCGTGTCAAGGAATCCGCCAATCAGGTCCGAAGTCGCCTCGGTCATGTCCCTGCAAAGCCTTTCATGACTGAAACAAGCGTTCGTGCTTCCAGTGGCAAGGGGTCGATGCGATCGCGGAGCTTCACCAAGGATACGCCGATTCCCGCACCTAGAAGCAGTCTAGCAGTGGTGCTACCAGTCGTCCGTCGTAAGCAGAGGGCGGAGCTGGCCTATGTTCAGAGATCGGTGCCAGCTTTGGTCCGAGAGCTGGCCAACCAGGTGCCGTCTGTTCTTGTTTTTGGTGACCGGGGTGAAGCGGCCTCGATTGCGCTTCGACTCCTGGAAGAGTTCAAAGAGAAACCTGTGCGATTTCGCTTCCAAGCCAGAGGCAAGCACAAGAAGCTAAAGGACCCAGCCAAGTTGAAGAAGGCACATGGCGACTCGCAAGAGAAGATTCTTTGGAGATCCCGTCTTGTTCTGGACTTCGTTTCGGCTGCACATGAAGCCCTCGCATCTGCACCTAACTCGCATCTCCTTTGGGTGGAGGATGACGTGGAGTTGCTGCCGGGCTTTGGAGCTCTTCTCCAGGATTGGCTGCAGACACATGGGGATCGAAGTGATTGGTTGGTGCTGCGGCTCCTGGGCTTTCAACGGGACGCAGACAGAGCGACTTGGGCTTGGGGCACGGCGGGGTGGGGCGGGGGTGGGACGCTGCTCTACAATGCCCAGCACTTGCAGAACTACCTGGATTTCCTTGAGGCCAATTTTGACGCCGCGCCTTTGGATTGGCTGCACCGAGCAATGCCTCCCCCACTGGCCGAATGGTGGCAGCCACAACTTCAACCCGTGCTCCTGCGACATTTCGGCGAGCATTCCACACATGAGAACTTTTTGTAGCCGATAGCCCTGGAGAATATCCGAGCCACCCCGAAGCCATCCCTGAGCTATTCGAGGTAGAGCAGGGTGGCGCTGCAACACTTGACATGGCCAAGTACCATAGCCTTGCCTGCCGAAACAGAAACATTGCTGCAGCAAGAGCCGTTCGCCTTGCCTGCACCGGAGAACATTGGAGAAGGAGACGAGCGCTGGTCAAGGTTTCCGTTGCTTTTGCTGTGTCAGTTGCTGGGCATTGTGTGTGTGTGGCAATGGAACTAAAACTGCACCAAGCTTCCACATCCATGCGCCAGTTCGATGGCCTACACTCCAGGACGCAGGACATGAGACGTGACAGAAAAGGGGGCAGAGCAAGTTGTGGGGCAAGAACGACTATTGGAATTATAGTTGTAGACAGTTGTAGCTGGGGGTTGCAGGTATTGAACCCAGGTATTGCTTCATCCTGACGGCGAGAGAAATCGCCTGAAATCGCATTGCCGCAGCTTTCGGCTCAAGTTGGCCATTGAGGTCCTGACATTGCAAGCCCCATGACCAATGAAGATCCAGTTCGAACTTTGAAGTGATAGGCTTCTCGACTTCACGCCAACACTCCTCAACCCTCCTGGATCCCTTGGATCATGCCCCGTGGACGGCCGGATGGTAAGGGAGGACGCGGCAAAGGCCACATCTCACAGGGCGGCTGTGTTCAAAGTGGGGCAAGAATCAGATGAGCAGGAATTGGGTTCGAGCTTAGTCCCTGTGGCCGAAATGTCACCACCTGACAAGCCTCCCTTGACCCGGACATCAAACGCATGTCGTAATTACATGTTTGTGGAAGAGAACTTGGAAGCGTAAATGAACGAGATGCTTCACCAGAGCCCGCAGGCAAGTCGGCCCACCGCAAGGGTTTTGCCGAAGCAAGGACTACGATTATGCAGGGCTGGCTGGGACGAATCACGGTTTGTTGGAGGTCTGTGATTAGCAAAAGTCGGCAGTTGTGCCTCCTTCCACAGGTGCCCATAACGGCATACCATTGGGGAGGCTTTCGAAGGCGTCAAGACAGCCCAGTAAAAAGATTGCAGATGTACTGGTATCTCTCTCGGAGTTGGCAGGACAGAGCACGCTGAGGCTGCCCCACATGCATCCGGCAGTGAGGAGAGGAAGTGCTCGCAATCGGCTTGTACTTGCAAAGCATGTAGTGGTCAAGTCTTAGAACATGGCGTTAAGGTTGTTTAAGTGATCCTTCGCAGCTCTCGGGAGATGTGATGGGACGTTTGCGGAGAAGCTCGGAGCAATTGCAACTAGCGTCGCCAGGATTCTGGAGCAGAGTCCAGCCTCGGTGAGAGCGAGGGAGAGGCAGAAGAGGCCAATGGCAAGAGAAGCGTCCAGCGGTCTTTGAATTTGTTACGTCATCCCGAAAATCGGTGTGTAGATCCATTTGCCTAAACCAGAAAATGCACAAACATTCTTAGTACACCTATGTATCTATGTCTGCACCGTCTGTACCTGTACGTGTACATCCGTATAGATCTGCATTTTTTTCACTTGTTCTCTCTGTTTTTCTTTACGCCCTTGAGCTGTCGAGTCCTGCCCGTGGCAGGAAGGCCCGAAGGCCAAGCTGGTCCTTTTCGAGTTTGGTCAGATGCCCGGAGAGCCTTTGGAGAGGATTTCTCATCCTCCGTCAGTGGGTTACAACACTCCCGCCAAAGGCCCGCTATGGCCCACTGCTCAGCTAAGCTGTGCTGCTCATGGGCCTTGCCTGCCTTGCCCAGGTCAGAATGATCCAAAGATGGACTCTGGAGTTCGGCTATGCCGACGCTCCCTTCGCAGCTTTGGAGGGCCTTTGCCATGGACGTTGCCTAAGTTGCGAGCGAAGCCGCATGGCTAAGGATTTGGTTTGGCGAAGAGCTTAAAGCCTCAGGCGCGTTTTGAGCTAGTCACGTTGGAGTGGCGCAGAGGTAGCCCATAGCCCGTGGGAGCATGTACGTGCCGGTCAGTACTGCAGTTTGCTGCTTGGTGTGCTGTCTAAGGAGTTGGCAGGCTGAAGGCTATGTGGCTCGATTCGTGACAGTTGCCAGGCCGGCTTCCAAGGAGTCGTGCTGAGCACCATGACAAATGTCCCGGTCTCTGCAGAAGACCGAGCACTCATCGAGAGACTTGGCAGATTTGGCGGGGCATTGGCGACACTGTGTGCTACTTGCATTGTGCACAGTGCACACATTCGCATTCGCTTCTTAACTGCCAGCGGTTTGTTGGGAATGACGGAAGGGTTTCATGGTTCCATGGGTGGCATGTGCATGTTTCGGTGCATGTTTGTAGATCGGCCTGACACTCACGATGTCGTGTTTCACATCGCCGTCACCGACCTGCCTACTCTGAAATTCTCGCATGTCTTGCTCCTTGTAGCAGTTTGTGGGATAACTAGTGTCCTTTTCCCCTATATAGCCTATGTCGGATTGCATCCGTCTAGGATATTGCGTGCTCACGCTGAGAGTTCCGTCAGCGGCGCAGTCTATCCTGCGCTGGGCTTCAAACTGTCATGGCATGGCCCTAAAGCACAGAGAAACAAGAACACAATACATCAACCAGCACAGCGATTCCTTACCTTGCTGGCTGGCTGCAGGACGTGCGGTCTCGCTGGAGTCAACTGCAGTTGGAATCGCTTGGAGGCATCTCCGTTGCAGTTCAAGCTGTTCGGGTACCGGTTATCAGTTGGGGGGAGCAACCGGCCGGGATGGCTTTGCAAGCAGCCTTTCACCGCAGTGGCAGCTTTGTATGACCTAAGGAAATTCCTTGGGGCAAGCTACCTCGAAAGAGCCAGCACAGGTGCGTGAGAACCAAAGGGGCATTGGAGGTGAGATTCGGGAATGATGCATTGATTGATTTGATTTATGATCGTGATTGAATCACTGAATGACCGCGATCGGATACGACAACAGACCCAGGCCAGCCTATGTACATTTTTTTTTGGCCTGGCACCTGCCAGGATTCTGCCTTTTCTGGTTGCGGCCAACTCCGTGAACTATGGATCCTTGCCATCCAATTCCGTCGAGTCAAGCCTTCAAGTTGCCAAAAGAAACCGAGTGAAAGGCTCGCACATGCTCGCACAGAGGGCAAGTCAGCAAATCTGCGCCAGCAACCTCATCATCATACTTTATGGCTTCAGGCTTATTAGATGCTGCATGGGGGGCTGACTTGCAGAACCAGGGGCGAAATAAAGAGTGCGGGCACTCTCCTGTCTCAGCCTGAAGCTCAGCCCCAGGCCGGCCCAATAAGCTGAACACGGCGGAGGCCATGGCTGCGGCCGCTTGGCCGATGTCATGTTGAGCCAAGCGGAGCGGTTGAAATCAGCATTGCCTCGAGCTTCAGAAAACTCAGATACTGCAGCACTGCTCCGAAAATTGCAAAATCCTGATGCCAGGCCCTGATCATTGTGGGCCTGCGGGCAGAGGCCAAGCGCGTGCTGCGTGCCTTCAGCTGGGGTGAGGAGACCCGTAAGATGTTGACTGCGGTGTGCAACAATACCCCTTACCCGTGCAGGAGTTGAACAAAGGCTTCTTGGGCCAATAGACAAGAAGTTCCAAGAAGCGCGCGAGAGTGCGCGTTTGCACAGGAGTTCCTGAAACTTAACGAAGAGGCCTTCGATGTGTACAGCCAGGCGAAGAACGCCGCAGCCCTTCGAAGCTTGGCTCCAGCGGCGTCACTGAAACAGTTCTGTGCAGTTACGACAGTCTTGGCACAACCATGCAAAATCTCTGCACGCCCATGCTGTGCAAATGCATGCCCGACAGTCGTACAAGTCACATTTGGCAAGTCGGTAATCGTTGATGTGTGCAGATTTAACACAGCTGTCCTTGCATCGCAATTTCATTCCGGTAGCAGACCTCACGTAGTGCCGCGCCCCTGCACGATCCAGAACTTCTACCTCCCAGAGTGCAGAAACATTTGGAAGCTTTGCTTCGCAAGGACGCGCCGAAGCTGCTCTCCTGGAGCGGTGGCGAAACGAGGCCTATTCCCCCTAAAACGTACAAGCCTCAACCCCTAAACTTGCCCGCCCCCCCCCCCCCCCGCTTCCCCGCGAAACCTCCGGTAGAGTATGAGTAGGGCCTCCAGATCATGGCGCATTGAATTCCGGCAGGGGAAGTCAGCTTCGGGACATCAGTTTCCTGTTGGTTCTACAAACTAATCATTTTGCCTTCCCTGAAGGCAGCAGAACGCCGCGCGCAAGATCTGGACCTGCCTCCCTCCGACTCTGAGGTCTGAGGTAGCTGTCTTCTTGCCAGGGATCTGATTGTTTGCCTGTGGAACGTTGGACTTTGCTTCGAGTGGTCAAGTCCGATGCCTCGACATGCAGGATCCTGTTGACTTTTGTAGTGTAGAATGGTGCCCAGGAGATAGCTTAGACATGCCGGCTGCCCAAATTCGACCACCGCTTGCCAAGCTGAACATATAGCCTTTCATGCAGGGCGAAGGTCCAAGCTTCCAGGAACCTTGCTCCTCTTGCAAGAGGCCAGCGAGGCCTCCGTCCACGTGGATTCCGCTGGAAATTCCCTGCCGGCCGAGGGCACTCCGAGCCAGGCGGAAGCATGATTTGGGGAGGTTGACAGGTTCAAGGTTTAATGTAGTTCCGGCTTTAGAGATCGTTGATGCTTGAGTTTTGGACCACCGGAAAGGATTGGTAAGCTGTCAAACAATCACAAGGCAAGGCCATTGTTCACGGTTGTCTTGGATTGGATTGGGAGTGCCCTGATGCTGGTAGCTGCTCCTGTGCGACCTCCAAATGACCTTTCCGGAGCATTGGAGGGGGGGAAGCTGCAAAAGGTCATTCAGGAATACACCTTTTCTCCTTACTCACAAGGAGCCTGAACAAGGACAAGTTCGGAATCTCTCAGAAGAACCTGCCATGGGCGGCCCTGACAATGATCCTGGGCCGAGCTTGGACCAGGCCTGGCGTAAAGCATAGGCATAGGCCCACTGGGATGCTGAGGGATTAAAGGGGCCCACTAGCAAAACAAAAGCAGATGCGAGGCAAGGCAGACCAGGCAGACTGAAGAGGCCAAGGCAATGTTGAAGGCCCGTGCCGAACTTGTCCTTGTAGAAGGTGGGCCACGGTTCGTAGCTTGTGTAACTTTCAATTGCTTGGACTCGCAATGCACATCTCGCTGCATCCCCAAGACAGAGAAACTTGAATAACGCCTGTGCCATTTTTAACAATTTGTATTCCCCGTCTGCGCACTTTGGCTTTTTTCTTAAACAAAGCGTGAAACCACGCCGTACCCCCACCCGCAATTCTGTGCATAGGCAAGATTAGCGCACGCAGCTGCGGTCTCCATTGCTGCTCCTGAGGCCTATGGCGGGCTACTGTAAGTGTCTACTGTTGTGGCAAGCCATGGTTACGCATGAACATGGTAGTATTGATGGATCATTCAAACATCTTTTCAGCAACTGACATCTAGTGTGTTTTCTTTGGCGGTCCTCAGAAAGATCGAATTCACTTATTCGCCTTCTGGACACAGGTTTCAAGCTGCCAGCCCTATCGTCAGGCTTGTTCGACCGAGCAAGAGGTGACAAAGACTGCCAGCGAGGTTACGCGGTGGACAACTCGCTAAATGCAAAGTCGATGCAAAGCTGTCGCATTGGACCAACAAGCCAAGCTAAACTTGCACATTGCCTGTCCACCTTGCATGTAGGAGGTCATCACACACTCACACACACACACTGCAATTGTATGGTTTGAAGCATTCGGTTCAAACATTTAAGCTGATTTGGGGCGTTGCTGTTCCTGAGGCTACATCATCTCTTGCGCCCATCGAGCTCTAGCTGCACTGGGAAGGCTTGCAGGTAGAGTCCGGAAGGGATGCCCGGCATGACTTGGGCAAGCAAGCCTCTGTGCTTCTCTGCAGTTGCTTTCCACCTGCCGGGAGGTCTTAGTTGCGGGCCTGGCTCCGAAGCTACACCTTCGCGCATGTTGAGGTGAGCACCCGAGCAGCGGAGCCTCAGCAATCGACAGGCAGCTGGGTCCCGAATGGTCGACATGTTGCTCCTTTGTTGGGCATTCTTCTCGATTGCTACTCGAAGCCCTTCGTTTCTTTGGACTTCCTTAGACCCTCATACTCGATCTACATTACCCTATATACCTTTCCCAGGTAGGTCCTGAAGCGTCAACATGAGTGAACTCTGTCAGATGGCGATTGGCATATGCTAGGGGCCTCTTCCAGTCTTCGATCAGAACACTAAAGTTCACTAAAGGAGACATGCAAAAGCCAGCTGCGGCTCTTGTGTGGATAGAGGCCCTGTGCCAATGGAGAGCGGCGCAGCCCACCTTGTGCCGATCCAAGCGAGTCCGGTCTTCTCCTCACTGCCCAAGTCAATCAACAATGAAGTGCAAGGAAATCGGAAAACTCATAGCAATGCTGCATGGGTTAAACTTGCGTCGCTTTGTGTGCAATTGCTTGTGGGATTAGCCTCTTACCCCCTCTGAGGCAGGGGAGCTTGACGAGCTGCAGCTGCCGGGAGATCAAAAGGTCGGCTGGTGGTTTGTGGCGGCAAAGGATGTTCAAGAGCAGCTACTTGTAACTTGTAGTCACCAGCCACCAGCCCCAACGAGTTTTTTTCGGGTCACTTCCGATGTCTGGAGGAGATGCCGTAGATAGTGGAAGTCCCGCCCTTAAGCCAGGCCACGCTCCAGACTTTGCAGTCATTGGCCTCGACGTCCTTCCTCCAGAAGACGGGTTTGGTTCCTTGCCCGAAGTGGAAGCCCAGCCACCATTACAGAAGTTCTACGCCGCGAGGCCACGAGGTGGGTAGATGTTGATGTCAAGGAAGCCCTTTGCGCTGGCATCTTTAGATGAAATCCTCTTGTCAATCAGGCTGGCCTGAGTGGGATCCTTGACTACATTGGGCCAGGGTAGCCTAGCATTGTTTGAAATTGGGTCGGTCGAGGCAGTGTAAACTTGGATGGGAAGCTTGAGCTTGAAGATGCGAGGTTTCGGGCATTCCAGGGGGCCCACGAGCTTCACCTCCGCTTGTTCCAAACGTGCCTGTTGCATCCTTCTGACATGATTTCGGCCATGCCCGTCATGGCTGGACCTTTCGGGCAGATTCATGGAACGCCCGCGCCCGGATGCTTGCCGGACACATTCCACCATGCATGTCAGGAGCAAAGCCACGCCACAGAAAGCACACACAGGTAGCTTTGAATGTGTCCGGGCCAGGTTCAGTCTGACTGCTGCTGAGGAACAAGCTTCAGAAGTTGAAGCGCAGCGAGTATGAGGCAAGGAGACACATCTTCGTGCAGCTTGTCGAGTAGCCTGGATGATCAGAATTTTGCTCGTGGCTGCTTGCGTCTATAGGCAGGGTGCTTTCGGTCCTGCCACGGCAAGTGCTGCCACAGGCCATTTGGCGAAGTTTCTGCTCAGACGAGGCAGCAGTGGAGACAGTATGCCAAATGACGCTGACTGTTTCTCGTTGTGTGTATGTCTTGAAAGCTTGTACTGTTACCTTCCTCAAACAAGCCCTTCTGGATTTCTGGGCTGAGTTCACGGCCCTGAAAACCCTGAGGTCTGTGGCTTGAGAGATCTTAGCGACCTTCAAGCCTAAAACTTTTCCGGGCTCGACGGCCGCCTACAACACCAAACTTTGGTGCTGAAACCCTGGCTTTAGATGTAGCTGGCTTGAGCCCGACTTCGCTTCCTGAGAATGTTGGGGGGCTTTGGCTTTTCCTGCCTTCCCGGGTCGAAGCCAAGGCCCGCACAGGAGCCAAGTAGAAGGAACACACAATTGCAGCCATTGGCAGCCATACATAGATAACCCACAAGTTACATAAGAGCTTGTAGCTCCAGACAAACTTAGGAAACTCTAAACTTCACATCCTTGCGGAAAGTTATACTAGAACGAGTAGAACATGAACATGAGGGCATGTATTGCGGAACGTGAGTGCGTGAGCATTATAATTATGAAGGTCGGCCGCGGAATGCATGTCTGGCAAACATAAGAAGGAGAAAAGGGCTGCAGACGAGATTAGCTGAATTGGCTTGAAACTGATGCTGTGCAGTTCTCGTTTGCACCTCAACTCGGGCATTGATGCTTGAACGCTATGCTGCTTTCGCAGGCCCGCTTGCTCAGCCATGAGAACATCAAGCGATTGATGTCTGGCACCTGCTCCAAGTATGGTTCGGAGTTGTGAGAGTTGGGTTCGCGTTTCCCCTGGCACTTTCGGCCCCTTTGGTCACTTCGAGAGCCGGAGTTCGAAAGCTGAAGAGCACAACGAATCCAAGTTGTTCTCAAACCATCTCAAACCGGCCGTAGCACCGCTCTGCTGAATTTCTCTGAGGTGACAAGAAGGGTTCACCCTTCAAGCCTGGCAAGAAGTGAGGCATGGTGAATTGCCCTCCGTGTAGTTTCTTTCGTTTCGTTGGACTTGGGGGGGGGGGGGGGTTGGGGGTCAGGCGGGTAGAACGTCAAGCTCTGCGTCTCACCCACAAAACATTTCGCCTTAGCAGCGCGCTTGGAAAGAAGGGACTTGCTCCAACAAAGCGCCACATCTGAGCAATCTTTCGCTTAATGAGATTGCAAAGACATGAATAATGCGACGGAAGTCAGTCAGATAGTCGAGGGCGTGAGGTTCGCGACTGCCATTTCATGCCTTATATGATTCTAGAATTGATAGTCACTGCCCGAGAGCCCTCGCATCGTTCCCAAGACGCTCCCACCAACTTGCCTCATCATCAACGCCGGTTTGAAAAACACATAGCCCTGCCATGCCCTGCCTAAAATGACACATGCGGTGGCACACTCCCAGGGTCTGGCAGCCAAGGAGATGCCGCGGCAGTTTACAGCCTCCTGCGGCGAGCTGGGCGAGAGCGGCATGTAGCGGGGCTCAGAGGGCTCAAGTCCAATTGTACGATTTTCCACCGGCCCCCAAATGCAAGTTCCTTTCAGTCCGGGAGGTTCAACTGCATCAGTCGCACAGAACTTCCGAGAAGTCAGCCGATCATTCAGCAAGCAGCCAAGGTGGCAGCAACCGCCGCGAATGAGCGATCCAGTCGTTCTCATGCAGCCTCTCGTCGCCAGCTTGTGCCAAAGTCCGATTGTCAGCTTTGGACATATATCGTGTGCAGGCGCGGGTACAGTACAGGGTTTGAAGTTGCTTTCCGAGGTGAGAAAGAGTTTGGGTGTTAGATGGTTCTGCTGAACGATTTTATGGAAACCTCGGGCACAAAATACAGCACGTGTGCAGTTCAATGTGTGCACGTTGCTCCATCTGTTAGGTTGTTCAACTCGCCTTGGCCGGACGTTGCACTGTACCAGGCACAAACTCACAGCATATCTTTCGGTCCCAGAGAGCTTCGTAATTGGTTGAAGTGCTGTTGCTTTAAGTTGAGCAGCGTTTCCGCACGCTGTGTGCCGGACAGGCCAGCAGCGAGAAGTGCCCGCGCCTGAAGATATGGGAGTTTGCTTTATCGTCTCCTTCATTGTGAGCCTAGCGCGGCCCTGCTCCCAACCTAAGGGTCCCGGGTTTAGGCCCCATATGGGAGATGCGCAGCAAACTGCAGCAAGTTCCCGTCGCCAATCAGCTTGGCGTCTCAGGTCTGGGCTGCTGTCCTTCGTCGATCTGGCCGGGTCTGAGCGCCCCTACCCCAGAACATCCATCCGAGCAGAGCCTCTGGTGGGCCTGCTGTAGGCGTCAAGGTGGAGCACGGAATATGCCAGCAGCAGCCAGGTTTCAAAGGAATACGTTGCCAAGCTAAGGCCTTGAGCGTTCCGGTGCCGTCGGCGAACGGCTGAAGGAGGCACAACACATCAACAGGCCGCCTGCATTTTGCCACACAAATCCTGTGCGAACTCTTAGAACTCCCTTATCATGTCCCTTAGCGGCTAACTTTCTCGTTCTTGAAGATGGGCGTTACATCACCCATTAGGCTGCTCGAGCGGTTGCGGAAGCGTTTGGAGTCTTAACGTACGAGCGCGTAGGACGCCGGCACGATGGACAACATTGAGAATAAAAGTCAGGAAATGGGCACGAATAAATTTCATTCTTCTGGGTACGACTTGGTAGGTAGCGATATCGAATGGCACAATGCTTGCAACAAACCTCTGCTGCAGGCAGTTATTTCTTGATATCAAGAAATCTTCGAAGACACGCCGAGAACGACCACATCAGCACAAATAAAGACATTTTAGGCAGGGGGAATCACGGTCCTTGGCTGTTGGAGATGTCACGGGCTGCGTGGGCTGTGGCGCGGCATGGGATAGGCCCATGCTTTAGGTGGTTTCTCGGGCCGATCGCAGACATCGATCATCACGTTCTTTTCTTCAATTGCTGAGTGTATAGAATGGATGAAAGAAGCCGTCTCTCGGGTCACTCTGTTCCTGCGGTGCAGAGCTTTCTCCCTGTTTTCTCCCGCCCTACACCCTAAAGCCTGGCGATTCTCCTTTGCTCGTGTCATAGCAACCTCTCATTGTATAACGCGATGATGATGCGCACAGGGCTTTGCCGGTTGAAGTTGGAGCAGGTCGCTGTGTGCCCTGGGCGACGTGATTGAGGCAAACGGATGTGGATCTGCCTGTCGCGTTCATCCGCGTTCGCTGTGATCAACACTTGAACTTTGCACATGCAAAAAGTCTTCTCAAAGCGGTAGCTTGAGCCACTGGAGAGCCAGCCCTGCAGGCCGTTTGTCGCAAAGGCGCCCTCAAAGGTCCAGCGGCTGCTGCCGTGCATGTGCCGTCGGGTCCTGGGACGATCTGGATGATCGTTGACGTACCTATAGTAACCTATAGACATTCACGGATACTAATTACAAGATACTCCGTGATACTGCTGCTTTTGCTGTCAAGGCTGTGGAGGCACTGAGAGCTTGCTTTTGCACATTGCACCATGTGTGCTGCTCGAGCACGTTTCTCTCTCGTAGCAGATTTTTATTTTGGGGCCTTTGCCCCTGTGAGCCATGTTGCAGTATGCGGCGGCGCCTCCCCAGTTTCAAGCCCGCCAACCATATCCAGCTGGTAGCTTAACAGCGATGCCCTTTGCGCACGGTGCTTCTGGCTGCATGCTCGGATCGCAGACCCTATTCCCGCAGGGGCACATGCAGCCACAGCAGCAACCCATGATTCAACCGCATTTCCAAGCCCAGCAGGCTTGGCAGCAACAGCTGCAGCAGTCTCAACAACGGCAGGCGATGCCAAGACTAGCGCAGCTACCCCAAGCTTCTCAGCAGCAGCAACCCCAGCCGTTTCCACAAGCTTGGCAGCCACCGCAGCAGCAGCAGCAAGCATGGCAGCCACAGCAGCAACAGCAGCAACAGCCACCCCAGTTACATGCAAATGGGTGCCAAGGCCAGCATCCCAACAGGCACCACCAAGACGAATACTATGCTCGACCTGGCCAAACCCCCATCAGATTGCCAGCGCTGGATCCTGACCCTGACCCAGCCTATCTGCACGATTTTGCAATGAAAGCGGCCATGATGGATGCGGCCATGATGACAGGGTTTGGAACGGCAGGGTCATCCCCTTCCTGCTCTCCGCTTGGCTCTCCTTCGCAGTACGATTACGAGGACACAGCCATGGACCCGCAGCAAGAATCGAAGCGCATTGGTGGTTCAGGGATGTCCAGGGAGTTCACTGTGAGCAGTATGTTTGGGGCAGGCTGGGTTCACAGTCTTGTGCTTAAACGGCTCGAACCCCACTGCAACAGCACCACCACCATCCGGGTCTGACCGCCGGATAAGGATGAGCGACAGCTTTACCTGGCCATCCAAAATCCCAGGCAAGGCTTGAGGTTGTGAATGGTTGTGAATCGTGTGGATGGCGGAATCAATGTGAAAGCCATTTCGTACCATCTCGCGCATCACCGCATGTCAGGCTCACTGAGCATCTAGCCGCCAGCCTCTTCCGTCGCATGGACAAAAGCGGCCCCTAGCCTGGTCAAGCACTTGAGGGTCGTGGGCACAGACTCGACATGCCGGTTCACATATGAGGTATCGTAAGTTGGGTGTGTATCATTCGAAGCAGCTAACGAGCTGTCTTGACATGACCTTCCTTGGATCCTGCCCAGGCACTGGGCGGCTTAGCTATCACGAGCTGCTCCGATTTCTCCCAATCCTCTACCAGGAACGGAGCTGGAATGCGGAAGTGGATTTGGACACGGGGAATGTTGTGAGTAGCGCCATGGTTTGTATAAGGGGAAGTCATGGAAGTCCCGTGCCCACTTTTGCATGGGTTGGCAGATCACACCTCCAACAGCTGCAGGAGCTCGGCTTGTCTTTAGTGAAGGACACTGCGACGCACCAAAAACTGGCACCCTGGCTGAGAGTCTCACAAGTAGCTTTAAAAGGTAGCTGAGGTCAAAGGGATGTCAAAAAGGGGTCGTTCCTCCGTCCGGGGTCTTGGTCGGTTCTTGGTCGGTTCATGTACGACAATTGTCTCAAAACAGGGCTTGTAGCACCAGTCTCCTCTTCTCCCCTGGGGCAACAGTAGTAACTCCCCCTAAAAACAAGCCATGAGGTGCACAACCGCATGCGGAAGTTCGACCGTAACGGCGATGGAAGCCTCGACCAGAGAGAGTTCTTGCAGCTTTATAGGCCGCTCTTTGGCGACCTGAGAAGTGGGTGCGAGCGTGCAGAGTCTCTTTCAGAAGTCGTTGGTCCTGGCAGCTTGAATTCCAGGTGGACCCTGCACCGGAAGTACGAGGAACCATGGCAAAAGCCATTTCGGCTTCGGTATGGCTCGGAACAGGATTTCGGTGCGCAAGGATTGGAGGCTCATGGGGTGTCCGAGAGTCAGGCCCATCCAACATCCTACTGTAAGCCATTGTCAGCTAACAGTGTTAGAGTGCAGTCGCCTAAGAAAACGCAGTCGGCCCCGAGGACTTAAAGCCTCCCAAGTTCGGACGGAGTGCTTTGCTTCGTGGAGCAAAGCCTGGGGCCGCTTGGAATCCGCTGATTTTGGAGAACTGTCCCAGTAAACCTGAGTAGGAAGGTGCAATTTTGCTGTATGAGCCACATGGAGTCAGTACTTAACAGGTGTTCCAGTGCCTCTTCTTGCATCTTCAGCCTTTCACTCGAGAATGAGGAGGCCCTCATGCACTGAGGTACCCGCGCAGTTCTACGACTTCGGAGACATGCTAGGCTTGCCCTGAGCAGACTGGCTATGCCGCTATGCTATGCAAGAGAAGAGCTGCGAGAGTTTGAGGGGTATTACGGTATTGGCAATGGGTGGATCCTGCGTGCATGACGCCCTCTCACAAGTCACTGCGCCAATGCCAGGGTCTGGCAGCTTCGGCATTGTGCACAGAGACTTGGGCAGCAGATGAGACCCAGTGCTCAGAGGCTGCTGTCCACGGTGCAGGTCGCGTAATCACTTGCCGGCAGCCTAGGTGTTACCCAGAAGGCAACTGGCGTCAAAAGGGCAAGAAGCCTAGAAATCCAGGCCAGTGTTTGCAGAAACTTGAAGATCTTGTTCCCTCAGGTTATGAAGACTGTGAACAAAATGAAGCTCCAAGAAAGCAACACGCCACTGGCCTGCCTGGACCAAGAGATCCAACTGCTGGCCATGCTGGACCACCCCCGGATCTTGCGACTCTATGCCTCTTGGCCTTGCATGCACTTCACTTTGTATTTAGTCTTGCGAAAGGCCCTCGAAAGCGTGGCCTAAGGGACGACGAAAGGATAGCACGCGATGCTATTTGCAACGATGTGTAGTGACGAAGTGCTTCTGCCCTTAGGCTCATTCTTCCTGAAGGCTTTGAAGAATCGTATTCCGTGCATAGTAAGTGAGTAAAATCATGTAGCAGGGCAGAGAACGCCAGACAGAGAAACATGCAGTGGAGCAGTTTTGGTATGTCGGGGCTTTGAGAAAGCCAAGAAGGTGCGTGCAAGGTCCGCGCAAGGGACGCGATTGGGCTGAACGAACGAAATTACGATTTGCCGTCTTGGTGAAAGCACGCAACTGGCGCGGCGCGCTTGGGAGGGCTTTATATAGAACAACCCCCATGTGCACAGTGCACCGGCTTCAACAACTCTCGCAAGCACAAGCCTGCCAGCACAGAAGCGCACGTGCAGGAGTGGTATTCAGATTCCGAGAATGTTTACATCATCACAGATGTTTGCGAAGGAGGGGAGCTCTTTGATCTGGTTAGGGCCCGCTTCTCAGCACGAGCAATGCGCTGCATCATTATGATAGCATTGGTCTGGCTGATGGCAGATTTGACTATGCAGGCCCCTCACGGCATTGCAGGTTGGATGTTATGCGTTGAGGTTGAATGTGTCCTGGGCTTCAATTCAGGGTTTGATCAGCGGCCATGTCATATAGCCTCGCTGCTGCCGGAGTGCTGGGTCTCCGAAATTTGGGGGCTGTTGCGCTCGGTGCCTGTTTCCCCAGTTGCGCTTTAAGTGCATCGGGCTCATGTTTTCGTCTCGCGCTCGGAGTGCCGCTCATCAGAGATAGCGCTGCAGATCAGCGGCCATGGTTGCTTTCAAATCGAGGCGTTTGTTTTGAAAATTTCGTTTCATGTCGTTCCCCAGAAGTAATCTTCTCACGTACATTTGGCGGAGCGCAACACTGGGCGTCTTGAAATCACGGGGTGCAAGTGGAAGAAAAGTCAAAGTTAAAGTGCAGAGCAACTTTTTTCCATGCCTCAGTCACCGTTTTTGTTGCGAGAAAAAAGTTAGCGTAGAGACATCTGGCGGCTGGCAGCTTTCGCACGATTAGTTGCTTTTCAGACGTCTCCAGAGAAGCGAAGGCCAGCCATGATCAGCAGCAGTCGATCCCCGAGGCCGGGAGTGGGGAGGAACGGTGCCGCAGATTTGGGAAAGGGTGATGGAATGGGTGATGGGTAGCAATGCAGGAGGCTTCCATGAAGCAACAAAGCCAGGAGTTGCATGGCAATGTCTCGCAGGCATGGATCCGGCGCATCTTCACTCAGGCCGTGGGTGAGTTCGTGTCACCGATGCAAGGGCACTGCAGTGTCATTTGGTCGGGCCACTAGTCACCACTTTGCTAATACGAACACGGCTACGTTGCTACGTCTTGTGGAGCTCTTCTAGTGTTATAAAGTTATACTGTGCAGACTATGCGAGATTATGCGAGCATGAACAGGATTCGACATAACACGGCAACCAGTTCAACTTAACTCCATTTGTTTCTAAGACTTCATTTCATGCAAACAAATACGAATGCCCCTTTCCCAAGCTGGGTGGCTTGCGACAGGCAACCGAAGCTATAAGCTACTGCCACGGAAAGGGCGTCATGCACAAGGAGCCATGCGGTTGTTTCATGTTGTTTCTCAAGCTTTTTCTTCTTCTTCACCCTCTTGACTCTTGATGGCCTCACTGAGCAGATCCTTCAGCTCAAGGACCTAAAGTTCGAGAATCTGCTTCTGCAGCAGCTCGGCTGCACAGGCGTGCGGAGGACATGCAGGGCAAGCCAACTATTGTGCTCAGGAAAAGCCTCACCCACCGATCCAGCACCTTGGACTCGTTGCGAGCTTCTTTCTATATCTTTCTGCGTCTAACAAAGTTTAGTGAGTCGCTATGGAAGGATTGGAGGATGTGAACATTGTGATCATCGACGTGGGTTTGGCCGAGTTCCTTGGTTATGCAAGCCACCCGGCCCCATTCCTCCCAAAGTACAAGACGATTGAACTAAACATTAACCCAGGACGGCTCACACAATACCACCGCCTTGAGACACGTTGCTCTGACAGGGCTCAAGCTAGTGACGCTTCTGAGATACCCGGCTCCAGAACTATCGCCACCCACCAGGTTTTTGCGAATAATCAAGCTGCGCAGCAGGCTTTTGCAACTGGCATGTTTTTATTAGCGGCATACCCCGTGAATTCGAGTTCAAGGCCCTGGACACCAACGAACCCTGGCAACATACCCCCCCACTCCACTTTGCCTCGTTTGGGGGGTAGTTTTGCCCAGCACGTCTTATACAGCATAGATGGCCCGTGCAATAACAGAACCCGTCTGCAGTACTGGATACATCGCCAAGTTGTGAATGTCACAGCATGGAACCTCGAACCTGCAGCCTCTCCCCACTGTGCCAGCAGGAAGCCTTCAACCTAAAGTTTGGCTGGCTGGCTCTCTCTCGCTCTTTCTCTCTCGCTCTACTGGTTCTCCTCTTCCAAAGCCCTTTCTTTGCTTTAGCTTTCAGTTTCCTCAGCCTGAAAGTGGAGAGGCGGGGGGTCTGGGTGGGTGCTATTCCGGGCTACTTTATGTATCGTTTTCGTCATGCACTACTTCGCACTATTCTGACACATCGCGCGAAGTACTATGCATTTGATTCTAAACAGTTCATGCTTTTCATGCCGCCCAGCCTTTATCTTAAGCTGCAGGCTCTTTGGCCCCAGCCACGGCAAGGACACGAGACGTGCATCTTGTGCGTTCCTGTCACCTCAAGCTTCCAAAGCCCCGTAAAACAAGCAAAGCCCCCCATCAGGAGAGAAGCCATTTCCTCTGCGGAAGCCTTGTTTGCAAGCGTCCCACCCACCTTAAACTCACGTGCAAGCCCAAACGGTCCGCCAAAATGCCTGAAAGTTTCGGAGGTCCTCCAACTCAAAACCGGACTCCTAAAAAGCCATCAAATCGCCATCAACCCTATGCAGGCTGCCCCCCGTGAGTGACCCATATGACAGCATATGAACCCCATCCACTCTTGCAGGGGATGCGGTCCAGTGCACGCAGCGGCTCACTGGCGACCATCGCGCCGGAAGTCCTGCAAGGCAAATCGGCTATCGGAAGGTTTGGTGTTTTTTTGTTTCCCCACCCCCCCCCCCCCCCCCCCCCCCCCCGCATTTTTTGCTGTATTGACTATACTATCCCTGGCTGTCTCAGGAAAGTTTGTTGATCATGGTCGCGCATTACCACTGCGCGACTGTTGTTTAAGACTCTTTTTTGTCGTCATTTGAGCGGTGCTCTTATGTAATAACTGTTCTTACTCCTGTTATTGTCGTTGTGGCTGTCCTCACGGTCACCATGTTTTCTTGTTTTGTTTTGTACTGCTGTTGCTTCTGCAGTTGTTGCTGTTGCTCTCTTACCCTCGGGCGCGCGATGTCTCCACTAGATACTAGACTGTGGCGCATCCGCGAAGCCAAGAACCTCAATCGAAAGCCCGAAACCCCAATGCGAGAGTCAAAACCCCAAGGAACAGTGCACGCTCGAAACCCCAACTCGAAATCCCTAAATCCCAATGAAGAGTTCAAGCCCAAGAGCCTGAACATCGAACCCGCGCCCCCTCGTAAAACAGTTTAACAGGCGACTTCTGCTACAAATGCGACGTTTGGAGCTTGGGCTGCATGCTCTATGCTGCCCCTTGACTGCGAAGTGCGACGCATGTGCAAGGCCCTGTGTCAATACTAATGAGGACAAGGCAATCCGGCGTGGAGTTGGTGCAGAGCTGCAAGCGCAACCTAAGAAACAGAGCGAATGTCAACACAGGTTTTTAATTCGCAGCCAACCTACATGCCTGGGCCGGTGGCGTGGTGGCAAGTCAGGGGTAGGGTCAGGAGGATCAAGAGGGCACCGTCCAGTTCTCGGACGGACTATACCATGAGAAGCCTTGCTTCTGATTGTGTCACAAATGCGGCAGAGCTTTCTTAAAACTCCACAGCCACGCCTCCCTAACAGCGGGAATCCGAGAGTAGCGCAGCTGTTCCCCAAACATTACAACTTCTTTCTCGCTACTCAACTCAACTTTCTCAGCATTCAACTCAACAGTGTGCGGCCATACTTGCTTCACATTTGTGTCAAGCATGATGAGCTGTCCAGGATGGCAACGACACGCTCTACCCCTATCCCTTCTGCCCGCAGCCGAGCCAGTATCCCGGCTTCAGAGTACACTGCAAAGGCAGAACTGGGAGGCGGGGGTGCGAAGTTGGTCCTACGGCCCTACAGCCTGTTTGAAGAATCGGCAGGTGTGAGGCTTGTGCGATATTCTGACTCTGACCAATCCGATGACATAGTCCCGTGCAACATTTCTACCATCTTGTGTAGTCTCTTGGACAAGATTGCAAATGATTCTGGTACCTGGTTGTGTTTGCAGAAACCTGCTTTAAGTGAAAGCAGGCAGCCGAGCGGTCCGTTCGTAGTGTTAGATACCTCCCTCGGACTATACTCAAACCTCCTTGAAGAAAAGTTAAACATGGTACCACGTAGTACCCGCGTCCTGTGAGCGCTCACAGCCGCCCCAGGAGAGATCGACTTGGTGTAGAGGTGGCGCTTGCTCTGAGTCGTGCTGATGTCTGGAAACCAACAAGGGCGAACTCTTTGGCTCGTTCAGGTTTTCCTAGCGCCGGTAGTATGACACACCCAACGCCCCATGGGCGCCCAGTGCATCCGCAGTGCTGATCGGGTAGTGTAATTGGCTAAATATTTTCTGTTAGGTGGTTTGACTTCGTTGTGGTGCCATGTTTCGGCTTCGAGCGGGTGCGCCCTTTGTCATGTTCACATTCTGCTGTTGTCAGGGGCTCATGCAGCAGCAGCGTGCGGGTCCCAACATGCGGCGGCTCAATGCCAGCCCTGCCGTGAAGGACTTGGTTGGGAGAATGCAGCTTGGCTTGTGTTCTTGCCCGGTACTCTCGCTTCGAGGCCTTGGGATTTGCGGCCTTTACCGGCTTGGCTCAGCAAGGATGTTATGTTGACGTACCGGCACTGCTACTGCAGAAGCACTTGGGCAGAGCAGACTGCTTGCCCTCTCATGTAGCTGAGCTTGTGCTTTTGCAGACAGCTGACCAACGGCCTTTCCAGGCTGTGCTTTGAGGAGGAGGCTCGGCCCGCGGCGAAGGACATTGGGCATTGGACCGCATCGGACATGATTGTGACCTTAAAAAAGGTGAGCACGTATACGTTGCGTGATGTTGCTAGCCCGGGCAAGAGGAGTGCCTGCGGTCGCCCTGGCTGGCATGGGGAGGCAAGATGCAAGTGGCACTCAAGTTTGGTGTTGTCCTTGAGCATGAACCGGGTAAGTACGTTTACGTTTACTGCTGTCCTTTTGCAGCTCGGCAATGGCAAATGACCGTACGATGCGGTGCAGGCAGCACGCCGCTGGAATGCCAGGCCCAGTCAAAGCAGGCCAGACAAGAACCTGAATCCTTCTAGTCTGCCTGGCGGGTGCAAAGAACCGCTTTCTTTTCGAGCATGAGCCTGTGGTAGCAGCATGCATAGCAGCATGCTGGCAAGAAGCTTCAGCAGCAGAGTTTGTTTTGCGCTTTGGTCAGATGCCTCTGGTCTTACAGGAGAGTTTGAAGATCATGATGTCGACAATTGTCGAGCCACGGCTTGATTGTAAGCAGGCGTACGACTTTTCAACATTTCCATGCTGCACAGCCGCGGTGACGGAGCACCAGAAATGCTCCAGCCTGGATCAAACATTGAAAGCGAAAGGTTGAATACTTACATTTTGATCAGGTTGTGCGAATCTGTTCTTCTAGAATTGCCGTTTGCATTGAAATTACTGCTGCTCGCTTCCGTCGAGACATTGTGGAAGGCACCTATGAAAGGGGGCAGGGTCGCTAACATGGGCTTCCATGCCACCGTTCTAAAGAAAGCGTTGGTCCAGTGAAGGTATGCAGGTGAGCAAGGCCAGCACTGCAGCTTGCGAACTCAGGACCACGACAGAGAGCATAGAACGTGGTGGCGAGCCGTGACCGTCCAGGCTGCAATTGCGTTGTGTTCCTCGATCAGCTTGCAGTGATCTGCGCAAACATCCTTGTGCTCTGTCGTGTTTTTGACGCTGGCAGCCCAACAGTCCAGCAGCCGAAGGCGGCAGCGCAGCTGCCGGGCGGGGTTCTCGAGCCTTTGGCGCAGCTTTTCCGCCAGGCTTTGTGATGCTTTCGGTTGGGCAAGAAGGTGTGGTGAAAAGAAGCGCCGTGATATCTGTGGTGCAGGCTCACGAGGGCCACACAGACGGAGCCATCGAGAAGGGCGCCCTTGTGCTAATGCTTGAGCGATTAAAGGCAACGTCCTGGAGATGTCAGTCGGGTGTGGGCCGGTGCCACCAGGGGCGTAAGAAGTCCACGAAGAAGCTCAGATGGTTGTGCTGCGACGTTGCGGCAGGTCAACCCCGAACTCGCCCAGAGCGCCGCAGATGGGGCGGACTTTGACGGGGACGCTGTGGGCAACTGTGAAAGGTTTGTTCAACAGGTGACTGCCGAGGTTGTGGGCTTCTCAACACGACCCAGACATCGTAGTGGTCCTAGATGTGGATAGTATGTGGATATACTGAGTATACAGCAACTGTATGTCCTTGTCGTGCTGTTGACCGTTTTGGTCTTGGTCTCCTCGACTCTGGCCCCTACGTACATACGTACAGTTAGCCCAAGTTAGGATCGGAGCGGCGACTCTCCCAGTGACCAGGTAGCCGCATGGGGGTTGATGTCCGCAACCCTGTGGAGTGTGACAAAGAGAAATTCACATCAGCCCTTGCCAACTCGAGTTTACTTGTTTTTTTTGCGCTTCTGACACTGGGCCATGGGGCCAATGCGTGATGAAAGGACGGCCTGATTGAGTTCAGCGAGTTCGTTGCAACCTGCTTGCCCTCTGCACGCGAGCTGTTTGCCGTGTCATTGTATCTTGGACAGACTGGAGCCTAAATCCCAGAGCAAAGGGGTGAAGCGCAGCACGATGAGTCTGAGGCAGATGGCCTTCCACAGCTTCGACACAAACTCAGATGGAACGCTTGATCGTGGTTTGGCTGATTTGTTGTGGGTTTAGCTCAGTGTGCTTTCATGTGGGCTGTACGCACCAGCGAAGAAACCTGCAAGACATGCAACGATGAATAGTGACTGACATGGCTAGTTGCTTGTTGGCCTCAGAAGCCTTGTCACGCACATTCCAAGCGACGCAGCCTTGCAAGTTTTAGCTGCAGGGGCAGAAGTTGCTCAGCTCCTGCAGAGCGGGCAGATCGAGGAGACCCATCTGCCCAAGACGAAAACGGTTCAGGCGGGGCTGCAGCCTGCGGCTCTAGTATCTGCAGCATTCCGCAGCTACCCACACAATCTTTTCTTGAGGCTTTGACTTGTCTTGATGAGAGTTGCACGAAGCCACAGAGACAGAGAGAGAGAGAGAGAGAGAGGAAAAACAAAAAGAGAACAAAAGCAAGAGAGCCAATTCCTTGCAAAGCTCGGGGGTGTTCCTTGTGTGCAACTGTTTACTGTAAGTGGATTCAAAGATAGACCTGGACAGGAGATGGTGGAGGAGCTCGATCTGGACCACAATGGGGTGATCAGCTTCAGCGAGTTCCAGCACTACTTCATGAATGCCTCCTGTGGCAGCAGAGTAACACAGACCCTTCTCCTTTGTGTTGCCTTCCATGTGTGCTACCCATACCTCTGACCATCTTTAGACGCAGAGTGCATGTTGCAAAATGCTTAATCCTGCCCCATAGCCATAGAGTCATGGAGCTTGCAGCTCCTCAAGGTTGATGCCGGACTCTGAAGCGGCCCTGCGGCACTGCGCGTGCGAAATGCCGGGCCAAATGCCAATCGAGAGCTCCCATATGCGCCAAGGGTTTAAATTAGACGCGAGCCAATGAAGCCGCATGAGTGTGGGATCGGCCAAGCTGTCCAAACGCTCATTCGCCGAAATTTACAAATTTCTCGCGTTTCTCGCGTCGTCGCCCTGCAAAGCAGCTGATCAGCCGCAACTCCCTCAGAACCGTCATGATTGCTTCAAACTCATCGTCTCAATATCAGTTGAGTTACCATACAATTTCGAAAGACGCAAGTACACATGGAACATGCAGCTCCTTGTCTGTTTCATGGAGATTCAGGGCATTTCAGGGAGGACAAGAGGCTCAGTCGGCAAACTCCAGGGACTTCGCTTAGAACCAGCAGATCTACCCACCGCACCACGCAGTGGAGAGATCCGGCTGCATGCATGATGATGACAAAATGACAGCCGTGCCCAACGTCAGCAGGTAAGGTTGCACATTCGTGCACTGACCAGCCAGCAAGGCGGTTGCACATGGGTTGCCATGTGGCTGAAGCCGAGGTATCGAAACTCCCGGCTGACCATGCTCCTAAGAGACGCCTAGCTGCTTTCAGCTTCACGCATGTTACTCCTGATTGAACGGTCAATCGCAGCTGAGCAGTCATGGACTGCGCCACTTAGTGGAGTCAGCGGAGTGGCGAGATGCCTTGCATCCTTTGCAGAGAAGCAAGCTGAGTGGCAGCACTTCATAAGGACTCCCTCGGAGGAGACTCGAAGACGTTGATGCATGGCCCTGAGCTTTCTGAACCACGCGAGCTATGTACAAGAGAGTGTTTCGCCACAATCTTGCTAGGGATGGCGAGCGAATGCGCATCCTCATTAGTGAGGAGCCCCCCGTTAAGAATAGCATATCCCTGATGAGGGCTGGTAGGGGCGGGGTTGGGGTGGGCATGTTGAGGGGCCTAGGTGACAGCCCAGCTCAGGAAAGCTCAGCTTTAAGCAACACGTAGAGTTTTGCGGGGCTCCGGCATGGCCAGAAATACAAACGCAATGAAAAAACAAACACATACATCAAAACCGATGTTTCAGCAATTTGGCCATGTGGTCGGGGACTGTAAGCAAGCGGCGCTTCAAAGCCAGCAAGGTCAAGTGGACATGGACAGACGATTTTTGTGTTGGAAGCTGCTTACTGCACGCCCAACCTTGGGTTTACTGACAGGTTTGTCAACGTGTCTCCGCTGCAGGACTGGAGCATCTTTCGAGCATCCTTAGTCCAGGCTTGCATCAAACTTGGCCATGCCTACCATGCTGCCGTCTCCGCACTTCTGTAGTCACAGCCAACCGGCCCTAGCCATCAGTTTCTCATCTTGTGTACTTGCAGCGTTGTGCAACAGATTGGCAGAAACCAGAAGTGATAGCTTCTGCAAGCACACGAGGAACATTTGGGCGAGACCCTGTCCTCACTGCGCTTTGCATCCAAGGCCCGCTGGGCGTGCTTAAATGAGCTTGGCCTTATGGTCCTAAAAGAAGCCGCGCACGAGTTTGTCTAAAGCACTCACTTCTGTAATGCTTGTAATCAGATCTGAGACAGGTGTTAATTCCCTAAGACCAAAATCAATGCCCTCATTAAATCGCTTGTCCGCTTTTGGTCCGTTGTCATCTGAAGCCAACACGAGGCTAGATTCTTGCTTTCAGGCTTCTGCCACGGCCCTCATGGGTTCCGTGTCATGAGACATGTTAGGGTGGCAAGTAAACAGGACAGAAGCACCCACCAGCAACATCCGGCAACCATCAGCATGTTCACCCTAACACTCCGCATCGCACCTCCATTGCAGCAGGTCCATGCCTGCAGCGTGGGCGTAGCCAGACGCCACGTCTCAGATCTCACGGAGGCACTGCGGGTGCAGCGCAAGTCGCGTTACGAAGGACTCTGGCCGGAGTCCGGCCGGAGCCGCAAAATGCCGCAGTCGCACTGTAGGAGTCTACTTACAGGCTGGCAGCTCGCAGTTCTTTCGTCTGCGCAGGTGAGAAGCTGAGGAGCAAGCCATGTGGGAACCCACGGATGACATGGATGCCTCCACGAATACGGTCGCCAATCCGGGCATATGCCATAATTCGGGAGCAAGCCGCATAGAGACACGGCCTCTCAAAGTGGAGTCGATGCTGCACCCTTCTTCAAGAAATGATGATCTACGCTGAGCAAGCATCTGGAGCGCCAAGGCATCGATTCGGAGCGTTCTTGGTTTTTTGGTGGGGTAATCAATCGACACGCACAGGCCAACCCCCCACTTCGAATCTCTGACAGGGCAGTGCGTATGTCGTCGCGATCCCCCGATAATTCGCCTGGCTCTTTGGCGGCTTAGAATTTAATGATGCCTTTGCCCGCCTCTGGGCGTGAGGCATGCCTGAAACAAGGAGATCTATCAGACAGGTGTCGTTGCAGCAACATCACCTTACGTGCCATCACTCTGCATGTGTTGGTACTTTACGTCCTCACTGCTTGGTCTGGTAGTTTCCAATGTGGCACGACTGCCCGCTCATCGCCTAAAAGAGAGTTTTGCAGTGGTTACTGTACAGGCCCGAACTGAGTAGTTCTTAGTAGTGGTCTACATGGCATGTTGGCCCCGTGAGCAAGGCATCTGGGCAGATGACAGCGGCTCGGGCCAATTTCTCCAGCTGGAGCATGATCTGGAGGCTGGCTCAACAATAGACAGGGTTCTCCTACTGTCGGTGCTGGCTGGAGTGGAAGAGCATTCCAGAATATTGACAGGTGAAGCTGCACTGCCTCGGCCTCGAGCTGCGATGTCGGGCTGAACTCTTCCGAATCGCTTTCTCTGAGCAGAGAGTTTTCGCTTACAAGAAACAAAACCAAATGAGATCAATAACCGAGTCACCGATCAATAGTGACAACGGTGTACAGCTCAAGAAAATCCAGTGTGGTTGAACAGGTTCTGGGCTGTGCAACAGCTTCCAGGCGCAGTGGCGACATGGTGACATGGCGACATGGAGCTGCGTGACAGACAGGGCTGCAGTTTGGTGGTACTTGCCTCCATGATTCCGTCCACGCCAAGCCCCCCGCATGCACAGTACTATCTACCTGCACCCGCGATGCATTGCCAGGTGCCTGCCTTTGCTGGCAACCTTCCTCTGAGCGAACAGAAGGACACTGCTCATGGTCAACTTTCTGCACCGCTTCCATGATTCAATGCATTCAAAAAATCTGCTTGATTGCTCAACGGCCGGTACTATGGCCATGATATGGGCTTGGTGCCTCGAGCCAGTGTATTTACAGCGCAGTTTGGCAAAACGTGTTACTATGCCCTGCACAAAATCATACTGGTACTGTACAAGTGGTAGGCAGGACTCCGCCAGCCCAAAAGGCTGAGCGACTGACATGTGCTCGAGCAGTTCGATGGAGGCTGTTCCCGATACCAGAAGAACCCAGTAGACATTGAACGCTTTTTTTGAAGAACTTATGCTTAAAGCAAAGGAGCTGCCCGCCTGCTGGCCTTTCTTGATGCTCGCAGCCGGGGAGGCAATCGTGCGGAAGAGTATGAACGGTATGACGTTGCGGCATGTTGCAGTTCTGGCTACATTCAGTGCAGGCATCTTCAACTGTTGACAAGCTACACGCTCGAAGGTTGGCGGCCGATGGTCGTCTCTGCGCGGCTCCAAGAGCAACAGTTTGGGGTCTGTGAAAGCACGCTAGCGGGCCACCTGAAAGCAGGTTAGAAGATGGTAGTGTTTCTGAATCACTGAAAGTTGAAAACAACTTCACCTTGACATGCGAACAGCAAACCGATGCTGGACTTTGCCTGCCTGCCCTGGAATTGAATGCTCTTCACATGTCGTTTCAATCAATCACCAGTTGAAGTAGGTACACTCTTGTGGCTCATCTGAACCAAAGCCAATCTAAGCACGATTGAACTGTTGAAATGGGAAGATCGAAGCAGCAATAACGACAGCACCATGTTGCCCTCGAGCCTTCGCTTTGCGTGCCGCTACCTAAAGGCGGGTAGGCGTTATGGTGTGTTTCTTGCTATTCGCCATATGCTCTCACATGTGGTTGGCGACCTGCTAGGCTCCCACATCGATGGGCCGAAGCGTTGGAAAACTCCTGGTTGGAGGCACGATGGCCATGGCAGCTGGCATGTGCGCTGCGGCTCCTGCCGCTCGGTGTTTCAGCACGTGTACATCACAGGAGGTCCTCTCTCGCCTGGCTGGCATGGATACCTGTGCGTTGTGCGATGCGAGTGGGAAGAAGGCCAGGGTTGTCAAAGGGCTGCGGCCCTTGAAGTCTGGATACCACATGGTGGGTCGTGCCCGGACCGTAGCCATCGATGGGGACTTCTTAGAGGTGCTCGCTGCTGTGCATGATGCAGTTGCTGGAGAGGTGATCATGATAGACGCCAGCATGCGGGGCAGTCCCGAGGATGCCATCTGGCCCAGGGCAGGTGGAATGTTTGGTGAGCTCATCGCCAACGAGGCGGCACGCAAAGGTGTCAGTGGCCTTGTCATCGACGGCAATTGTCGCGACACGCCTTTGTTGCTGCAGATGTCCTTGCCCGTGTATTGCCGGGGGAAGCATCCCAATGCTGGAACCGCAAAGAAGCGGGGCCAGACTCAGGTGGAGATTGAACTGGGTGGAGTTGCTGTGAGGCCTGGTGACTATATCCTGGGAGATGATGACGGGATTGTCGTGTGCTCTGCGGCTGAGCTTGACGCGTGGCTCTCCAAAGCTGAAGCCATCCAGGCACTCGAAGGCCGCATGCTTTCTCACATCCAGGCGGGAGGGAGCTTGTTCGACAAGCTCCCAAACTTCCAGGAGCACCTGGATGCTGTCAGCCATGGTAGGGAGTCAGCGCTCAAGTTCACTGAGTGAGTGTTAATCACGAACTTCGAAATCGTTTGAAGATCGAGCGACGTGTGCTTGTGAGCCGCAACACAAAACGTCCCAAGCTTTGGATCGTCTGTTGAATCATTTAGCCTTGGTCGCACTGCGGCGTTTCGCACAGTAACATAGCACGTGCGGCTCGTTCGCACATGGTCTTGGCATGCTGTGGCGAGATAGCTTACAGTGAAATGCATGCTGCAGCGTTTAGTGTCAAGAGTCCGTGATTGAAGACCCTCTGGGGAAGTCGCCATGGCAGATTCAAAGGAGCATTCCGCTCTCCAAGCTGTTTTGTCAGGGCGCATTGTGGTGGCTAGCGCGCTGGTCCTGGGAGTGCGGAGCCCTGGCACATGGAGCCATGCATACATTTGCGTGTTTGTGCCTCTACCTGCATGACCGACCCCGCTTTCCTTTAGCAATTCCTAACTCGGATGCCTTCCGGTGTCGGGTTTTTAGGATGCATACTTTCCATGAAATTCACGGCCTTGGAGTTTGCGTCTTTGCCTGCTGCTAGAACAGGGTTAGGGATGGCGGTGCTAGATTATGCGCGAATGCAGCCTCTGACCAGCATCAGGATATGCTACTCTGGAAGGATGGAAAAAGGGTGGGTCCAGTATAGCTTGGTGCAAGAAATTAGAACCCACGATCCACAGCGCCCGGTTGTCAAGAAGAGAAGGAAAGGGCAAGCGGGTGAGGGCGAGAGCCTTGTGTTGCCCACGCCCGCTATCAGGGCACAAGCTTGAAGAATTAGCTTCGCACTCCAGAGAACTCATGTACCTCCATTCCCAGGTCACCTCGCTGCTGGAGGTCTGGCGTGCTGCCCGCCGTACACGCCACGATGTGGTCCAGGGGACGGTGGTGCCAATGGCAGGCCCAGGAACTGGCTGTGACTGGAACTAAAACTGTATTCGCTTAGTTCCGGTTTAGTCGTCGTCGCTTGCATGTCTAAATGATACCACCCCTCCGAGTAGAGAATAGCGAATGCCAATCCCTTAGCAGCCTCTAGTACTTTCTTGGGGGGGGGGGGGGACGAGTTTCATGGTGTGTTGTGGTCAGCAGGTTGGTTCATGTGTCTAAAATGCTTACTGGCGATGGCATCTCAGGGTGAAGGTTTCACCGGCATCTAAATGGTGCATCTGAGGTTTCAGGGATCTGGTGAACAACGCAACTGCTCAACAAGCGATTTTAGCCTCAGCATAGACGGGACGGCTTTCTCGTTTCGGACCGCCATCATGCTTCCAACTTGCATGGCATCGCACCACATAGCGGAATGATGTTCATTCCATCGCTTCTGTTTGCCGGGAGGTGGGTGGAAGCCTTTGTTGGGGTGGCTCGGTCAAAGATATGTGCCAGCAGTCAGAGGGGGTGTGGAAGTAGAATGTGCATCGGGAAGCAGTTTGCTCGGAAGCAAGCCATGTTGGTCTAGATCACGCATCGTAGTGCCGGCTTTTTTTGTTTTCAGATTCCCTCGTGATGTGGCAGCAAGGCACCTGTTCTGCGTACGACGCTACATGACTGGAAATGCCAGCTTCGGCCCGGGGCGCTGGGGCTTGGATGTCTTGAAGCAGGAGGGGCTGAGAGTCCCTTTGCTGAAGATATTCGCGTGTCCATAGCCCATCTCCCCTTACCTAATAATTACTTGCCCATGCCATCAGTAGACTACTGACTAATGGCAAGTGCAGTGACTGCGTGTACGTTTGGCTGCCATATTTTCCGATACATTGTCTTTCTGATGCCATTCTCTCTGACCTGAGGTTTTCTGCGGCGACGTCTTCGGGATGAGGATGATCAGCGTGGCCGACCCTGCTCTGGTGGAGGAATCCTTTGGAGCATGCTCGACCCTCCTTAAGCTGAACTCCTCAGCCACTCTCTCTGAACCCCTTCGCAAATCTTGTGTTCTTTTGAGGAGGTGAGCTGTGGAGAGCCTGACAAGTTCACGAAGGACTTGCTCAAGCGGTCACCAGGCGGCGACCTCCTCTTGGACTCCTTTGGCCGTGGTCTCCTGATAGCTGGGACGGAGGACCCCCAGTGGTATGTCGCACACCGCATCTTGAAGGCTCCCTTTTCTTCACGGGGGATGAAGGCCATGGTACCGCTGATGTGCCAACAGGCTGACGAGCTCGTGAAGGCCCTGAGCCGTGACGTGGGGCATGGCGGTGTTGCATACATTGACACTTGGGTTACCAAGATGGCATTGGAGACTATCGCAGTTTGCGGCCTGGGCACATCCCTCGGATGCTTTGAGTCTTCCGAGACGCCCGCGTTCGTGGTCTCTCTCAACAAAGTGATAAGCTGCTTGCTGAACCTGAGCCGCTGCCCGCGGTGGCTGCGCCCAGTTCTGATGCCCAGCCGCACTCGTGAATTCCGCAGGGAAAGCAAGCGGCTACGTCAGTACTGCCTGGACGTCATTGAAAAGCGCTCTGGCAGATCGGTGGACGAGTTCCGCAAGGATCTTCTGGATGTGATGCTCCGGGACAGTGACCCGAAGAGCGGCTGCAAGATGTCCCATGACATGGTAACGGATAATGTTCTCACATTTCTCTTCGCCGGTCAAGACTCGACAGCAGCTGCCATGGCCTCATGTTTGTGCTACCTTTGTGCGCAACCTGAGTGCAAAGCCAAGCTCATTCGGGAGATTGATGAGGTCGTGGGGAAGGGTGCGCTTCAGTGGGATCACTTTGCACAGATGCCATACTTAGATGCTTGCATCAAGGAGACCTTGCGACTCGTCCCGCCAGCGCAGGGCTTTGTCCGGTACGCCAAGGGAGACCAGCTGTTGGGAAAGAAGTGGCTCATTCCAGATGGCATGCCTGTCTTCGTGCTGCTGCGACTGCAAATACCGATCAACCTGTCTCGCCATTTTTTATGTCGGGAATAGTCAATAGTCGCTGCCGCTAGAGATAAAGCTGGGGCGCCGTAGGAAGGGTAAAGACTCGTGTAATGGCACACAGCAGCTGGGCGGGATGTCCAGGAACATCATGGCGATCCACTACGACCCAAGCCTTTGGGGTGAAGATGCTGCGATGTTTCGGCCGGAGCGGTGGGAAGAGGCTCCTCGAGAGAGGCATGCGTTTATCCCCTTCGCGCTGGGCCCACGAGCCTGCACCGGCCGAGAGCCGCTCAGCAGCAATCTAGAGGAGAGGGGATCATGCAGTATCATGCAGTGAGGGTCAGATTGGTCAGATGCAGATGGCCGATGTGCTCTTTTGCAGCAGGTTCAGTGTGCTGGAGCAGAAAGTGACGCTGGTCAAGCTCTTACAGCACTTTGACTTTGAGCGGTCTGCACAAGCCCAGCAGAAGACCGGCTACACCACTGAGCCTTGCTTGGCATTTTGGCAAGCTTCTCCAAGCAAGAAGTACAGAAGGGCCAGGGCGGTACTCTCAGGTCACAACTGGCGAGATGAAGCACCCTCCCTTCATCAGCATGGATGTGGAAATGAAACAGGAGTTGCCGGGCATGCCGCAGTTTGAACAGCCATGCATTTGTGTCATGTCACAACATGCATGCGGACGAGCAACCACCACCAACCTGCTCGGCACAAAGTGATCATCTTTGCAGTGGCGGCATGCACCATAGTCACTAGCTCACTAGTATTCACCAGTATTCACGAGCCAGCTCAACTCAAAGCCTCACCATGAGCCCTGGAAGGACACTGCCTTTCAGGGCTTGTTCTCTTGCATGGTTCTGTCAGAACGACCCCAATGAGGCCTGCAGCACATTTCGCTTGATCTTGACATATCTCGACAAAGTAGGCTGACTTGCTGTGTCGACTTACGTTGGTTTTTATTTGAGAGTCTTTGAGAGTCTGAGGCGGGCACTGCGCGGTGCAGTGTGCAGATGTGCACCGCTGCGGGCGCTGCAGCTCCCAAGACAAGCTGAGAACCGTGTTTACGTGAAGCTGAAAGCCTCAACGACCACGGAGGTTGCTCTTGTATTCTTGGGTCAGCGAAGCGGCCTTCCCGAACTTCGAACTTTGATGCACGGATTTCACGGGGACAAAGTTGCTTACCATGTTCACTGGTTTGAAGGATGTACAATGTACAAGTAGATCTTATGTCTCCGTGCCACGTCAATTCTTGATTGAAGCTGCAGTATGTGCACAGTCCTTATGCAGCGCAGTCAGTTTTGTGGTTTTGGGGCTTGCGGCGGCTTACGCAGAAGTACGTGGTGCTGCCAAGCCGATTTGTATACTCGGCAACCACCTCTGACCAGCGTTCTCTGCATGGGACAGCGGTGAGGGTCACAAGGGCTGTTTTTCCCGCATCTCTTACATACTGACATTCGATAAGTTGATCCCGGTTTTCGCAAAGCAGCTTCGCACAGTGTCTGTTTCGCACCAAGGTTGTCTTATTTGGCGGCGCTGTGGTCTCAGTTGTGTTAGAGAGTCGAGTCCGGGCGACTGAGCAGCGGTGACAGGCTTGCAGGTACTAAACCGGCAAAATCCACTGGTACTTGTGGCGCTGTGCTGCTTTAGTATTTGCACATGTTGCGCCCAACCCAAATGATGCTCAGCTTGCGACGGGAAACACGTCGCAACAAACTCCAAGATGCGCGCAGCAGGCATCATGTCTTGCATCGTGGACACCTCGACAACAGAATGGCGAAGATTGCAACAAACAAGTCCCACCACAATCAGTGTTAGGATGTTTCAGGGCCGAGGAGTTTTCCACAACCGCCGGCGACCATTTCTTTCAATCTGCAGTAATTCAACGAGTCAACACGGTGCCTTTCGCAACCTATTCAAGGCCAGTTTTCGTCTTCCTGGCGTTGGGCATGGTCGGTCCCTTCGGCCCTGACCTCGGTTGTGTGTTTCCATTGACACCTGTGGTCGATCACACGCTCAGAGACTCGTGACAGGGGTACGTCGCCCTTGCAGGTCTTATTACAAGGTCGCAGAATTCGGAGAGTTTCTGGTAGTTCTGTAAAAGGACTGGCAAGCCCAAACCGCTCAATCAGAGCTGGAGGAAAGCTGGCCCCACGAAAGCTAGAGAAGACAGGAGGGCCCAAGTCCAAGCCCCAGGGCCTCCTGAGTAGAAGAGGAGGAGGAAGGGGAAGAGTACAAGAGCTGAGACATTGGCAAACGTGCTAGGCATAAGACTGGCACTTGCTCAGCCTGGGTGACTGGCAAGGCTCTGTCGAACCTGACGAGAGCGAGCCAGGAGAGGCACCCGTGAGCTGGAGGCAGGCGGTCCCGAACTCTCAGATGGCAGCATGCCTAGCAGGTGAAGACATGGTTGTGGAAGCAGGAGTTGTGATCATGAAACGCATTCTCGCGGCATTGTGATAGTGGCTAAGACTTCATGTCTCTGGACCCACGTGGCTTTTCGGCTTTACAGAACACAGGCATTTCACAGACAATCGGCCCCTTTAATTAGCTGCGGGAAGCGATGTCAACGAAGTGTCACGGCGGGTCGAGCGCCAAAGTCGGCGCTTTGACGTTGACGGCATGGCTGTCTGCCATCTACGGCGCCACATGGGCGACTTCCGCGTTCGTTGTTGCGCCAGCATCTCCCCTCCGCCTGCAGCTTCAGGACACGCCGCTGATCGAGCCCCCACGGCACAGCAGCCGGGCCCCAGCCGCAACCGGCACATGCCTTGCGCTGGGGGTCGTGGGAGTGGCAGCAGCTGCCTTGCGCAGGCAGGGCCGCTCCATCCGGACACCCCGACAGGCGGAGCCGCAGCAACCGCAGCCAGGACGAGAGCCCGAGATCGATCCCAGGAGACAAGATCCCCCGAACACCGTTCCTCCAGTTCGGATGCCGATGGTGGACACGGGCAGCGGTGAGAAGCTCGATGTGATGTCCAAGCTCCTGGAAGACCGCATCATCATTCTTGGGGGTGAAGTGAAGGATGAGATGGCCCAGATCCTTGTTGCCCAGATGCTGTACCTGGCCAACTCAGATCCAAAGGCAGACATCACCATGTATATCAACTCTCCGGGAGGATCCGTCTCTGCAGGGATGGCTGCTCAATTGCAGTTTGGCTTTCGGCACGTGCTTTCGAAACTTGTCGCCAAGTCTCGAGAAGCATCGGCATACTTGATAGGGGCGCGCTACATACAAGCCTTTGCATCACCAAGGCCTAAATATACGTCACCTTACTCTCCTTACTGTAGGCTGGTAACTGTGTAAGTGATGCTGGCCATGGTTTAATACAGAGGCCATCTACGACACCATGCAGTTCATCCCGTGCGATGACTCCTGGCGACATCTAAGCCTTACCTTCTGGCGAAGACCTGCCAACTGTTGTCGCGTGTTGGAGCCCTGAACCTCACCAGGGCTCCTTTGAATCATTTCCAGAGTACATGCAACACGGCCCTCACGGTGGAACCCGGTCAAACTTGCAACGCTCAGTGTAGCAACGTTTGGGATATCGGCTGTTTCTGCAACTGTTGCTAGATTTCTATCATGTACACACACACACACACACATATATATATATATGTACATATGGGTTTGTGTTTTTATTTTGGGGGGCTCAGGTTTAAGAATGGCAGACGGGTTGCACACCCGCGAAACATACCCCGTAACATACCCCGAAACATACCCCCGAAACATACCCCGTAACATACCCCCGAAATTGCAGGTAAAGTAGAAACATACCCGAAACATACCCCCGAAACATCCCCCGAAACATACCCGCGAAACATACCCCGACCCCAACACGTGTCACGCGCCTCCCCATTAAAATACAAACCCATATATATATATATATGTATATATATATGTGTGTGTGTGTGTGTACCTAATTATATGTATATGTGTGTGTGTGTACTATATGTATATGTGTGTATTATACATGCAGAGTTAGTCGGGAGGTAGATTTGGCTTCTACCTGTGGTTTGCGTGACCTCATATATGACTACTGTTTCCTTTGTTTCTGCTCGAACGAGATCTCTATGTACATTGTTGCCTTTATTCATCCTGCGCTGTTTCCGTGGCTGTCTGAGCCTTTGAGCACATGGTAATGTATGGCCTGCAGAAAATGACGTAAAATGACGAGGTGAGCACCGTCTGCTTTGGCATGGCTGCCTCGATGGGCTCTTTCCTGCTGTCTGCCGGGACCAAAGGCAAGCGACCCTAGGCCCAAGTGCAGGCCATTACGCTGCGCATCTCCTAAACAGGCTGGAATTGGAGTCGTATAATCTCCGCGAATAGAAGTTTGGATTTTATAAATGCGAAATATCTACGTACATACAGTCTCATACGGGGCCATCCCCCCCCTCCCCCCACACCCCCCACCCACCCCCCCTCACATGCCCAGATTTGCGTTGCAAACTTGCAAACCGTGTAACAACCGGGACGATGCTCAAAATCCTGGATTTCTAATGGCCTAGAAGTTTTCAGTTCAAAGCGGAGCACTAAAGACTGAGGATTCCTGAGGACTTGTTTCCAGCAATCTCCAATTTTCAATGCACAGCTTTGAACTGAAAGCTTCAAAACCATGTGAAAACTGGGGATGGGAATCGGGCTCATGTTTCGTCTCGCGCTCGGATTGCCGCTCTTCAGAGATAGCGCTGCAGAAACCCAAGATTTCGAAAGAAAAGAGTCCCCAGGAGTCTCCAATGTTCAGTGCGGAGCTTGGATCTTCAGCACGGAGCTTTCAACTGAAAACAGCCCTTCAAACTGGGGCCCAGCTTTGAACTGAACTTCACAACCGCGGCAAAGTTGAGCATTGGACATAAATTCAATCTTCAACAAAGCTATTTCTGATTTATCTCGTTAGAGGGGTCTAGCAAAGCATAAAATGAGTTGCGTAGCATTGCACGTATCTCGGGACGCACTTTTACCTTAATCTTCAGCGAGTCTTGCTTCAAAATCAGCATTTACAAGTTCTCGCGCTTCTTTTCCGAAGGTTTCTTTCTCACGTGCAAATATGTAATAGTGCCTCGAATAAGGGGTATGTTGTACTGAAGTGGCTTTTTTAATCAAAAGGGTTTTTAGACCGGGAGGAAGTGAAAGGGATTGGTCTTCGAGGAGAGCAGTCTCGCCCATTCACGATTATCAAAGTTATCGCTTGTCAAAGGGCTCTCTCTGACAGAAAAGAAAGAAGTGAAGAGGTGGAGCGGATGCTCTGCGCACTATTGTGCTTATCCTAAAAGAAAATTCTTGCATTTCTTCTCAGAAGATCTTCGTCAGCAAATGTCAGAAATAAAGGGTGTTGTTTCGTGAGAGGCTCTCAACAGGAGGTGAAGATCAGGATCTTATGGAGGATCAAGAGAAGCCAGAATGAGGCTCGTCCATTCATGGTTATGCAAATGTGTCGTTAAAAGGTGGCTCTCTTTGTCAAGACAATAAGGGAGTGCACACTGTGTTCTCTGTGAGTCATTACACATATCATAAAAGAAAATTTCGCATGTCTTACCAACAATTTAATGGAAGCTCTAGAATGGGGCTTCTTTTGAAGAGGATGGTCTCCTGCAGTATGTAAAAAGTACTTCGAGCTAGTCTTACATGGAGTTGTCGTGTGAACTAGCAAACATTGTTTAACAGCAACCCTCGCATTTATTATCTAAAGTTATTCAGCAGCAAAGACCAAAGGTAAACAAACAACAACGTGGATAACAAATTGCATGCTTTTTGTGAGATTTTCCTTGGAAGAAATGGCGCGTTTCTCAAACAAAGGATGGAGGTGAACATGAGAGTCTTCTCTAGCATCAAGGATACTGAGGGAATCAAGGCGCGAGGATACGGACTTCTTCGGGAGGTGGTTGGTTCCGGGGGGAGGGTGTTGGCATGTATATGTAGGTAAGTATGTTATGATGCTACAATTTATATGTGACGCAAGTACGTGGGCTGTGTGCTCAGATGTTTGATTGCGAGGCTTAGCAATAGATGAGAGAATACAGGCATATTCAATGGCATATATATTCGTTGATGACTATATGAAACGGTGGGTTTTTGCAGTCAAGCATTGAAAGGGGCGGTTGGGTGGAGCGGTGCGAAGCCGAGGAAAAAGCCTGCCGAATTCTCGCAGCTTGTTCTGCATCAAAGACCTAGCAACAAGCACGCTATATCACACCTTCATGAAGACCTGTCCGAGGCATCATGATCCATCAGCCCCTGGGCGGAGCACAAGGCCAGGCGGCCGACGTCCGAATCCAGGCCGCTACTTCCTTTCCGGTGTCCACTGTACTGAGGGGGGAAGGGCCAACACAAGGAGATGGAGCCTAAATTTCGTGCTTCGCTCAGGCACGCGAGATCCTGCACATGCGCCAGCTACTGAGTTGTGCGGCTGTAGACTGCTTGGCTATTGCAGCCATCAAGACCTCCCGATGAAGGAACGCGCAAGGACTAGCCCTGTTGTTCACTTCAGATGGGCTCAGCCTTCACCGGGTATGTTTTGCCTTTGCCGTGCCCCGCTTTGGTACGATACAGCTTTTGCTGCTAAGGCTCCCGTTGCATAATTACTTTTTTTCGTGCTCAGAACTGATTATAAAACCATCTCAAGCCCAAGGTGAAATCTTGAACATGCATCTGGCAGATGCTACTGGGCAGCCGATTGAAACTATCGCCAAGGAGCAAAGAAGTACCTACAGCAGATGTGCACATGTTCTGGCACTGTGGGTTTTTGGTCGGAGGGTGTGTGGACGGAGGGTCCTATGTTAAGGTCGCACAGGGTGTCGTCGATTCCAGTACGCTGAGATTTACATGGGGCAAAGGGGTCTTGTACCTTACAATATGGGCTGTTGTTTGCCTTTGCCTTTGCTTCGCTTGAGCCTCTGACAGCTTAGAACACTGCAGTCATCCTTAGGCCTTCAGAGAAAACAGAAGAGGCGTGTTTGCCATAGGACTGCGACCGGGACAACTTCATGACTCCAGAGGAAGCCAAGGCCATGCTCGTATGCAGTTGTGCTACATCGCCATGCATGACATTTACAAAGTAAAACGAGGACACACGTGAACCTAAAGCCTCAGCTGGAGACTAGAGCTTGTTACTTCGGTGACAGGATTATGGGCTCATCGACGAGATCACGCCAACCAAGGCAGCCATCATAGACCTCATAAGCCAGTCTACCCCGGTCTGCCCCTGAAGATACAGTTCTTTTCGCAATGCACGCTTTGAAGCGCCTTGAAGACTTTGCCTTGAGCAGACCTTTTGGAATGGTTCTTAAGTGCATCTAGGGTGAGAGATGTGAGTTCAAGACTTTGTGGCGCCAGGCATGGCCCCGCATCCAGAAGCCCAAGCGACCGGAGCTGTAGGTGGCCTGTTCTGGCTTTTGGGTGGGAGACGAGGAGACGAGGAAAAAACGGTATGCTGTATGGGTTTTCAGGCAAGCCAGTGGATGGCTATCCCCGTGTACCTCTATTGTTGCCACTTCTTCAAAACGGAGATGCGCAAAGCTTCACAATCTGCAATTGCCACCTGTGCAGGCGGATACAGTGGGCTTTCCAATGCCCTCCAGTGAGCTTCCCGCACGCTAAATATGTTTAGTATACGCATATGCAGATTCGCAGAGTTCTCGCGCCTGCCTTTGCTTCCAAGCATGTCATGCCATTGACCGAAGAACGGAAGTTGAGGTAAGCAGCAAGCCTTCCACATCCTTCCACAAACCAGATCGAGACCCCCCCTATTTGACTAGTGATCTCCAGTGGCCAAGTGCAAGCGCGGTAACTTGGCAAGACATCCATGAAAAAAAGCTTTCCGGTTCGTGAAGCCGGGGTATGCCAGAGGATTGCACGCTTTGACTCGTGCCAGTCGTTTTGTCCGCCAGGATCGATTCAAGGCAAAAGCTTGCAAGAGTATTCATCTCTCTAGGTGCATGTGCAATGCAGGAAGCCTGAATCAGATCCAGTGAGTCCCCTGGCTTGACATCTGTCATGGTGTTCTGACAAGTTGCAATCATCAGTTCGGTAAGGTGGCTAGTGCAGATATAGGGATGCCAAACGAAGTACATCATTAACTTGCTCGGAGGTCTTCCTCCAAAGGTTCTGGCTTGCATCGCGAGGCCGCTAGGATGTACGAATTTTCCTCTCGGCCGTGAAGTACACGCCTCAAGCCAAACCATCAAAGAACGAACGATTCGCGGCAAAGGAAGTCAAGACAAAAGCTGGTTGTCTGCGTGGCTTTGTGTGGCTTCTTAGATTTAGACAAATCTCTGATTGGGAAGTCAAATTTCGTTCGCACTGTATTGAATGAAGTTTTACTTTGCTTCGAGTTTGGGTAGCGAAGTCAACAGCATGGGTACGCAGCACTGATCAATGCTGGAGCAGCGCTCTATTCCGGTGTGGCAGGTGCAATGCTCGCGGAGATGAGAGCTACCTGGCTGTGTCCGAGAGCTCAGGGGATCTGTATCAAGTGCCTGGAAAAGTGCATCCAGATCAGACTTGCAACATGAGAGCCCCACCGACTGCTTGGCAAATCTGCTACAGTGCTACGAGCACCTTAGTGGCCTTAGTGGTTTCAGCCTCGCGCATCTGGGTTCAGGTCGCCTGGGGCTTATTGACGAACCCAAGAATGGATCAGTACGGATGTCAATGTAGAGGCCCACCTGGTCCAACGAAGATGTGTTGGTCTTTTAGGACAGGGTTATAGCGATGGTGGCTGGTGCAGCTGCTTCATGCTGTTCTGTGTTCTGAGCGTGGGAGTTGAAAGACGTAGGCGCGGACACCCTGAGCCCGTGGACTTCTTTCGAAGCTTCCTACCCCCCCTGAAACTCGAAACCTCAAACTTCCACCTAGCTCCTTATGGATCAAGCCTTGGGCCTGGAAAGAGAGTTGCTGCACAAGCGCGAAGAGGAGGAGCTCCCCGACAGACAGTTTAAGACTCCGCGGAGTGTATTGGCGTGTATTGACATGTGTTGGCATAGCGCCACTCAGTGATATAGAGTTAAAAGTGATCCGCGCAGGGCATCTTTGAGAGTCTCTGCCTCAAGTTACAAGTCAAGACCCGGCATTTGGGAAAGTGTGCCGGCATTTGCTGATCTCATTCTCAAGATGCATAGACTATATTATTGATGTTGCCATAGCAGCAGCGGCTTTGCAAGCAGATCGCGCTCAGGATGCTCTACAGCCGCGCGCAGCTCGCGTTAATGTATCTGGGTATTTGCACCCTGCTGCCCTACAACTGTCTGCTCAATGTGCAGCCGTACTTCAAAGAGCTCCTTGCCTGACCTGGGGCATTTTGAGCTACAAGCCATCGTCGATGTTGCTCCTGCTGGAACTATGCTCGGTCATCATTTTTCGGTTCAACATCGCAGCATACTATGGCTGCTTCACTGTCTACAAATGAATTTGGCAGGTATCCTTTTAAGGACCTGGACTTCCCTTTCACGAGCACACTCGGCAGCATCAAGGGCCAAAGAGGGCTTGGCGTTCATGTGGGGTACACGCACGCTCGCACGCAGCTACTTTTCTCGGTCACGCTCGGTCTCTGCGTTTGCGCTTGCAATATCTTGCAATCATGCGGTCTGGCTTTTTGCTGGGTCGAGTTTGGTACTCTGTCATGAAATCGTAGAACAGTTAATCGGCACCGTCGTTTGCCTGTGCAACCCGTTTAGTGGCTTGGCTTTATTTGTTGTGTGGTCTTTCTGTGTGTTGTTTCTCTTTTCGTCAGGCCGTGGAGTTGGGATGAGTCCCACATTCCATTTTGACGAGAAGTACGGCAAAAGGTGTTTTTTGTTTCTTGTGTGTCATATTTGTGTTGTTTGATTTTGGTCAGGGCCCTGCAGCTCTTGTACAACTTACAGGTGGGATGTGGGGTGTCGTGGGTGGGTGCGTGTAAATTGATTGTTTCATTGTGCATGGCAGGTGAGGCAGGGCCAACACTACAAGGCGGAAAGATTGAAAGAATGAAGACTGGCCTGTTGAAGAGAGAGAGAGAGAGAGAGAGAGAGAGAGAGAGAGAGAGAGAGAGAGAGAGAGAGAGAGAGAGAGCGAGGGAGCAACGACGGACAGTTTGTTGCGTACAGTATCTTTCGGTGGTTGCAGCGGTCCGCAGTCTCCCCTGTCCCAGTGTCACACGGAACCTGAACGCATCCTGGGCGCGCTTCGTGCGCGGGGGGGGGGGGGGGTGACTCCCCTCAAGCCCCGTAGAAGAAGAAGAGGAAGAGAGAGAGAGAGAGAGAGAGAGAAGGTAAACGAATAACATCGGTTCATCCGTAGATCTCTGTAACGCACGCCTTCGGGCGACCCTCTCCAATGGGGGAGGGTTAGGTGCGCAGAAAGAAAGAAAGAAAGAGAGAATAAAAGATGCAGAGAGAGAGGGAGAGAGATGATCAGGCCGAGCGAGAGTCCCGGAACCCGAGGCCGCGCCAACCGAGAAGAGAGAGAGAGAGAGAGAGAGAGAAAAAGAAAGAGAGACAGTAGTAGTAGTGGATCAAGCAACTCTGTGCGGGCCCCTGGTGCAGAGGAGCCGGAGGCCTCACGATTCAGAAGAAAGAGAGAGACAGAGAGTTAAGGAAGGTAGAGAGTGAGAGAGAGACAAAGTGATGCAGAAGAGAGAGAGAGAGAGAGAGAGAGAGAGAGAGAGAAAAAGAGACAGAGAGAGAGTCTGAGAAGCATAGAAAAAGAGAGAGGGAGAGAGAGAGAGAGAGAGAGAGAGAGAGAGAGGCAGAGCGAGAACAGGAGCCACGCGAGCTGCCCGCTGGTGGAGCCGAGGTCCTGGGAATTGAGAAGAGAGAGAGCGAGAGCGAGAGAGAGAGAGAGAGAGAGGTGCCACCATACAGGCACCCCCGGGCTACGTGCCAGACAGCTCCTACAGGCCCTCGTTCCGTTCGTTGAGGGGGAGATCCTGGCATCAGCGCGAGAGGCCCTTGCAGAACTCCAGAGATGGTCCACAGAAATATGGGGCGAAGAACTGGTGGACGTGGAAGAGGGGGGGCGCTCCGAGCAGGGCAGCCGGGCCACTACAGCCCACACACGTACCTCGCGACGGCCGGTTCCCTGGGCAAGAAGGACACTCAGCGGGAACACAGGGGGATGAGAGAATCTGAGCGGGAAAAAGGCAGGGGGAGGACCTACATCGAGCACATGAACTTCGCGAAGACGGAGCCCCGCGGCAAGAAAGACACTCAGCGGGGACAGAGGGGGAGAAGAAGCTTACTCACGCAACCAACCCCCAGAGGGAGCGGAAGAGCGAGGAGAAAGACAAAGGGAGAGAAGAAGCGCAGGAGAGCAGCGCGCCGCTCTTAGCTTGTAGAGAGAGAGAGAGAGAGACGGCGCATGGGAGGCCGCTCAAAGCCAGCTGAGATCGGCGCAAGAGCAGCGGGTGAGTTTCGGGTGAGTTTTTGGGGGCGGGGAACCTAAGTGTTCTCCTCCCCCCTTAGGGGGGTTCGGGGTACTGGTAACTAGTAACTAAGGGTGTGTACTTGTGTTTATTCCCCACCCTCGGTGTGGGGTTGTTAGATTTTAACCTCAACTCTTCTCCTCGCCCGGAACTCTTTTCCTCGCCCGGTCTACTCCTCGCTCATCCCTAGAGTGCCCCCCCAAAGTGTCCCTGGAGTTGGGTGTCCCTGCAGAGTCTCCCTGGAGTGCCCAACCCAGACTCTCCTGGAGTGCAACCCCAGAGGCCCAACCCCAGACTCTCCCTGGAGTGCCCAACACCACAGGCCCAACCCCACCCCGGAGTGCTCAGCCCCAGAGTCTCCCTGCACAACCCCAGATTGTCCCCAGTGTCCCTGGAGTGCCCAACGCCCACAGTATCTCGACCAAGAGAGGGTGGGGATGTTCGAAGTAAAATAATTTTGTTTCTGGTATACGTCGTACTTTGCACTTGTTCATGTATTTGGGTTGCGTTCAAAATTCGCGTGTCTGCTCAGTTACTTTGATTTACATTACTTGGTTTGGCCGGTCTATTTTCATGTCTTTGCTTTCAGGCGGCACCGAGGGGGATCCCCTAAAAACCCCAGTGTGGCGCCAGAAAACGCTAGGTTCGCGCTAGGTAAAATCAACAAACGTTATTTCAAATGTCGCATGTCATCACTAAGCGAACCCAACAGAGATTGATTGAGAAGGCCCAGCCAGGCGCACCACCCGAAATATGCGTACAACATCCGGGGTGGTGTAATAACCCCGCGCCTTTTCGTTATGAATTGACGGGGCCCCTGTTGCCAGGATAGAGGTTCTTCTAGGAAAAAACGATGACAAGAAAGAAACGACGTTCTTGTTATACTTGGTACATTTGCTGCTCCTGGCTTGTTTTCGTCGTTTATCACGTCGTAGTATCAGATCTTGGAAAATCCGGCACAGTGTTTTGCGCTAGCGCCGCGCTAGCACGGCGCTAGCAAAATGTCAACGCAACCTCCCCCGGTAGACCATGACCCATTCCTCCACCACAAAGGAACACCACAGAACCGAGAGTGCTATGCTTGCTGGAGCTCGAGCCCCGCAAGTGGCGACAGCGGAGAAACTTTCGCTCGCGCCAGAACTCCAGCAGTGGCAGTATGTAGCGGTAACACTAGCAGTTCTTGTGACGACTCGTCCGACAGCAGCGCCTGAAAAATGGTCCGCGCTAGCACCCTTACTAGGAAATCATGCTTGGATCCTTCAAATGCCGCGTTTGCTACTCCATCTCAATCAGCTTCTTTTTCCTTCAGGACAAAGGCGGCACCGAGGGAGTTCCGATTTAACGTCAATTTCGGGAACAAGCATTTTGACAACACCATCCGGGGCTGAGAGGCGTGGCGCCGTGTGTGCAGATGGCGCCTTTGCACTTTGCTCCAGCTAGCCCGCTGCCAGCGCCGCCGATGCAGCAGGGCCATCAGGGCCGAGAATCGTGGCGCCGCGAGTGTTCGCTGCAGCTAGCCCGCCGCCAGCGCAGCCGATGCAGCAGGGACATCGGGGGCCGAGAATCGTGGCGCCGCGAGTGTTCGCGACTCCGCCGCAGGAGTCAACGCCGCGGCAGCGGTCGAGGACGCCGCAGCGCTCGCAGCCCTCGTCCCCTCGTCGTCGCAGCCCTCGTCTTCGACGAACCCCTCGTCGTCGCAGCCTTCACAGCTCTCGCCGAACCTGTCTGTGCATTCGTCCTCACAGGAGGAGTACGAGGATCAGGTGCGAGAGATTCTTCGGGTGGGAGACGAAGACCATCCGGGTCTATGTGATGTGGCGTGCGCTGCCAGCTTTGTGGAACGCGGCGTGGCACTCCTGCATAATGATCCGCGCGGATAGCTTCGACGCGCCAGCAAGCGAAGAGTTGCCCAACAACGTGGAGGCTGTGATCTCTTTTGGCAAGCGTGGTCTCCTGGCTGGAAGGGAACGGCAAGGCACGTTTTCGTCCGCCGTCTTGGCGGGCGAAACCCGCTGCGACTACCAGAGCGCGGCAACACGCGTTC